ATCCAGAGAGTATAATGATTTCACAGTTGATCAATCTATATTCATTCCAATGAGGCCAACTGTTGCAGTGACATGCCAGACGAGCTATTACTTCAAATCCACTTATAATTTGTTCCCTCCATTCAATAAAATAACTTATCAATGAATTCTAATGAGATTTTATACTGGAATAGAATAATATTTAGAGTCAGTAAGTCCACTCCTGGTAGGACTGATCAATCGGGGGTTTGATTTCATTTAATTTTCAACATCTTAAGTAAATATCCAGTTTGCAAACAATGAACCCCCACCCATCACTCAATTATAGAAATCACAAAATCATTGTATACCTACCCACTCTTGAATATTTGATCTTGATTGATCTCGGTACTTTAAGCTTTAAGTGGCACTAAATACCAGGTCTTACTTTGCTTTGACTGATTGCACTACCTAAGTCTCCCTTTTGTACTTGTACAATATCTGAAAACCAGGCTGTTATATATGATTTGTCATTTATTTGCTAACTTTGTATACATTTTCAATTTCTCATGCAGTCTTATTGATGTGGCACAAAAAGGTTTGCATGCAACTTTTGCTCGTTTAAAATCATACTGGATCGATCTTTCTATACAGTAATTTAAAATCAGCTGTAGACACATTTTGTAGTTTCTGACACTTTAAAAGGTCAATCCTGAGGCCCAGGAATACGTTAAAAAAGTCCCCTAGTGTACTGAGTTGGTAATGCGTGGTGTATACATGTATATATTAGACTATATTTATATTGAATAAGAATAATACTGATTTTTTATTAATTTTACTATATTTACATTGAATAAGAATAATACTGATTTTTTATTAATGATTGTATACCCGGGCCTCAGGGTCAATCAATAATTGACTTGGTTAAAAAATTTTAAATAGAAAAGTATCATTTGACTTTGTACATTCAAATGTGTGTCTCATATTTTGATGCCACTTAGAGGGAGGGGGTCAAAATATTGATGCTCATATGGAGATGAAAGTACTTTCATGAGGGGGGGGGGGGTTTGAGCATTTTCGTTGACCAAAAAACATTGATTCATTAGATCTGAAATATAACAAAAATAATTGTACTTACCAGGGATTTTACTAGAATTTCTCTCAACAGGCTAAATAAATGAAAACAACAAGCAAAATTAATGAAAATCATAAATTTCACATGGAAAAGTCCCTAAAAACAACAGGCCATTTTGTGAAAGAACCGGTAAAAACCCCTATTGTCTGCTGCTAATGAAATCCATGACTTACCCACTTTCACTGTTGGGATAGGTTGCAAATCCGATCATTTTTCAAATAAAGGAGGGCGAGTTGTTTGTAGAATGAATCGGGGGATTTTTTTCATGAATTTCGCTTATGTTTTTCATCCAAAAAACATCAATACACTTTAAAACATTTTGTTTACTTTAAGATTACACCATGTAATCCAAAAATATATTTCTCGTTTTCAAAGATAATCCATGGATTAACACCCAGGTATTTTTATTTTTCAAACTTCAGAGGGCTGGGAATCATTGATGCTCAACGCTTTTGAATATGATAAATGCTGTTTTAAATAGGTTTTACGTATGCCATTAATTTCTCAAATTATGTAAGCTGAATGCGCCCTAGAATATTCTCTTGGAGGAATCCAATGGTAATCCAATGGTAGTTCCAAGCAGATTTTTAGATGGCAGGTAAGTAAATTCTTTAGTACTCGCCTTATTGGGTTGAGTTAGTATATATTCAAAAATTATATATGATTCTGTAAAGATGTCAGTGTGGATGCTATATAGATTGCACAGTATGGTAAGCTGTATAATCCTATATTATGTAACACGAGTACAGTTTTGGTTGACATGATTGTGACTGAGTGAGAGATTAAACTCTTTAAGGTAGTTCTGCATGTTGATAATTTTTACTAATTTTGGTGATGAATAAATTATCTCATATTTATAAATTGGGCAAAATTTTTTACATTTTAAGTGGATATAAAGAATTATGGTAACATACACATGGACCATGCATACACATACAACAAATGTGAAAATATTGTCCCTTTCATTGATTATCGGAATTTATAATCATGAAAATTATTGAAAAATATTGAGACATGTCTACCTTAAAATCAAATTGGCTTACAAGTACCCTAAGCTATTTTTACATTTTTATTGCAAGAAAATCTTTTTGCAAGGGTTACAAAGGTTGAAATATTGTGGTGGCTCTATTTGGCTGGAGTTTAATATTCAGACCTAGCTATAGGTATTATTACATTTATATGTACACTAGTATCTTGTTGACCTATATTCAGCACTGTATTGATGAATGGGCCACTTATTAGGGCCAATATTCAATCATAAAGTGTACAGGGGTAGAGATGCCAAACCAAGAAGTCTTTTTGTGTCTGTCAAAATTCATTTGCATCCTACACATCCCAACATATTATCCAAATACGTTATTAATTAATTAAACATAACAGTATAATCTTTGGATTTAGAAAGTTGTATGGGATTTCATTAGTATAAAAGTTGCTTTTGAAGCATTTTTCTATAGCCATTTTGTAGGAAAAAATGATGGAAAAAATGTATAATCTTTTAATTTGAAGTATGACCTGAATCGATTGCAAACTTTATATTTGCACATCTGATGTGATATACCATTTGTGTCATACTGTGAAATTATATAATTTGCAATCGATTCAGGTCATAGTGTATTTTAGGTATTTTTGTGAAAATCAATAGAAACCAATGGCCTCTATTGGAATTGATGATATCCACATGTTAAGTCAATGGAGCCCATTCAATGGCAAGTCAATACACCCTTGCTGAACTAAATGACCTCAACCTCAGCCCATGTGGGTCCAAACGCCCAAATATTTTCCACAGTATTATGTGACATTGAATTCTTTATGTTACACCTAAAAATGATTCATTTTGTTCATGGGGATATCATAATGGAAAGTGCACTAGACCCTTATTGTAATTGTATGATATCGTATTTGTGATTTGAATATACACTGTGATATTTGAGAAAAAGAATGTTTTGTTTTAGTTTCATTGCAATTTATAACCCTAATATCCTTCCCAGAATCCTTCCTTGTCTTCCAATTTTCTAATAACCTCAGAAGTTCCTACTTTTTAAAAAAAATACAATTTTCCATGATCATTTTTATGTCACCACCACAAGTGGTGACATATTGTTATGGTCTCAAACTTTTTTGTGGACGGTGTTCAGTGGTTGGTGTTTATCATTTGGCAGTTGGTGTTTGGCAGTTGGTGTCTGTAACAAATGGCAGGTGTTGACATTTTGCATGTGAATGCCTTGTCTTATAATGTAGCCAACTGCAATGGATGTAAAACGGATACAGTTAACTAATACATTTCTTGGCATCAATTCAAATCATATGCTAATTTTAAATGAAAATGCTTTTTTTCATGTTTTACCACTCATAAATGCCATAATATCTCGATGTCACATTCAGGAAAATATGGCTATCAACAAGTTTTGAATTCTTACAATCCTGGAAGTTGTACATGTAAGCGTGCACATCTGTCAGTTCAGTTTATGTGTAAAAGTTAATCCCCTAAGCCTTAATACCTGATGCATGAAATATTATGAATGAGTTACATAATATGTACTCGTGCTATTTAGGTAAATGTTGTGCTGTTTCACCAGATTTGACTGACATCTTTAAATAACAACAATTTGATTTGATGATCAGACAGCAACAAAACATATTAAGTGGCCAAGACAAAAGAATGTTATTATGATAGGCATTCTAGGGATTAAGGAATGCATTCAGCTTACATAATTTGAGAAATTATTGGCATACGTAAAACCTATTTAAAACAGCATTTATCGTATTCAAAAGCGTTGAGCATCATTGATTCCCAGCCCTCTGAAGATTGAAAAATAAAAATACCTGGGTGTTAATCCATGGATTATCTTTGAAAATGAGAAATATATTTTTGGATTACATGGTGTAATCTTAAAGTAAACAAAATGTTTTAAAGTGTATTGATGTTTTTTGGATGAAAAACATAAGCGAAATTCATGAAAAAAATCCCCCGATTCATTCTACAAACAACTCGCCCTCCTTTCCTTCGTTTTCTATACAGTCACTGAAAATGTCATAGATGGGCTTGGAGGTTGTAAGGTTGTTGTCCAACAAAAGTACTATCGTCTCCATATTACCATGGGCTTTTAGGCCAGGGTGCATGTTCGGAATTTTGCAGCATTCCTCAATTGAGTCAAATGGTTTTTTTCAAACAGGAATCACTCCTTCACCACATTGTCTACATCTTCCAGTTTTCCACAAAGAGTGCACTTATGTGCCTAGAAAAGACTGGTAAGAGTATTTGTTTTGTAAAATGTATAAAAACCGAGAAAATTCAGTGAAAATTTTCTGAATTTTTTCACTGAATTTTCTTGTTTTTTATACATTTTATCCAAACATTTTTCTCTACATTAGTACACTCGCTGTGCAAAAGTGAGAGATGCAGACATTGTGGGGAAGGAGTGATTCAAATTTGAAAAATAACCTGTGACCCTATTGAGGGTTGCAGCAAAATTCCGAAAATGCACCCTGACCGTTACATGTTTTGACACTGATGCAGTCTTTAGGTCTTAGGCAATATCTCTGGCGGGTGTGTTCTGTTCAGTCAGTAAAAACTTACAAGGTAGATATACTTACAAACTATTTTCAGAATTATATTCCTTGTTGTGCTTTGATAAGCTCTTGAGTCTTGACACAACTTCCTATGGGCCAATTCATGGAACCAAAACTGTCAAGTTTGCAAATTCGTGGGAAGAGGCAAATTTTTATTTTGGTTCACGGCAATGGTGTGTGCACTAAATCCATGATACAGATTTATATCAATTCATCTAGTCCTCAGAAAATAAAATTTAATCGAAAAAGCATAAATAACAAGTGTAAATTGGTGTAAAGCATTGAATTTCTGACCTTCCCACAGCAACTCGTCGTTTGAATTTCTTTTACCGCAACACAGAGATTGATGACGTAGTGCACATCTCTGAGTTTCGGAAGTCTGAAAAATTTCAAAGTGTCCAGTATTTCCTTGAAAATAGATCGATTGGTAGGTACATATACATACATTGAATGTAATTCCCATATATGGAGTTTAAGTGACACGACAAGGATACATATAACTTATAGAAATGAAGTCATCGTGATAAATAAGCAGAAACAAATATATTTCTTATCTATTATCGCCCACTGAATTAAAACACGTGAAGCTCCAAATCCCAAAAATTGGCTGCTTAGTCCTAGCGTTCCAACTTGATATTGTGCCATACATGGAGTCATGTCGTTTTTACAGTATTCAACAGCCATCATTTTTCAACTCAGTTTTGAAATTCGAATTTTCGTCTCTTATCTATTCTCATTCTTTGCTGTCGAAATTAGCACCAAACAAATAGCTTGGAGGTTAAAATATTGAGTTGGAGCCCTGGGATCCAATTCTCCTTGTGAACTCTAAGTGTTATGGGCTATTCCGATTCTTACGGAAGTATTCTGAATTGACTCAAGCAGGCCTGTAGCCACGATTTACCTGGGGAGAGCTTTTTTAACATGGGCTTTCAAAAGCCCATGGATTTACCAAGGGGGAGCTTTTGTCAAGAGGGGGGGGAACTTTTTGACAGTTTTGGGCAAAAATCATGGGAAAAGTGCTCAGAATGGTGAAAAACATTTTAGAGAAATTTCAGCTCAAACTCGTGACAAATGCATTATGCATATGCTGGTATGAAGCCTTAGAGACACTCATTTTGGTAAATATGATTTACGGTGTATACTTTTCTGCAATTTGGGGGGGAGTTTGGGACATTAAGGTCAGGGTGCACTTTGGTGAAATTTCACGACCATGTGCTATTTTCAGATAAACATTACTCATTCCGCACATCATCTACATCTTTCATTCTTGCACAAAAGATGCATTAGTATACCCAGACAGAGATATAAAAAACATGTCTCTGACCCAGACTGATAATTTAGAGTTGATAATTCTTCAGAATGTTTGAATAACTAGAATATTCAGTGGTCGACTTTTCAAAATTGCCCCAAATTTCCAAAGTGCACCCTGGACTTAAATGTTAAAATTCAAGAAAATATGTGAATATATGACTAATCAATTATATTTCGTTACCACTGTACATACCATCCACTGCTTGCCACATAATAAATTAGTCATGGAATTTGAAAAATGTATTTTTATGAACTGAATAGAAATATTCGTCCAGTGTTTTATTACCTCACCTCCTGAATAGAAAGTATTTGTCCATTCTCAATTTTATCGCAAGTCTAATATGCAATCTGTATACATTGTACATGTACATAGAGTGAAATGGAACATGATCTTGCACCTAGATTTTCCATGTACAAAACAAACTAAACTGGACAGGATGTTTTGACCAGTTTTTGATATGTCATTATTAAATAGGTTATAAATAATTTTAGATTGAAGTCAGTTGAGATGGTACACAGACAAAGCTGCCGGAGATTGGGTGGTATTTACGGAGTTGCTGATGAAATTAACAATCTGAGAAAGCAAAAAAGGTCTAAGGATGAAAAAACAAAAGGTACCTTACCTGTTAAGTATATACTGCATTTAAAGGTTATCATTGTTTTGTCATACACCATCTGCTGATCCATCATCAAATTGCAGAGAACGTGTAAGTTATGACAAGTAAAAGACACAGTTTTATCTTAAAATATCTCACTTGAGTAGCCAAAAGTATCAACTCTATAACTTGATATCACATCCTGCATGAGTGGTTTTCCTGTATTCATTATAACAAAATATATAGATAACAATGATTCAAGTAGGCACCCAAAGGTTATTCAGCCCTCCAACTGGATGTCAAATAAAACTGTTTTTCTTTTGGAATGCCAATGACAAAATAAAGTTTTCAATTTAAGATTTTCATGGAGATTTTATTTGGCTCATTCTTCAGATCTGCCAAATTAAAGAATGAAAGAGGGTGACAAATCGAAAAAATGATGACAGTGATAATTCTTATAATAATGATCATGTTTCAGGTGCTACAGCTGCTGTGGAGACAAAAGAGGCTACCATGGAAACCAGTACAAAGAAAACAAAAAAGAAGAAAAAGTCCAAGAAGAATCTGTCAGAGACAGCCACAGAAACCTCAGTTGGTGACACAAATGGTGTAATTGGTGACACTGAAGCTGTTAAGCCAAAAAATAAAAATAAAAAGTCGAAGAAGAATGTATCAGAGTCTCACCCTGAATCTGTTGAGCCAAAAAATAAAAAGTCCAAGAAGAATGTGTTCGTGTCTCCCACAGAAATCTCGGTTGATGGCACAAAGGGAGTAACTTGTGATGTTGTGACAGTGAAGCTAGAAAATAATAAGTCCAAGAAGAGTTTGACAAAGTCTCCCATAGAAACCTCAGTTGATGACACAAATGGAGAAATTGGTGACACTGAAACTGTTAAGAAAACAAAGAAAAAGCAAAAGAAAGCTGAAATGAGAACAGAAGTAAATATAAATGTAAATGAATTGAATGTATATGTTGATAATTCACCCGAAGGTGCAGTAGCAGCATCAAAAAAGAAAAAGAAAAACAAGAAGAGAAAACTAGAAACTGATGGAGAAAAATTATCTACAAATGAAGTACTTGAATCTGAGTCTAATGCTTCAGTTAAGAATAAGAAAACAAAGAAAAGAAAGAAGTCAGGCACTAGTGAAGTTGAAAGTACAGCTGTTCAAGATGGAATTTCTGAACACACAGAAGAACCATCTAATAATGGAGCAAATGAAACCAAGAAAAAGAAAAAAACTAAGAAATCAAAGAACAATGACAATTCAGTAAAAGATAGCATTGATGAAATTATAACTGCCAACACTTCTGGGGCTAAAAATTCAAAAAAGAAAAATAAGCGAAAGATGGAAGATGATAATGAAAATGATAAGCCAAAAAAATCTAAACATGTAAATAAGAATGATTCTTCACCAGATGATAAGCCAAAAAAGAAACAGAAAGAGAATAAACATGTCGAGGAGCAGTCAACTGTTACTACAAAGAATGATGATGAAATACCTGAAGTTGAAAATGGAGAAAATAAAATAAGCAAGCCATCCAAGAAGTCTAAAAAAAATAAGAAAAACAATGCTGGTGAACCTAATTCTGATCCTACAAAAAAGAATAAAATATGTGATACCCCAAGCAGAATTAATGAAAGCACCAATATGAATAACCCTCCAAGTAAAGAAAATGAAATAAAAGACAAAACAAAATCTAATCCTGAACCTGTTAATGTTGGACAGTGGTCCACAGCTTCATTTGGGGATTCTACAACGCAAAATAAATTCTTTCGACTAATGGGAGGAATGAAAAACAAAAATACAAGCGCAACTACTTCAGGCAATAAATTAGGAAAACATTTCAATGCTTTGGATAAAACCAAAGCAGATGAATTGAACAAAAAGCTTGAGGAACAATTTGAAAAAGCTCGAGATTTTCGATTTAATAAAGAAAAGGGTATAGGATTAGGTTTTGTTGAAGACCCAGCCAAAGGCAAAAAATTGTATATTGATAAATCAAAATCTAAGTCAATGAAATTTGATGATTGACACAGGGCACCAAATTAAGCAAAAATACAATATTGTTTTGATTGTTATAATTAGGCTGTCATAGTTTACTGTGTATATGTACTTAACTGCTTAATGTTCTAAGAAAATGAAATAAATAATATGGCACTTTATATACTTGTTCTGTGGCACGTTATTTTACTTTGATGTTGGGGACCATAACAATATGTCATCACATGTGGTAGTGACATAAAAAGTGAAGCCTGAACTGATGTATGTCCTCATGTTTTGGAGTGATGGCAAAAACAAATACCCAACAAAATTATTTCTAGATTGTTAACTTTTATTAAGTCCAATCCAATGTCTCATACGCTGTACACAATGTACTACATTATTCCACTGATGTCTCACTTTATACAGGCATATATTATTTATAATATCATATATACAAATAAAAATTGGCAATATATACATTTACCAATAATATTTATATGTAACAATAAATCTTTCGAAAAGAAAAGTCCTCAGCCAGATTCTACGTACAATCAAATTACTTATAAGCACTGAACAAAGATTGGCATAACCTGAAGTGAAACCTGTATAGTCGAACACTCCAGTCCAAACTAACTGTTTTAATGTTAAATGGACCTCATATAAGTGGAACACCTCCCAAGTGGAACAATTTTAGAGGTACTATATGTGTTCCACTTAGAACAGGTTTTACTGTACTTAAATAACATTCATTAAGAAATAATTGTTATAAACTTATTTGGCTTGTTTACAAGACACTCCAATACTACATAAGTTTGAAAACATGAAAACCACATTTTGCAAAATTGGCAATCGATCCATTGCCCAATTCATATGGATATTCAATTCACAGACAAGGCATTAACATGCAAAATGTCGCCATATGATACAGATGCCAAACACCAACCGCTGTCACAAAAAAGTTGGAGACCACACCAAAAAACTGGAATCTTCCAGTGAAAGTATAGGGACCAATTAAAAAATCATTTTATGTTTTTCACAGAAAAAAAATGATTAACTCGATGTTTCAATAGATTTAATGAATATGGCAGGAGGGTCTGACAGTATTGGCTTATTATGTTTTAAGATGTACTGTACTGATTTTCAGTTTCTCCATGATTACATAATTTGCCAAGATAGCTTTTGGAGACAGAATTTCAAAGGTATCCAACTTCAACACTGAAGCATTTTAAATGCCAGAAAGACTTTAAAATGATTAGAAACACATTTTCTGACTATCAAAAATATTGCTTTTTAGAACAGATCTTTGTTGATCATTTTCTCTAATATATATAATTAAATATGCGTTTATTTAAAATTGAGAAATGAGAGTTGTTCAGCAAACTTACATTTTTTACATCATCAACTTATCTTTCTAGTCAATAAAGTATGAAATGCTCATCTTAATTGTTAATGGAATAACAACATTGAAAGCATTGGATGATTTTTAATTTGAGTTCATTTTCTCATGAACATGGTTTAAAAATTCTACTTAGTGTGAAATGTGGATAAATGTGATGTGCAAACATATATGTTTTGATTGTAGAATCAGAGAATAGCTTCGTTCATTTAAGTAGAAAAATTCATGAAAATAATAAATCATTTCTATGGTATGGTTTCCTTTTAAGGAAGTAGAAGAAACCAAGTGTAAACTATTGAAAGCAATCTTTTCAAGAAGCATGTCAAACTCCCCCTTACATTCTTATTTTATTTTATGTAAAAAGAATGGAGTTGTCTGAACAATTAAGGTACAGTCATTGAAGATATAAGATGCAGAAATGTCCCATTTCATGAGAATTTAAAAAATTGACTCACTTTTTGACAGACACAGTAACCTTAAAATTGAAGGATTTAATCCTTTACTAGAATGTTGGACATGGAAAGGCGTGAGTAAAATTGTCATAATTTTTTAGACTTTCAACCTATCTCTATCCCTCCTACTTCCTTCAATCATGTCAATGTAAATGTTTTTATAAACTAAATAGGAATGCATAAGACTGCTGTTGAATGTGTCCGACTGTGATCTACTGCTGCACAAAAATAAATCTCTATTGTAACATCATAATGAGAAAAGCAATCCTATATCCTATATGGTGTTTCATGTTAGATATACAGGGTGTCCATTAGGTCTCTCTACACTTTACAAAGACTGTGTTGTTATTGTAGAGACTTTATGGACGCCAAATAAATTCAATAGAAAGTGTGTTGTTGCCTTAATAAATATATATTTTATGTTTCATTTTACTTTACATGATTTTGAATAAAGAACACTTTTACGAACACTTTAACACTGAGTGACAATAACCATCCATAAGCCAATTAGTGTACAGTACATAGCACTAACAGTTAACACAGTAAGTTATATCTAACAATTTAACAAAAGAATGTCCTTAGCCAATGGAAGAGTGTGAAACAGTTATAGTTCATTAAATACAGATGAGAGTGGGTTAATTATTCCAAAGACTCAAGCTCTTTGTTAGAAGGATGTGTTCAGCAGATTTCCCCATGTTAATTAAAGGAACTCAATTTGTACTTTTCAGTACACACAATAAAGACATTAACTCATTAATAATGGTCATAATAAATTGTTACAAACTCATTGTTTCATATTTCCAGAAGATATATGGGATCACAGACAAATGGGAAACAATATCTTCTAAAAATTCTAAACCATTTTTCCGATCTGTTCAAGTATTTTAAATTCTATCACCGGGTGAGAGGATATTTCATATCTTGTGACCTAACCAGTAACAATTTATCAGGATTGGCTATTACAGCATTTCCATCTTTTACTACAACATTTACATAACACATTGTTTTTCTCCAAATGAGTAAAATGGGCACTAAGAGATTCAGAAGAAGACTAAATAAAGACATGTAGTACATTTCATTCATTGGCAATGCTAATTCTTGGCAAAATAAATTTGGTGTTTTTTTCTCTTTACTTGGGCCAGGAAAAGAAATTCATGTTTCTGGTCATTGGGCATTCTCAAAATTCATTTCGTTCGTTGCGTACCTTCACTACCTCTCTGACGTTGTTTAAATAGTTCTAAAATTCCCGGGGCACGATCTTAGAAAGCTTCAGAAATTAGTACTTTCTTTATTACGAAATCAACGACGCCAAAACTTTGATATTCCATAAATCATGACGTTTTCAAATGATTTTACCATCGAAATTGGTAATCAATGATGCATTTGATGTGTCTTTAGGTAAAAATCTCCGCGGAGCAACAAATTGTAAAATGGCAAGATCGATAATCACACATTACTACACGATTTCAAGATGGAGGTGTCAAAATTTTCTAAAAACGCTTCAAATAATATTATGTTAATTTCTGGCGAGTTCATCAATATCATAACTTGTTATCTAGTAACAAGATAGAGAAACATGTAAGAAATTCAATTTTATCAATTAAAACATCACATCGACATGTGGTATTCGTTTATTAGACGGTTAAAATTACGAATATGGGGATGACGTCACTTCAAAACGAACTGCATAGCAACGGTGTTAATAAACAATTTCTGCCCTTGCAAATTCCTAAGTATTCATTTTTAACAGTTTGTTACGAATTACTTAATATTTTTCTTATAAATGAATTCTTACTACATTAGAAATAAACATTTTATTAAATATAACGAATAAAATCAGTAGCAAACACAAAGAAATATATTTTTTGAAGCAGGTCAAAATATTTAGCAGGGTAAATTTCGCGGGAATTTAAAGAACTGCATGAGGTAAGGCACAGGAGGTACGGATGGCACTGGACGAAAGGCTCGGAGACTGGTCATTGGGCTTTAAGATTTGAGACCCACTCGCCTATATTTTTATGGAAATGAACCCTCTCCAAAATATCGAAAATTCTACTTGGTAGAAAAGGAAATGGAAAACGCTGTTTATCTTGCATCTTTAGAAAATGCACTTTCTTGACAATCATACAGAACTACAGCAGCACCAATATAGCAGGACCCCAGAATGGGTCATATATTTTTCCTTTACAATTACTACCATGCAACCAGAACCACAACTTTTTCTTCCTGACCTAACTTTAACAAAGCCCATGGGAATTTGAACATACATGAAAGTGTCTCTAAAACCACAATACATATTCTATATAGTGTATACTCTAACATCTAGAACTGCACTTATACAATACATTTCAAGAGTACTTGCATGAGCACATGATATGTGAGTTTCATTAACTGCCAACAGGGAGGGGGACAATTATCACAAATATCACATTGGTCGTCACTTTAAACATTTATATGCCTGCCTGTTTTTCCTTTACTTATATAATAATAGTGTTATTACATGCTCGTACCTCTGTAGGTTTCTATATAGAATGTTAGAGGTAAGTTAAAGAGGTTAAAATGGAATGGACCGAGGAATATCTTTACATTGAACGTAGTCTTCCTTCCTTCCCTCATATTCATCTTTGGATTAGTAAGGGACAACCAAAATATAGTTCTATTCAAAAATAAACCTTTTGAAATTCACTGCATTTAATTCTAGAGTTCACAGGTGTCAATAATATCTTAGAGTAGAAAGTAAGTGGCCATACAATTATGAAACAGCAATAACTACAGAGAAAAAGATTTATTAACACAGATGATATGAAAACCAGTTGTGTTTAAGCATCAATATTAGAAAGATAGGGATGGATCAAGATAACAATGGAGGTACTGATGAAATCCTCAATGTACTGGTCAAACAAACAATCACATTCAGTTAATGAAACCTATTAATCCATTTTATGTGTTGATATATATTGTATATATTATTATCCCAGCATGATTATTCTCAAGAGGGGAATGGTTCAAAGATTCATTCCAGCTGCAAGCTCATTACAGAGTTTTTTATACTGCCATGTATCGCCAGCGATTTTCCTAAAACGCAGACCATTTTCAGATGACCCTTCACAAACCTCCATCTCCATTTGCACCCCATGATTTTCTAACCGGAATAATTTTTCGGAATATTCATATAATAAATTTGGCGATCGACTCTCCAGAGTTCGTTTTATTTCCTCTAAAATATCATTTACTCCCTTTTTACTGGTGAGATTAAATTTATATGCGAATCTTAAGTTCTGTGGGAGATTTTCAAGGCTATGCCGTAAATTGATTGTGTTCTTGTCACCCAAGGAGCTTGTTGGGGACAGGGGGTCAGGATGTCCCCTGAGGGTAAAGTAACTTTGGCTGAGATCACCGACACCTTCCTTGTGGGAATCCTGACCCACTTGGTTGACAACCATGTCAGTATTAGTAAAAGTCGTTGGTGGAATGTGCTGGTGTAGTTGTTGAATTTGCGCTAAAACGTCGTGATTATTTTGCACCGTATGATATCTCCTGTGACGCTGTTGTAAGCTATTTGGCCTGGAGACATGGTTCGTAGTTGGACGACCAGTGCTGAATAATCCCATCATGGGGAGACTATCGTCTAAGATGGGGGTACTAGGAGCAGGTGGGGAACCAGTCTCCATTCCGTCAGAATCTGGAGAGTCCGGAGCAACATCTGGTGTTGTTCCAGCTTCCTGACCCCCAGATTCATCAAGTTCGACACTATCTTGAGATGACGTCATTAAAGTTGACTGACCTTGAGCATCGGTTATGCTTATTTGAGGATTTTGTCCAAAGGCTGACTGTTTCCCTTCCTGCCCTCCTCCGTTACTACTACGGGACATTTCTTCCAAATCTAAATCCTTATCACTAGAATCCAATGAATCCTGTTCTTTGATCATATGTAAGTTTTGGAAATTCGGAGGTGGACTATTCCGATGCTGAGGCGATAGATTCTGTAAGATGAAATTCTGAGCAGTAGCGCCACCTGATGGGGGTGGGGAATCAGTACTACCCCTGGGAAGGAGAGGACTATACGTAGGTGGACTATTGCGACTTGTTGGACTCCCAACAACTGGGAACTGTTGAAGTTGTAGACGTTGCAAATGTTGATACAGGTTATTTGACTGGAGATTATTCGACTGAATGTGTATACTGTTGGACTGTAGAGTATGGTCCGGTGCCCCCTGGGGGGCCTGTTGTGGAGGGAAGCTGGGTGAGGCACAGGCTGGGGGAGAGGGGCTAGGCACTGGCGAGATCAGCTGGTTCTGAAACACAAAACAAAACATTTACTCACTATCAAATCACTACTTAGACAAAACTTGTACTGTCTTCTGGAAAAATATTTTCAGTTCACATTCAAGGCTCAAGTTCAAAAAAAAAATTCTTTGTTGATTTAAAAAACAACTATTATCATTGAGTCGGCATCATCTTTTAGTATTTTAAATGTCCATTTCATGTTTAATATGCTAGTTTCACTTAATATGGATTTATGTAAATTCATCATTTGATGTTTCAGGAACTGTAAACCTGAAAACGTCACAAAACTGAAACACAACATGGCAACGTGGAATTCCATGTTGTCATTTGATTAGAGCAGTTTAAGTTTTATATTATGAAAGGTTTATCATATTCTATTTCAATAAACCGGAAATAAGTGTGTCATACAATATGAAACAAGGCATTAACATGACAAAATGTCACCACCTAGTTGCTCACAATATTATGAGTTCAAACTTAAGTCAGATTTGAATTTCTGAGAACTTGTTAAGTCAAATTTGTACTTCTGAAAAGATGTAGATGATTTTGAAAAAAAAATTGGGTCAATTTGAAGCAAGTTGAAAACAGACCTTTTTGACCTTTTTTGACCTTGAGAAGGTCATTAAAGGTCAAATGTCAAATCTAAAGTCAGATTTGAATTTCTGAGAACATGTAGATGATTTTGAAAAAAAAATTAGTCAATTTGAAGCAAGTTGAAAAAAGACCTGTTTGACCTTTTTTGACCTTGAGAAGGTCATTGAAGGTCAAATGTCAAATCTAAAGTCATATTTGAATTTCTGAGAACATGTAGATGATTTTGATAAAAAATTTAGTCAATTTGAAGCAAGATGAAAAAATACCTTTTTGACCTTTTTTGACATTGAGAAGGTCATTGAAGGTCAAATGTCAAATCTAAAGTCAGATTTGAATTTCTGAGAACATGTAGATGATTTTGAAAAAAAAATTTAGTCAATTTGAAGCAAGTTGAAAAAGACCTTTTTGACCTTTTTTGACTTTGAGAAGGTCATTGAAGGTCAAATGTCAAATCTTAAGTCAAATCTAAAGTCAGATTTGAATTTCTGAGAACACGTAGATGATTTTGTAAATTTTTTTTAGTCAATTTGAAGCAAGTTGAAAACAGACCTTTTTGACCTTTTTTGACCTTGAGAAGGTCATTGAAGGTCAAATGTCAAATCTTAAGTCAGATTTGAATTTCTGAGAACACGTAGATGATTTTGAAAAAAAAATTTAGTCAATTTGAAGCAAGTTGAAAACAGACCTTTTTGACCTTGAGAAGGTCACTGAAGGTCAAATGTCAAATCTAAAGTAAGATTTGAATTTCTGAGAACATGTAGATGATTTTGAAAATTTTTTTTAGTCAATTTGAAGCAAGTTGAAAAAAGACCTTTTTGACCTTTTTTGACTTTGAGAAGGTCATTGAAGGTCAAATGTCAAATCTTAAGTCAAATCTAAAGTCAGATTTGAATTTCTGAGAACACGTAGATGATTTAGAAAATTTTTTTTAGTCAATTTGAAGCAAGTTGAAAACAGACCTTTTTGACCTTTTTTGACCTTGAGAAGGTCATTGAAGGTCAAATGTCAAATCTTAAGTCAAATTTTAAGTCAGATTTGAATTTCTGAGAACACGTAGATGATTTTGAAAAAAAAATTTAGTCAATTTGAAGCAAGTTGAAAACAGACCTTTTTGACCTTGAGAAGGTCATTGAAGGTCAAATGTCAAATCTAAAGTCAGATTTGAAGGTCAAATGTCAAATCTAAAGTCAGATTTGAATTTCTGAGAACATGTAGATGATTTTGAAAAAAAATTTAGTCAATGTGAAGCAAGTTGAAAAAATACCTTTTTGACCTTGAGAAGGTCATTGAAGGTCAAATGTCAAATCTAAAGTCAGATTTGAACTTCTGAGAACATGTAGATGATTTAGAAAAAAATTGAAGTCAGTCTAAACAGTATTTGTTAAGTTATAGGAAGTTGTAAGAAATTGTTACAGACGCCGGACGCCAACCGCCGGACGCCAACCGCCGGACGCCAACCACCAACCGCCGGACGCCGTCACAAAAAAAACGGAGACCATAACAATATGTCACCACTTTTTGGTGGTGACATAACAATATACTAATTATTTCAATAATTATTTATCAGTGCATAGGAAACGGGTAATTATATAAATGTGCAAATTAACTGTCATGGGATTTAACTGGCAAGTGAGTTACTTGCAATGATGCAAGGTTGGTACTTATTTATCCAGCTTCACTTAAAGAACAATATGGAAATATGATGAGTTTATAACAGCTTTATGGGCTGTTGTGATCAATAAAACAAATGATTCAATGATCTCAAAATCAAATGGCTTATAATATATTGGATAACCATGGGCCTGTCCCCGTTGTTCCATTAATGACAGCCTCTGTACAAGAAAGATTGTTGTTATAGCTCACAAAGATATACAAGTACAGAGAAATCATACAACATGTCACAAATGTTACACAGCGAATGCTGATTAAGGAAGGCAGCTGGTCAGAACCTTAATTAATTATAACTTGTTCAAACATGAAGCCACATGGTCTCAAGTACATTTCTATCAAAAATGAAAAAGCCATAAGTAAAACATGAGGAGAATATTTTAGCTTGCATATGAAATATTTTAACTAGCATATGCATTCGATATATTCAATTCGCTCCACATTTCAAAATATTTTAAATCACAAAACAGAGCCCTGCTTGATTCTATCACATATCAAACTAGACAACAGCAACGCCAAAGCGTAGCAAATCCCATCAAACAGCCATGGCTGGCATTTTTACAAAAAATGTATAAAGCAAAAATGGCAGCCATTTTTCAAAATGGCCACCTTCTACCAAAAGTGTCATTAGACAGTGTGCCATGCTTATAGTATTCACATACCAAATATGAACAAAATCGCTCCAATACTTTTCGAGTTATAGTAAAATGCGTTAAAATGGCGGCCTTTTTTTTAAACTTGAGTATATGTGGTATATGTGTACAAAATATGAACAAAATCAGGCCAACGGTATTTGAGTTATTGCCTGGATGGACGGATGGAGGCGTTCTCTATATCCCTCCGAACTTCGTTCGATGGGATAATAATTATTTGATTATTGTTTCATATTTGAAGGAAAGAAATCATGTCTGGTGGACTGTTTCATTATATTAAGCGATAATAGATGTTAAAAATAGTAAGAAACAAATTAACTGCAAAATAGCTACAAACTCAGCAAAGAAGATATTTAAGTATTTTAATTAAAGTAAGGAAGCTATCTGTTGATAAAAATGTCACAGACCCAATTTTTAAATGCAAAATAAGCAAAAAATGGTCAATTCAACGAGAAATTAAGTAAACAGGCATGTAGTCAACACTCTAAATTGTGTGGAAATGCCATAAAATCTGGCAGTTCATTCAAATATAAGAGAGAAATGGCAAGAAATAAACATGACATGTGACATTTTCAGCAGACGGATGTATATCCCCCCCACCTGGAGTGAATGGTGGAACCTGTGCAGATGCTGATGCTGTTCTTGTAGTTCTTGCTGCTTCTCTGCATTACTACCTCCTCCCACTTGTTTCTGCAAGAATACACTCATATTCTGATTTTTGTGACATTTACCTTACAGGTAAACTATTCAGCATGTACTGGGTGATACGATGACTAATTTAAGGAAATCATCTGGCTATGGATGAGAACATATTTCCTTTTGTCCTCAATTACAATGAACTGAGTAATTATATTAGCACTTAAAATGTGATAATAAATAATATATTATCAGCTATATTCCTGAAAGAATAGCATAATACATAGTGGAACTGAAGTGCTTAGTTGAAAACAATACTAACAAATACAGTGATTTGTGGAGTCACTATGGCTACTGATCTCTAGTTTTTCAATATTCCATATATTCTATCCAAATTTTACAGACATCTTTGTTACATATAGGGCATCAAACCATGTAAGAATGAAATTGTATGGTTTCCAATATCAAAAGTTATAACCATTATATGACGAAGCACAGATTTTTTGGACTAGAGAGTATTTCATTCTCTATTTGGTAAATATCAATGTGGCACTTTCTCAAGGTTATATTCTACCAGCCCTTCAGGGTTCTTAGAAGATCAATTGAGGAAGATGCACTATAATGGATTCATTTAAACCATAAGTTCACTGATGCTTAATATCAAGCATACTCTTACTTTGTCAGTTTTTATATGTAACTTTACAATTCAATGTAACTCTAATAGAAGAGGTAATATAAATATAAATATATAAATAAATAAAAATAAAATAAAATAAATATACAGTAAAACCTGTATATCTGAACACCTGGCTAATCCGAACACCTTCCAATTTGAACACTTTTTTTCGGTCCCATTTTTTCCTCCCATTGACTCCCATGTTAAAAAAACCTTGAAATCTGAACACCTCCTAATCTGAACAGTGAACAACCAGATTTGAAAAGCTGACCTGTCTAATCTGAACATTTTATCAGAAATCAAATGTCTGGACATTTCAATAATAGCCACATATTGAGTCAATGTTATAGTTCTTATTATCTTTACATATGCAATATAATCAAAGAACCAATATTGTCCTAATCAACTTATTTAAGTCTCAATGACATCCCTAATTGTGGAAAACAACAGGAAAGGTGGAATACGGGAGTTAATTGGTTTATCCTATAGAAAAGAACTGAATGTTTTATGTTTGGATTAAGAGAAAGGTATGAATCAAGAAGATAATTGGTTTATCCTCATTTTAAATTAACTGGATGTTTTTGATTTGGATTATGAACAAGTCTTAACTGTTTTATATCCCATGTGTCTGTTATGATAGCTAGGATTCAATCAGTAAATGTTTTATAATCACAGAGACAACACAGACACATTTGCAGACAAGATTATAATTGTTTTATCATTATTAGAAATTACCTGGATGTTTTTTGATTTGGATTAAGAGAAAGGTGAGAATCTGGGAGATAATTGGTTTATCCTTATTTTAAATTAACTGGATGTTTTTGATTTGGATTATGAACAAGTCTTAACTGTTTTATATCCCATGGGTCTGTTATGATAGCTAGGATTCAATCAGTAAATGTTTTATCATCACAAAGACAACACAGACACATTTGCAGACAAGATTATATCACGAGAAAGAGAAAAAATTCAACTTTTCAATTCATATTTTGAAAGATTATGCATCATCTCGAATTAGCACTCATGAAAAATTCTTTTTAACTGAAGAGGGTATCTACTCAAATATTGCTAATGCTAAAAGTGCCAAGAAACAAACAACAATGAACGACTTTTTCAAGCTAAAGTAAAGCAGTGCTATGTAACCATAATATGAGATAAGTCATTTAATAAGCATAAGATTCCGTACAAGACTATCATATACTTATTCAGTGTATTACAAAGTTTTTGCCAAAATTAAAGAGTTATTTTTCCCAAAATTATGAAATTGTTCAAAATGTAAATAAAACATAGCATATACATGTAGGCTATCAGCCTATTGTAGAATAAACTCATCAACAACATGTATTGTTTAAGTATTAAGTGTTCAATATAGTGGACTGAACAATGAAAATCCCCCCCCCCCGACCAACAATATCCTCGAAATTTGAACACCTGCCAATTTGAACGCTTTTGGCTGGTCCCATGGGTGTTCGGATTAGACAGGTTTTACTGTATATAAATATGCAATATAATACTCTACAAATATTTAATTCTATTGAGGGGAATACCTGACCATCTTTCACAAGTGATATTCCACGAAGCCCGAAGAAATATTTGTTTCATTATTCACTGTTATATTCCTCACTCACATTAATGGAATAACAAACTATTGATGTCTAATTGATCATAACAATGTACTACCGGGGATACTGAAATTATACTGGACTTAACAATGTATTACCAGGGATACTGAAATTACACTGGACTAAGTCTAACTAACTGGTGAATATCATTTGATATTCAATGGAAGTCAAGTGCCTTCTGTTGAATATCACTTGTTAATTTTTTAATCACATGTAGGACATGGACCAATGAGAGAGTGAGGAATATGACAGTGATATAATAAAATGAAATATTCCCTTCTAATATTTTTACCTGAAGTTGCTGATACTCTTGGTGCAATTCTTTAAGACTGTTATGTGCTGAACCCTTATTGATTGTCTGGTTATATAGTTTCTCTAGGTGTGTTTGATAGCGTTGTACCCCTGCTGCCCCCTCACTTGCTCTCCTCACTGGGCTATACCTCTCATTGGGTACAACCAAGATGTGCTGCTCTTTGTAACATTCACGACCACCTGAAAGTTGTCCTTCATTAAAGTAAGAATCTATGGTGCAATATGTCATTACACCTAAAGGTTAACGAAATTATGGCCGACCTGGTCAAGATGCAAACTTTATGAGTCACTTTGTGCGTATGTTACATTCTCATATTGTTTAAATTACACTTTTATTATTATAACCAATCAATATTGAACATGTTATTTCACATCTCAAAAAACTCACCTGTCGGTATCCTGTCTTTGTCAGGTGATGTTAACAGTGATGCTGCACAACGACGCGATCTTATAGGTTGCTGCATGGCTAGTCTCTCTTGCAGCTCTTCGGTGACCTCATATGCTGGACTCGTCATAGCCAGAGTGTGCCGTTTACCTCTGCCTCGGGACTGGAGATACCTGAATCACAAACAAATAAACCCACTTACATTAGCAGCCTCTTGTATGCCGGGAATGGAAAGAATGACTGGGCATACAATGCAATGCTGACACATTGAATGACAACGGAGGTAAATTCAGTAATTTTACGAGCAATTTTAAAAAAGTCACAACTTTTCCAGGTCAGGGACACTTATTTTGGTTTCCCTGATAATACAGGGTGATCAGAAACTATGAGATTGGAGCTACTTTTTTCTTAAAGTCACCATACCTGGCAACAGCATCTTGGTCTGGCTCTTGGTCAGATCCCTCTTCATTCTCCTCAACTGTGACAGAGGTCTGTAATGTTTGACTGATGGGATGCCCACTTGGAGAGAGCTACAAAAAAAATAAGACGAAATATAGAAATTTGAATATTTCATGTCAAAATGGACAATACAAAGAAAAGTCTGTAATGTTTGACTGATGGGATGCCCACTTGGAGAGAGCTACAAAAAAAATAAGACGAAATATAGAAATTTGAATATTTCATGTCAAAATGGACAATACAGAGAAAAGTCTGTAATGTTTGACTGATGGGATGTCCACTTGGAGAGAGCTACAACAAAATAAGACGAAATATAGAAAGTTGAATATTTCATGTCAAAATGAACAATACAAAGAAAAGTCTGTAATGTTTGACTGATGGGATGCCCACTTGGAGAGAGCTACAACAAAATACAAGAACACAAATGTGTACAAAATGTCCCCACCTTTGGGTGATCCCGTCAAATGGTTATCCTAAAAATGAGTAGACAAGACTTTACCGACACAATTTGTGGACGGAAAATCCAAAATGGCCACCTTAAAATTTACCCAGAATGCCAAAAAATTAGTCAGTTCTAGATTTTCATACTAAGAACCACCCCTGAAAATTTGAAATTGATCCGTCACACAGTTAACCAGAAAACATGTAAACAAGACTTTACAGACAAGATTTGAGGACAGAAAATCCAAAATGGCTGCCTTGACATTTATCCAGAATGCCAAAAAACTAATCTGTTCAAGATTTTCATACTAAGAATCATCCCTTAAAATTTTAAATTGATCTACCAAACGGTTCACCTGGAAATGCGTAGATAAGACTTTACAAACAAGATTTTAGGACAGAAAATCCAAAATGGCTGCCTTGACATTTACCCAGAATGCCCCAAAACTAATCAGATTTAGATTTTCATACTAAGAATCATTCCTGAAAATTTGAAATTGATCTACAAAACGGTTCACCTAGAAACGCGTCGACAAGACTTTACGGGCAAGATTTTAAGACGGAAAATCCAAAATGGCTGCCTTGACATTCATCCAGAATGCATAAAAACTAATCAGATCTAGATTTTCATACTAAGAATCATCCCTGAAAATTTGAAATTGATCTACCAAACAGTTCACCTGGAAATGTGTAGACAAGACTTTACAGACAAGATTTTAGGACAGAAAATCCAACATGGCTGCCTTGACATTTACCCAGAATGCCCAACAACTAATAAGATCTAGATTTTCATACTGAGAATCATCCCTGAAAATTTCAAATTGATCTACCAAACGGTTCACCTAAAAACGTGTAGACAAGACTTTACGGGCAAGATTTTAAGACGGAAAATCCAAAATGGCTGCCTTGACATTCATCCAGAATGCATAAAAACTAATCAGATCCAGATTTTCATACTAAGAATCATCCCTGAAAATTTCAAATTGATCTACCAAACAGTTCACCTGAAAATTCGTAGACAAGACTTTACAGACAAGATTTTAGGACGGAAAATCCAAAATGGCTGCCTTGACACTTACCCAGAATGCCCAAAAACTAATCAGATCTAGATTTTCATACTAAGAATCTTCCCTGAAAATTTGAAATTGATCTACCAAACGGTTCACCTGAAAACGCGTAGACAAGACTTTACAGACAAGATTTTAGGACGGAAAAATCCAAAATGGCCGACAATAAAAAAGTGATTATGAGTTTTTGCTGATTTCTTTTTACAAAATTATCACATATAACTACTGTTAACAATAACATAGGCTTTTACAACAAAGCACACCTGAAATTATTTATAAAGCTACTAAATAGTTAAAGTATGAAAACTGACAAACACCATTCAATATGATACAAAGTATTATCGTGCGCTAACTTTTCTTAAAACATTCAAAATGGCTGACATGACTGAGCTAACAGGTCCAAAACCTAATCAGATCTAGAATGAAGTGAGCTGAACAAGATGTTAAAGTTTTAAAAGCAACTGTGAAGCCGTTTTTCTTAAAGTTTGCAGACAAGGATTTTAGCATTTGACTTCAAAATGGCCGACAGGAAGTAGGTATCGAGTTAATTTTTTTTCATCCACATCTGTATGCACTCATAAGTTATCCCTGAAAATTTGAAGGTGATATCTGTAGTGGTTTTGGAGAAAACTCCCGGACGTACGGACGTACGGACGGACAGACGGATGGACGGACGGACGGACAGATGGACGGACAGACGGACGGACAGACAGTCGGACGCGCCTAGGCCGACAATATGGCCCCACACTATGTGGTGGGGACATAAAAACGAAATATAAAGACTTGAATATTTCATGTCAAAATGAAAAATACAAAGAAAAGTCTGTAATGTTTGACTGATAGGATGCCCACTTGGAGAGAGCTACAACAAAATAAGAAGAAATATAGAAACTTGAATATTTCATGTCAAAATGAACAATACAAAGAAAAGTCTGTAATGTTTGACTGATGGGATGTCCACTTGGAGAGAGATAATAAGATGAAATAAAAAAAACTTAAATATTTCATGTCGAAATGAACAATACAAAGAACAGTTTTAAACCAGCCTTTAAAATCTGAACCAATTATGACAAATGGAATTTGAGTTATCGTCTGGACAAACAACTTCTCTATATCTGAACTCAACTATAAGGACACTGACATGCTCGATCACCGTGACATCTCTAATCATTGAATAAACGGCTCAGACAGGGTTTTCATTTATTTTTGTTGAGAAATGAAATTATTGATTCAATTTTGTCTGCATGCGTCAATGACAGTGCTAAATATACATATTTATGTTTGAACTGTGAAGTTGCATATTGTAATTTTATTTCAAAACAAAACATTTTAAAAACAAAAGCTATTATTACAGAGATCATGAAACTCCATCGACAAAAAATTATAAGACTATAACAATATGTCACCACTTTTATATATTAAAACCCCTTACTCATGTGCAAGTATTAGGGTAGTTCAAATGTTTCAAACATTGTTTCATGTAAGTTTATCAAAACATCCTATTGAGCTGCCGAGTAAAGCTTCAATGAAAATATCACCAGAGCATTAAAAGTTTATTTCTATTAAGTATATCAATACAGTCTATGATAGAGTCAATAGTTCATTATGATCACATATCATTTTCAGATTTTGACCTAAAATGGTATAATGCCTAATGATGGATTGGTTTTCATAAATTGTTGTATTACATCACCAATAGTTGACATTTCATTTCATAATTAAAGAAATATAACATAACTATTATCTAAACATAGCTATTATTAAAACATAACTGTTGTTTTTAGTAGTTTTGGGTCAGATACAAATTGAAAAGGAACTAAACTGTTTTCAAGATATACTCAGAACGAATCCAAAGTTTGTTCCACATTTTTTCTGTAATAAACCATTTTGAAGAACATGTTACAGAGAGTAACTTACAGATCCTACTGTCTCTTGACTCCCAGGTTGACTGCATATGAGAGGCCTGTTAAAATGCTGGGCAAACAGCTGGATGTTTGCCCCTCCATCAGAGGCCCTTCTACCCATATGGGCCATCCCTCCTGAAACAAAAAATACTCAATCATGAGCATTTAGACATTTAATCAAAGAAACTTGAAAGCTTGGCTCTTTCTACATCTTTAACAATTCAATTTTTCCCAACAAGGAAATTCTACGACAATTTCAAATATACATGTTAAAGAATTATTTGGTGCATTTAAATTGAGAAAATGTATAACTCCCTAATAAATATGAAACCTGAGCCAGTCCCTAACCATAAAACTCTTATTCTAGCCAGCTGATAAATATAGAGTCTTGAGTAATAACCTGTAATACATACCTGGACCCATGACTTGTGGAGGTCTCAGTAAATGAGGATCCTTGACTGTGTAGTTGTGAGGAGAATGATTCTGCACAGGGGGTAAATTTGAAGGTAGATTCATTTGAGGGAGTAGGCTTGCATGATTGAACAGCGAAAACTGATCAATGGGGTTTGTAATAAATGTTGGTGGCATGGCTAGAATGGGCTGATGATGGGCAAGTTTGACTCTCACATCTTCCGGGGCCTCATGATCTGGGTCTCCTACCCCCACAGTGTGTCGACGCATGGCACGATATCGGGCCAAGGCCTCTGGAGATGGCTCCTCATCAGAATCCTCATGGTCAGATTGCTCCATTGACTACAAATAATAATATAGCTATCAGTATTTCAAACTAAGTTCAGAAGTAACAACCTCATACACAACCATATATTGTATATTTTAATTTTTTGTGTATTATTACAGACTGACAACTCATTCTTTTGTATATTTAGTTCAGAGATAAAATGCTGCTTTACTTTTACTTTGCTAACTCTGTTGTTTTTCACTCGATTTTAAGCATAGAAATATTGGCATTTATCGCCAGTTAAAGAGGCAGCAAAGACTTAAGATGAGTCAAGAAAAGAATTTATTAAAAATGTTGAAAACACGTAATTAATTTGTATTGTACATTTCTACACTGCATCTTAAATTTTCAATAAAATCCATATTTGATCAGCAATTTCAATTTCTTTTCAAGGAATAAAATTAAAATTGACAGGAAAACATTGACATGCTCTATAAACTGACTGTTCCTAACCAATGAACACCATTCTTTATTGCCACTTTAACTCACCTGCTGTTGGTACAACTGCATATGTGGCATGGCCGCTGTAGCTGCAACGAGGGCTGGATTGATGAGGGGACGTGGGGTAGTCTCACCAGTGTGAACCTCTACAGGTACTTCAACAGTTTCAACTGGAAAAGGAAAAAAACAATGATTAAACTGTCAGTAAAGTTAAGAGAATGAGAACAGTTGAACTGGAACAACCAGTTTCCACTACACCCCCAAAATGCAATCTGATTTTCGACGCCGTTTCGGTGCCAAATTTCGGTGCCGTATCGGCACCAAATGGACTGACTAGTTTCGGTGCGGAACGGTGTCGAAACGGTGCCAAATTTTTTCGATGCCGAAACGGCGTCGAATTATATTGGCTGTGTACTATTTTGCAATTGAAAGAATTCACACAAACTCACAAACTTGCATTAAAGAGGCATCAAAGACTAGAAACAAGTTGAGAGTACATGTAAATATTGAAATGATCATCACAAAATGGACTTCACTTTCTCATTTCAATTAATTAGTTATTTGTAGTTAGTCATTTATCATTTTTCACTAACTAGACTTTGCTGCCTCTTTAACATATCATCTTAAGGCTAAACACATATGAGAGCAACCAGTTTTAATAGCTATTATGAGATATTGATTGAAATCACAGGGTCATTTAAAAACTGTAATTATTCACACGACAACATCTTACTCACCCACACCAGTTGTAATGCTAGACCTTCTTTCAGTCCGCGTTGTTACCAAATTAGGAGGTATGGGCCCAGGCTCGGAGAGCTGACGTCCTAATTTATGACTACGTCGTTGTTTTTCAACAAGTAAATGGTAGATTGCACTAAGATAATCGAATGCTTTGTTATTTACAGACTGAAATCAGAAATATTATATTGGTTTATACAGTGTATAATATATTATATATATAATACTATGTAATACTACATATATTTACCTCCAACATGTACACATTAATGTTATTTTCCACCAGGAAAAAATGAATGAATTATTGAAATTGAAAATGTCTTTGATTACTTAAATGTTCAAGCTCAATATTCAGGTACAGAAAGAAATATTTTTCATATCTTGAAGTACTATTTTGTTATTCTCTTTTATGTGTCATATGTCAAGTGCTTCATACGAATTGAAAATTATGGAACTTCAAAGCACAGAAAGTACTGCAAAATTCCTAAGACGAGTTATTTTGAAAAAATGGCATTTTCTGTGTTGTATACTGCTTATGGAACGCCTATTTAATCAGCTCAAATAATCCCATTCTCATATATAAGCTCAAAATGTGATGACAGATTAGCTGCATGTCTAAACTACCTGCACAACTTTATCACGTTCAATTCCTAAAGACTCTAAATGTTGTAGAATTGTTTCACTGGGTTCACTGTCATCATTTATGCTGAGAATTTGCAAAGAATCACTGATAAGTCTCTCAAACTCTGGGTCTTCTCCACCCAGTTTCATCCATTCATGTTGCACTATTTCCCTCATTGATATTCGTTTGTTACAATCTACTGTCAGCATACTGCGTATGAGGCTTTCGCATTCTGAAAAAATTACATGGGAATTTGCTTCATATAAATTTTCATGGCTTGTCTAGAGGGAATCCTCTATAAGTTACAGTATGACTTTAGTCAATTACATAAAATATTGTGCTCCAGAAAGTCTGGATTACATGAGACACCAGTTTTACAAGACAGGCATCAGGGTTCGAAACTCAGAGTTGCATGACAATCAACAGCCATCACTTCACTCTTGGCAATGAATGAGTTATTGGGCAACTATTGGGCAATGAACTGGATGCTATGATGTTTGAGGCATATGTCAAATGAGCAAACCAGATCAGTAGAAATTTCATCATCATTGAATAATAAAGGAGATCACTTTACCTGTGGACATGTAGAAAGGAATTCGGAATTTTCCATTAACAACTCTGGTCTTCAGACTTTGTAAAGTACTCCCATCAAATGGTAAAGCCCCACACACAAGCACATATAAAACAACACCTAAGCTCTGGAAACAAAATGGAAATGAAAAACATTTAAGTGTGGATGATTCATAAGCTCTAAATAAAAACAATGACAACGGAAACATTTTAACCTATTTTTAAGTATATTATTTTCAGATTACAAGGGACTTTATTGACTAAACCCATCTAAAATATCTAATAACAAAAAATATCTTAATAACAATCACATTTCAAATGATATGATATGACAAAGATCAAAGCTATCTCACCCAAATATCTACTTTAGGGGCATCATATTCAAGTCCCTCAAATAATTCAGGTGCAGCGTAAGGAGGACTTCCGCACCAGGTCTTCAGTGGACTGCCTGGCACAAACTCATTACTAAACCCAAAGTCTGCAACAAGACAAACAGTGATAAATATTGCACTTCGAAGAGCAAAATGGCCATCATGTAATTTAGCCAGTATGCCCAAAATCTAATCACATCTTGGCAATAGAACCATAGCTTCTCAGGAACCCGTACAGTATGTAAATACTTTGAAGAATAAGTGCAAAATGTATATTTTAGGAAAATTCAATTTTTTTAGTCAAAGTCAAGCTATTTTTATAAAACACATTTTTTTCTTGTTTTTATTATTGGGAATGTTGTTCTGAGATATGTTCAGAATGCACCAGAGGGTCTAAATTTGAAAATTGTCCGGGGCCGGCCCCATCGACGCTTCACGCAGGACCAATCCATATCCAAAAGTTGGCCCCTCCCTTGCCGATCCTTCCGACGCCCCTGGGATGTAGATATATTTTAAAAAAATACCTGCTATTTTTATGTTCAGGTTTTGATCCAGCAGTAAATTTTCAGCTTTAAGGTCCCTATGAACAACATGGTGACTATGACAATATGCAACAGCTGCCACGATTTGTTTGAAACGTGCCCTAGCTTCTTTTTCATTCATTCGTCCATGCGCAACTAAGTGGTCTGAAAAAAAAGAAAAACATAATATTTATGCATGGATATAAATGATTTGTGTATAACATTAAAAAAACAGGTGTTTTTCTAGACTGCTTTTAAATTTCATTTTAATGATATTTTAACCTCTTGAATAATGAGATATGTGAGTATTTGAATTCTCTACATAATGCTCCATTGAAAAACGAAAAGTTCCAATCTTTAATTTGGTAGTAACCTTTGCCATTGCTCTATACGAAGAAAACATATATGAAACACTGTGAATATTAGAGATGGTGTTAATATATTTGTTTACAGTTTTGAAATAGCAAGGTGGATTTTGTAAGGGCAAATGATAATTTCGTTCGTGAAAATGTAGATTTTCAAGTAAAAAAACCCAGAAAAAAATCAACATTTCATTTCTTTGTAACAAAATTAACTTTGTTTTCCATTTCTGTTAATTTTCCCCTTTAGGAATTGCAAGATCTATAGAGGACTCACCAAATATTTCACCCCCACTTGCATACTCTGTAACCAGGTATATCATCCTCTCAGTTTCCATTACCTAGAAAATACAATACAACATAGAATTTTTAGATCGTAATAGAGATTTTTTAGCATTTGGGTTCATGATGATAACAGTTAGTAGATACATAATTTGATGTTAGGTTGTTTATTTTTGTGTCTTCAATTTGAAGACTATTTTGTACCATGATATTATGTTGGCACGGCGTGTAATCTGAATATGTTTGGAAAGTATTTATATAACTACAATACAAGGCATTAACATGACAAAATGTCACCACCACCTAGAAAATCTAATCAATTTGAAGCAAGTTCAAATACCTTTATGACCTTTTTACCAGCTCAAATCTCAAATCTAAAGACAGATTTGAATTTCAGAGAACTTGTAGATAGTTTCGAAAAAAATTTGGTAAATTTGAAGCAAGTTGAAAAATATCCAGCCACCAACCAACGTCACAAAAAATGGAGACCTAACACTTTTTGGTGGTGACATAAAAACTTGTCTCAGTGAACATCTGTGTTTTATGAACACCTCTTCTTAACTCATACTCCACTGACTTTTTATTTAAATTCGCCTCTGTAGTGAACACCTACCTAAAGTGAACATATTTTCGTGGCTCCATAGCTGTTCAGTACACAGGTTTTACATTACCCATTTATTTTAATCGCTCTGATATTTTCACAGCTGAGGCCAGAAATAACAGATTTTGTCAGCTAGACAAAAAGTGGGAGAGTTTATAATGATCAAAAATCATAGTCATCATGACATGATACACAGATTCAACCGTCTGAACATAATTCAATATCTAGATCTGTAATTAAATAATGTCACGATGTCTCGATTGCAATTGTCAGGTTAAAATGTTACATATAATTTGAAAAACTCCATTCCATGAATGTCAAATATATGTTGAGATTGCTAGAGATGATTCCCCATAAAGAACAACATTCTGATATTTTAATATAAATAGACACATTTTTTGTTAAGTGATTCCACATGAAATTCTATGGGTATTTTTGCTAATTAGCCATTACTGAACAGCGAACATTCAATTGAATAACAGTTCCCAGACATGATATACTATATTATATAGACTCGGTCACAGCAGTTCGTTCTTAACAGGCTCGATCACAAGGACGTGGGGTTAATTAATTAAACCATTGCTACTAGATCATTATCGATAGCCTTGATGCAGAGCTCGATTTGAGACACTGTTCTGTGAATGCAAAGTTATCGTACTGCTCAAAATGATAAATGTTTTCAGTGCTACAGTTATAACATTAGATATTGCACTGAAATGGGAAATTGTATAACTGTTGATGATGATAAATGCATGTTGTTACATAAAAATAATTATTGTGAATAAGGCAAATCTGGTACTTAAGAGGATGGACTATATCTTATATCTCATTTCAGAATTTTCATATATAATATATCTTACCTTACACTCATAATAATTTTATAGATCTTTTTTCCATAAATATCGATAGTCATACAATAATGTTTTTGCATGAATACTCTTATAACTTATGTTTTTGAGCTCTTATATGTTATACCTATCTGGATAACCCCCCCCCCCCAAAAAAAAAACACAGATATTGACAAGAAAATGATGGTAGTTAAATGCCTCAGTTACATTTGATCTATGGACATTTTTTATTGAGGTTAACATCAATAAGGTAAACATAATGACAAAACTAATTTCTGTTTCTTCAAATTGAGACATGATATGTTGACATGAGCACAAATATCTCATCATAAGCAGACAAGATACTATATACCAGAGTATCAATAAAATTTAGTTTTCATGTTAAGAATATTTGAGAAGTGTCACCTTACTTTCTATAAAGCACTTGAATTCATGTAATAATTCAGATACTGAAAGCTTCAAGATAACCAGGACTTTGTTTACTGGCATATATGTTAAGTACAAATATAAGAACATAAATACTATCTTAAAATTTCATCAATCTCTACAGGTATCAACTGTACTATACTTCCCAGCATATTACTAATTTTTTACTTCAAAATGCCAAATTGAATATCTAATTTTGAGTGCCCATATTAACAAATATAAACAGTTTTAACAAATATAACTGTTTTATTGTTTGAACAACACATTAAACTTGTTAACACATGGTGTGAAATTGATTAGTAAAATCCTATTTCATAATCTAGTTCTAAATATTTGCTTGCATTATGTACTTGTAGGAAATCGTAACTCTCATCGTCATATCAGCAGAGTTATATAATATTGTAAAATCTGTCTTCAAACCCAAATGGGACCAATCAAAAGTACTTGGATTTTTTAACATAAATTATCATGGCTTACAGTAACTTAGATCTTGGAGAAGTTTTGCTTGCACTCACAACCTTAAAGTGCATTCATTGCTAATTCTATGTAATTTGAAACAATATATTATAATTAGCAAATGATAGTCAATGATATCATAAAAGATGCGTCAAAAAGATGCCATTATTATAATATCACATAATTTATTTTTTAATAACTTAGCCAAAGTGTGAATTTTTCAATTCTGCAAGGAGGTACAATGCATAGATGCATTTTACACTTTTCCCAAATAAAGATGACATTCTTACCACATCTGTCCCAATGCAAGGACTTAATCCAAAGATTAGCCTTGAACCTAGATAAGATAATGCAATTTCAATACAGAATTTTATGATCACATATGTACTCGGGGGTTTCATTAGAGCAAGTAATATGAGAGAAAATAGATTGGCTTTCCCAAATTTGGGTGACCATTTTGAACTTTCCAAGGCACAACAAGGAGGATTGGCTCCCAGAGTGCACCACCGATATTCTGTCCCATATATGGGTATGTCGTAATACAAAATTCGAATTCAAACAGCCGCCATTTTGTTCACTTCAACATTTAAATCGTGAATTTTGGTCTTATTTCCAAACGAAAAATTCCAAAACTCACAAGAAATGATCGAGATATTGGTTCGAATCTTTTGAACTGTTTATTTTGAATTTATAGTCGGTTTTAATTTCAGAAAATAACGACATTTCGACGTTTTCATTGTTGGAAAATATCGAGTTTCGATCCTGGGAGCCAATCCTCCTTGAAGGCACAAATAAAACAAAATGATTTAATATTCGTGATCTGCTACTCAATACCTTTGGTTTGAACATAATAAAGCCATACTTCAAAGAGTCTATTTCCTTTGATTATCATAAAGCTATCATACAAGATATCTAAAATTAACACAAATTAATATTTTCTTGATGCCCATACTCGACCATACTACCCTTTGAATCATATCTCACTATTGAAGAGGGTTACCCCTAGGATCACATATTCTAATTTCTAACAAGATTAAGTCCCCCAGAGGTACTTTACTTCAAAACAATCACTGTTAATTCTTTTCTGTGTAGCAGTGTCTCACTTGATTGTCAAATTCAATTTTATAATGGTTTGAACTTGGTGCTTCAGAAGAAGGCATTATACAGAATATTTCTACCCGACTTTCATATTATTTTACCCTCATCAAAACCTTTACGATTCCTCCACTCTCCAAATTACAATCAATCTCAATCTTTACAGTGATCTCCCCAGGATTAAAGTAAGTGGGCGCAGCACCCACCTGAGATTTTGATAATAGGCTTGCACCCACCTGAGAATCCATTTGCACCTACTTGAAAATGAAAAAATCTCGAAAAATAGGCATATTTTGACCAATTTTGGTCTGAATTGTGAAATTAAGAATTTTGCACCCACTTGAGAATAAGTCCTGTGGAGATCACTGCTTTATGAGAAGTGAAGATAATACTTGTGATCCAGTGCTAAGCTAAGTTCCTAAAATCTAAGAGAAACTTCTCAGTCAAATGAGCCAATATACATTCAAACTTAAGCTATGAAAATAATCAATTTTTCTGTTTCATAGTTTAATGCCAACTACTGTAAGGACATTGATACTTGGCTCAGTATCCCTTAACAAAAAGTTGAGATTTACAAACAATATCTACTTTATAAATTGAATTTTCCATCCTATACCACATTAATAATAATGTACTTTACTAGGATTTATAAAGGATGTATAATGATCTAGAACATTGAGTTTGAAAAGAATGCTAATATATCATTCTCATGTGTTTGCCTGACATTATATTATGAGCAGTAAGTAATGTACTTAATCAACTTCCTGTTTCGGCAAAAAAACTAATTGATGACATAGAAATATGTGAGTTGTTAATATACAAAATATTTTTTACAACATTTATTAAGATTTTTATCAATTTGAAATAAATGCGATTTTTCCCAATTTTGATATTTGATGGAGTAATGGTTTGATTAACTGAAAAATATTCTCAATTTTCCTATTCTGACTTAAAAACTTAAATCTTGTCAAAGTATCCTATTAATTTTACATATTATGGTAAAAATACAAGGTGCAACTAATTTCAATTAAACATAAACAGATATTTTGCCTTTTTTGCTTTGTTCTCCCTAAGTGAGTAGCAGTCTTTGCAGAAAATACATGTAACATAAACGACCTATGTGATAATGATAATATGTGTCATGTGTGATAATTATAAAAATTTGGCCTTTGTTTCAAATGTAAAATGTTATCCTTGAAAAAATACACACAGTAAAACATTTTTCTAGTGAACACCTCTCTCTAGTGAACGCCTGTATCTAGTGAACATATTTTCTCAGCACATACTCCACTGAGTTCTGTATAAGATTGCCTCTCTGAAGTGAACACCTACCTGCAGTGAACACATTTTGTGGCTTCATAGGTGTTCACTGTATACAGGTTTTATTGTACATATAAATGTTACACAAATCCTCGATAAAACGTAATAGTTGTGGAACTTATCACGGGAGTTGAAAATTTCTACAGCAGGACTTCAGTATCACATAATTATTTTTAAAAAGGATCAGTGATTGGCCTATGACAGCTGTAATCTTACAACTTCCAACATTTTTATCATCAGTCATACAGTTACAATATTGAAGGTCAATGACATTTCTGAAAACAACCCCCTGGGAAGAATAGTTGTATCAATAGGTTATACAATGGTGGTAGTAGTAAAGAAAAAGAACAATTACATTTTCAATGCATACCAACATTTAAAACGCCAGTATCACTGTTATTCTAAAAATCAAATCAAAAGAAAGACAGCAAATTAAATTAGAAATTAAATGTCACATTCTACATTTCTAAATTTGATTTCAATTTTTTCAAATATTTTTCATAATTAAAGAGAAGCATTTTGAAATAGACATAAATCAAATTGAATTTAAGCACAAGTTTAAGTGTAAATTGGTATTGTTCATATTTACAAAACTTTTGTCAAAATTACAAAAGTGTTAGTCTGAAGGAAAATAAACATTTCCTGTTATAAGACTTATGTTGATCCACTTTGTAAAGAACTCACACATTGTAACTTTATTATGTGACATTTCTAGAAAATACAGAAATCAAATTGTTCATTTAGCTTCCTCAATGCCTGGTTAATATCTTTACCTGATATAATCGTATGATATGGGGATGGTGAAGGAGTTTCATGATCTGTATTTCTCTAAATATTTTCTTCAGATTGTCCTGGTCCAGTTGGGTTTTGTCAATGATCTTTATTGCAACCTGAAAGACAAAATAGATCATCTAAATGTTGAAATCAATAATTCATGAAATAAACAAATCAGTTTACATCGAAATTGTATCTTAAATCTGGAAAACTGCAAACCCTCCAATAACCCAGATGCTAGTAAGAAGTTAGCAGTTTCACCACCAGGTGGCTAATTCAGGTCAGATAACATGAAAGATATACAAAGTAGAATGTTTCCTTAACGTTAATATTCAGCAGTTTAAGTGGATCAATTTTCACGACCCTTATATGTCTGATAGTATACAAATGAAAATATGTCCAGTCTAAAGGGAATCTACCAAACCCGCCCTAGAAGTCACATTTTCAAAGAAAAGAAAATTTTCAAAGTTGAAACAATTTTTGAAACCATATTTCGACATGAAATTTTACATGTAGATTTCAAATATAATATCCCTTTGACTAAATTTCAAATATTTATTGACGTAAATCAAGATTATATCTACTTGCATCTAGGCTATTGAAATAGTCTCAAAACAATGAGCAAGCATCCTGTTCAATCTTGATAATCACGAAACTTTCATCACACTGTGACTCAAAGCAGTATAGTCTCTTGAGGAAATGTAACGTCAGAATTTACTTAAAACACTTCAAAGACACTTATCTGAAAATAAATAATCATTAAATGGATTTGATCTTGGAATAAGCAATGCTGGCTTGTTTCAGCAGAGTCATGATTCCTAAAATGAGACTTTAAAGCTACTTACTTTGTCCCAAAAACATTTCATTATTGGAAATGCATTCCCTCAAAAGCTCTATTTATCACTTGTTTAAATATGTTCTACCAAGAAACAAATATGGTGGTTTGACAGAAATTGATGTACAAGACTAAATCTTTGGAAATACCCACATGTAATAAAAAAAAATTAACACTTTTGCAAATGCAGTACAGGGTCACCAGAAAAATACATTATGATGAAAAAAGAGTATGTAAAAATACTTATTGAGAACCATAAGCAAAACCACTGACATGCAGAAATCAACTGGAGCTCTCATGAAGTCAATGGTCTCACCCTCAAATGAGCATAGCTTATAATTTTGTCATCCCGAAATTTAAGTACATAAGTTATCTTAGGCTCTTACCATAAATGGTATCATTTGAAAGCTTATCATGTCTTTTGTAATGTTTGAATAAATCATTCTTATGTAATGGATGTAGTCAATATCTTGTCATTTAAAGCAAAAGTATACCTTTTCAAAGAGACTGGATTGAATTTTTCTATCCCTTTCAGCTCTAGTTAATTTTAGAGCATAAGGTGCATGGTGGCTTGATTGTCTAAACCTTTATAGTATCCTTGGATGTCACTTATATATGAAAAATCTGAATGGCACTTGCTTATTATGGAGGTTAAGATACATAATTTCTCTTAATCATGTGTATAATTATGAAAATCTGTCGATTATTTCTTCTATTTGTAGTTTGTACTATTTACTTGGCCAATAGAGTATGGTAAAATAGACTAATAATGAGCGCACGGTTCCAATGAGCGCACTTGCAACTTTAAAGTTGAATATGGTCTCAAGAAAACATGAAGTTTAATGCATTAGTTTAGTTGGTTGATGATTGCATTTAATGCAGAGAAAAATGCAGGAGCTGTAGAATTAGTAAACTTCAGTGATAACAGTTTATTGGAATCTTACGATATCTTACCTTTTTTTCAATTTGGAAATAGCACTGCTACTAGAGAGAATACGGAATATGGAAAATAATTGCAATTGGGTTCCTGGAAAAGTGAATTGAGAGCTGGACATGGACAGTAATCCCAGAGGGTTGAAATATTACACATTCACATCAGGTTCTCTTAAAAACATGTAACTAACCTCACTATTATACAGCTAGTTTGAAAAACCTGTAAAATGTATCAATTTGATAATAATGTCTCATGAAAAAAGTGTTTCAATGGAAGACAGTATTCACTTTGACTCGAGGCTGACTTTTATTGCTAACAGGGCGCAGCCTGATCAATTTTCTACATGCACGTCGACAGGAGTGTATTATACAATACAGTGATAAACAGGAAAACAGCAACTCTACGGATTAGCAAATCCCACCAAACAAAACATGTTTTAATAAATAGTTGCCATCTTGATAATTAGTTGCCATCTTGATAATTTCTCCTTGAACAGAGCTCCTTTGTCCATCAACTGATATTTGGGTTATCAAAAATTACATTTTTTAACAACAAATGCCAGCCATTTTGAAAAAAAATTAGCGACCATCTTGAAAAATCTTTTGTTAACTCAGGGCATCATCATATATAAAGACATGTCTCAGTTTGGAGAACAGACTACTGGGCTAATAATTTGTTTATGAAAAATAAAGAAATAACACCCAAATCAATTATGAATATTCAAAAGAGGACATTTAAATCTACTATGTAAAAATATCAAAATTGTCTGAAGCAGGCGTAACGTGCAGAAGACTGATTCAATAAAAGACAAGTCTCAGTTTGGACAATGAAGTTAGTTCAGTTTTCTGCACTAATAATTTTTTGAGAAAAATATAGAAATAAAAACCAAATTAAATTTATATGGGTATTGAAGAGGACATTTAAATCTACAATGCAAAAATATCAAAATTGTCCAAAGCAGGCGTAACATGCAGTAGACTGATGAACTTCATTCTCCAAACCGAGAGTACTCTTTTGAACCAAATCTGTCCATTGTTATCAAAGATAATGTTCTTACGAAAAATGGAAGCTATTTTGATATCCAGCTATCATCTTGAAAATTTCTCAAGCAGAGTTCTTTTGTCCCTAGGCATCAGCATATAAAATATCAACAGAATCCGTTGACTGGTATTTGAGTTATCTAGGATTTTGTTTTAACAAAAATGGCAGCCATTTTGAAATCCAAAGATCTTGAAAATCTCCTCTTGAGCAAAGCTCCTTTATCCCTAGGCATCAGCATAGAAAATTTGAACCAATTGAGTTTTAAAGATGACATTTTTAAAAAATGTGGCTATTTTCAATTGAGCAGCCACATTGAAAATTCCTTCTCAACCAAAGGTCCGACACCCCTAAGGCATAAGCCTATAAAACTTGAATCAAATTTGTCTACCAGTATTTGAGTTATGCCCCGGACAGAAGGAGACACTGATGGACAGACAGAGGAACGGATGAACAGACTGATGGCTTTTCTCCTCGAACTTCATTCAATGAGTAATAGTGCTTGCTATGACTCATACTGTTATGTTAGTCCACAATTTTACCAAAAAGTTCAAAATATTATTTTGAGGAAATGTCATTTCAACATTTTAATTGAAAAATATTTTTGATTTTGATTAATACCCACTAATAAAAGTTGCGAGTTTTAGATGATGACACACATATTTTTGGAGCAAAGAGTACATTCTTCAATTATATTTTCCTTACAATTATCGAATCTGAATTATTATTTGTTTTCTAACCTATATCTAGACTTTAGGTTCAGGTCACTTAAAATCTAATAAAGGCCTTTAAAATTTGTTATACTCAGAGGGGAGCTTGGCAAGTACATGTGTCAGGGTACAAAATTCAGTGAAACTACAAATCCGATAAAGTAAAAATCTAATCTTAGTTTTAAATTCCAAAATTAGAAAAGAATTTATATTTTGTGCTATATAAAGCAGCAATGTCTGGCAAATACAATGAACAAACATTTAGTTACTAGCAGATTGAACAATTATTGTTATGAAAAGATATTTTTGTAAATAGTTATAGGAAATCAAAAATGTTTAGACAAAAATTAAACTAGTTTCTCCTGTTATATGTTAGCCTTGAACCATCAGTTCACTCATTTCAGTTTAAATTTGAATTATATAATCGCAAAACACATTTCTTAAAGTTGGTTCAATGTTTAAGAGCATCATTGGTTCATATAATTCATTTTAAGGTTAACTTTATTTATTTCTCATCATCAAACTATGTTCTAATTTCATTTTCAAAAATTCCAAAAGGTTCTTTCCTTCTTCCAGTAAAACTTAAAATATTTTTTACACTCACATTATTTACTTTTCTATAACTGTGGATATCCATGTGTCATTATTGAGAGAATTTACATTTTTGCAAGTACACTTTGCCATTTGCATTAAAATATAATCACAGATCTTTTAGGAGATTTATTTGAAAGTAAATTGGAAGGTAAATTGACCTCTGATCCTGCCTTCGATATAACATCAACAATCTTACATTTAAAGGGTTAATATAAGCCTGCCGCATAAAAATTTTCTTTATTTTTTTTCTATATAAGTAAGGTGAAGATGAATGCTATGCATTGGTGTAAATTATCAATTAATACGTAAAAGATATGTATGAGCTCTAGAATTTAGCTTTAAATACATTTTTTATTTATTATTTACATGTATGTACCATTTTACATAATCGAATGTGATCTGTTGAATAAAAACAATTGAACATATACTCTATTGACTTATTTCCTTTATGCATTTGGGGCTAAAGGTTACGATAAGCTTCCCGTATAAAAACAATATGGCGGCTCCAGGCGAGTCTATTGGATCAGTCTATTTTTAAGAAATTAGGGGAGATATGTAAATTCCAGTTTACTGAAATCATCTTGAAGATAAAATAATCTGTTTACAATGATTCTGTAAACATTGGGAGTGAATTATCCATTTCATGCATGTGCATTAGCCAATATAAATCCTCGTATTTATCCAAACTGCCCTTGTACTTGTCCAAACTGCCTTGTTTCATTTACAGCATCACTTCATAAGACCATCCTATGTGCCAATATGTGAGAGGTAAATCTAGATGTCAATTTTTCCTTTTAACACATAAACCCATAAAATGTGAAATTGATTTGTCAAAATAAGAATCTCCCTTTTATAAATATGCAGGGGTTTCATTAACAGCATGCAACAGGCGATTTTCACTGTTTGTTTTCACAAAATCGCCTGTTGTTTTTTAAGGACTTCTTCATGTTAAATTTATGATTTTCATTAATTTTGCTTGTTGTTTTCATTTAAAGCCTGTTGTGGGAAATTCTAGTGAAACCCCTGAATGTGTGACGATTTTTACTATATACAGGCAGAGATGTTTTTGCAGTGACTTCAACCTGTGTACCATTCAATATTATTAAGGGATAGTGTCTAAAAATCCAAAAATAATTCAGGGGCTTCCAAACACTCCAAGATATCATAGATTAAAGATTTCAAATGTGACATGAAAAAATTGATAACATGCATTGAATGTTCACCACCTGCCATTTGTAACATATTCCAAATACTGAATGCTGACCACTAACCACAGAATACTTATTATCACTGAATGCCAAACACCATCCACAAAAAAGTTGGAGACCATAACAATGTTACCATTTTGTGGTAGTGACATAATATTAAATAAGCAAGATATACGTATAAATTAAAATTCACAAACTGTTGGCACTGCACAGTGACATCGTTGCACCGAACCGAACCGATCCATGTTTGAAAGTTGTGGACAGACAAGAGTGTAAGCAACGCATGGCATTTTCTACCTAATCATTATACCCTGGGTCTCATTCATACTTATTACATTTTTGAATGGTGTGGAACAGGGGGATCTAAAACACGTTAAGTGCTTCTGACCAATTTGTACATTCAGACTTATTCATTTTATGATGATGTAATATCAACTTACTTCTCTTTATCAGCATCTCTTTAAGCTTCAAATATAAATTGTTTAAAGAAAGGAAATAATCACAACAATAATGTTTAATATAGAGCTTACTTCTACAAGGTTATAGAGACCATAACAAGCAGAAAACCCTTTGCAGGAGCAATAAGTGAAGACTTTGTCTCCCTCTAGTTAAGTCATAAACACCTGAAGACATTGAATGTGCCTCTTCAATAATCATATTAGACAATTTGAAAATTGGTATATTTTGACAAATTTTTGTCTGAATTGTGAAAATGAAAATTTTTCACCCACCTGAGAAAAAATCCTGAGGAGATCACTGATTTAGCCCATGAGCTCATTTTATAAAAAAACTATAACCAAATCCGTTTGAAAAATTTTGTGGTGGCCCCACATCATAAATGTGGATAGAGCTCTTCATTCTATAGATCATGTTTGGATCCCATTCATGTGACTTCTGGTATGAAGACCTGCCTAAGATTAGCTTACATGGCAAGTCATCAATGCAACTATTAGAGCTAGGTGTCACAGATTTTCAACCATGGCCGATAATTCATGTCGATACATTTTAGGGTAACTTCGATATATGGGGAAACTTCATCACCTTGTTCAGGGGTTTCATTAGCGGCAGGCTACAGGCGACTTTCACCAGTTGTTTTCACAAAATTGCCTGTTGTTTTTAGGGACTTTTCAAGTTATCTATGTTAAATTTATGATTTCCATTAACTTTGCCTGTTGATTTCATTTATTTAGCCTGTTGTGAGAAATCTTTGTGAAACCCCTGTTGTTTATTTGCTCTAATCTCAGATCTAGGGGGAAGCCATGTTTTTTCTCAAACGAATCGAGATCTCGTGACATTTTATTTTTCCAGATATTAAACATGGTGGAAAACGGAAATTCTAAATTCTAATAAGTAAGTGATTGACAAAGTTACCCCAATTCTCAAGTTGACATTACCCCACACATCGACTTAACCCCCTTTGGTCGGTCAATGTTTCTATAATGTTGGAGAATACACTAAGCATTGCACTCTTAAATGACCTACCTCCATACATAGTATTTTAGAATTTTCTTTGTAGTTGAATCGCCAATTGCATGGGTTTATCGGCAGAACAAGAGATTTTCGTTTTTGAAAGCAACAGGTTGCGTGCAATATTTAACTTATTTTAACCGTCAAATTCCTCCATTTAGTAGTACATCTGGTCCCAGCATGCACCAGCCATAAGGGTTATCCCCCTCTGACGAGCTTCCGCCATCTTGGAAAGTGTTAACTATTTCCTATTCAAAAACGAATATCTCTTCGCGCGTACGACCACAAACGTAGTGGGGGTCATAGGATGCGATAAAGTAGTGAGAGGCCGGTGTATATTAAAAATTAAGTTAAGCAAATATAGACCTAAGGTCAAAATAGGCCCATGCCGAAGTAACCCCATGCGTCAACGGATTACAATCTAGCCAAAGTACAAAATGACCTGGCTGGAACCTCAATCTGTGATAACTGACATCTCAATCAAAATTAGATCAACTGATGATCAATATGTATTTTAGAGCTGCCAGAGTTAGCTATTAAAAATATTTTGAATTAATTGGTTCCTCGTACCTTCTTTTGACACATGCACATTGTATTGGGAAAATATCCGTCTCAGTGATCACTCTCATTCTCAAGACAAGTCAGAGAAAAAAATGTCCCCAGTGTTTACCACTATTTTTCGAAGATCTGTGGACGTACCTTGGTTTTAGTGATAATGTGAGTTGCCAGTTTCACTACTGCAAAGTTTCCTTTGCCGATTGTTCGTTCCATTTCATAGTATCCCACTCTAATCGGTCCTCCTCCCGAAGAACCAGGATTTCTTCCTCGACCTGTCGCCATTTTGTTTATTCTATGGATAGCCTCGAACCAAAACTTAACGCAAGAAACGAGTTCATGACGTCATTTGGTAAATCTCACGGTAGTAAAACAAAACACTATCACTATTGAACCATCTTAGCTGGAAAGCATTTTTTCCAGCATGAGATTATTGTCCTTCCAAGAAAATTCACTATATTTTAGTTCTGTCAAGTTAAAGGTGCAATAATTAGTGCAGAGGGGTCATTCAACGATCATGGACCAGTGTCAAAATATATTTAAGTTTGGATATTTCATCAAGACTAACATCTATTTTTATTATCTACAAAGAAACCCCCTAGATAAACATTATTTCAGCTAATATTCCTCTTGAAACATGGTGGATCTTAAAAATATAAAAGTGGAAGTCCCCTTTTTGAAGCTTTGAACTGAATTTACACTTCTTAATGCTGAAATTGATAATTTATCCATACATTTTAAGAAAATAGGTATGTCAAAGAAGATGTTAAACCAAATGTTGCCTTGATAGCTCAGAAAAAATGAAAAAACTTTCCTATTTTCTCTACAGTCCTTATTGCCCCTTTAATTTGGATATTACCTTTATACCCCAGCTGTGTATTACTATAAGTTGAATATGTCATCATAACCCCAAGACTATCTTTCCCCAATTGAACAATATAACAAGACAACCAGCAAGAGGACATACAATGTACCTAAAATGACAACACTGTAGACTTAACACGAGGCAGCATTTCTTTTCCAACAGAGTCATATCACCCTGGAACAGACTGCCTGAATATGTTATCCAAGCAAAAAGTGTTGACCAGTTCAAGAACAGGTTGGATGACCATTGGTACAGCCACCCACTGAAATTAGACTGGGAGCATAAGCCTTAACTGAATATATGCCAAAAATTGGCTTGATGTGTATACGAAATACACACACCCATACAGGCAAAAGGCTACATAAGCCTACAAGCCGGTGTTTTTCTTATCTTATCTTATCTTATAAATGTATCATGGTACTCAATTATTAAGGCACAAACTAAGACTTCCCAATGAAAAGTTCATATTTGAAAAGTATCGCATTTCTTCTTCATGTACAGTACGGATACTTCTAATAGGATACTTACCTTAGGTAAGATAATGGTTCAAGAAAACATCTTTTTTAATTACTATACCCTCACCTGTTATTTACTGGTACAAAATAAAGTATGAAGGTATGTCAGTATTTCCTTGCTTGTTTAGGAAAGTATCATAATCATCATCTTCATCATCATTTACTATAGCTGTTAAGCGATTTGCCTATGAACGCTAAGATTCCATTTTTAGGGGTTGAATTTCCCTATCTAAGTTCTATTTCGATCTTCCCCATCTGAACATAAAACATGACTTTGTAACCTGATACTTTAGAAGGTAGAAACTAGAAACACGTCCCCGTATTAATCTGACAGGACCTGCTATCTTTATCCTGGCTAGAACCATAGACAGTTCAAGCCAACTGGCCTTTCATTGAGTTAGTAGCACTCTATCAATCACTTCTCTGGAGTTTTATTTAATTAGCTGGATCCGGTGCCAGATGCTGGGATTGAACCCAGGACCTTGGCATTCAGTTAACCTGTCAGCGGTATTACGATTACCATCAAGGAAATGCTGTTAGTTCAAGAAAAAAAACATTCATATTCAGGCCACTTTTTCAATTTTTCTAATTTTTCTCAACTAGATTGCCTACAATTCATTTCTAATTCACTTATCACAAATCAAAAAGAATGCTTTCCAGAAAAAAATATTTCTCAATGCTTTCTTTATTGATAGGGCTCCCCAAGAGGGGGCAGTGAGGTCGCTTTAATCACTTTTAAAATTCCCAAATTGTCATTTGTCACATTTAAAATATACTTATCGTATTTTGTCAGATTCATTGATTACTGGTTAGAATAAGTCTCCGTTATGGATATCCATTTATATTCAGAACAAACATGGGCCTTCGAGAAAATGGTTTACAAATCTGTGTTATAAACATGAGAACTTCAAAATGAGCAGTGCCATGCTTCCCTTTTTTGATAATATTTCAAGAGTTTTAGATAAATGAATGTTTTAGTATTAGCTTGAAGGAAAATCAATTTTAAATAGATTAAAACAAAAAAAACATGTTTAATCTCATTTAAAAGTAAACAAAAAAGTCTAGGCCATGGGGCCCAGGCCCAGGAAAAGATTTTAGGGCCACAAAAACTTTTGGCCTCAAAATCAAAAATTTAGTAGGGCCTCAAAAAATGGCCTTTTGGTCATGATTTGGACTTTAAACCCTTTTATAGGCCAAATTTTCAAAAATGGGCCCAATTTTGGGTTTTAAGCGCCCAAAATTTTTTTCCACGCAAGAGTGCAAATTTTTGTGGTATTGTAACGACCCTTGGGCACGCTCATCGGGGAGCTGTAGTGTACCGAGCCAGATACTAGACTCGAAAGAGAATGTGCTAAATTTAATGCCGCGTACGGGAATCGAGCCCAGGACCTCCCGCTCACGAGTCAGACGCTCTACCCCTGAGCGACTTGCTATCGAAGGTCATTACAGTATCAAAATTTGGGCCCCCCTTGTTAGTTTCTGGATATCCCAGTGCAACAAAAATATAATTTCTAGGAGAATGGTCACTTTCATTATTGCCATTAATTATGATAAATTTCATTTTATATCAAATTATTGACATGCAGATAATCATGTTTTTATTTTTGAGTTATTTATTTAAATCATGCATGTACAAAATTAAGATTTTTCTACTACAACTCCGATTACTACATACTGTACGATCTGGCTGGCATCAGTGACGACGTGTGCATTAAGGTCAGGGTGCATGATGGGAAATTTTCTGCATTCCTCAATTGAGTCACATGTTATTTTTCTAACAAGAATAACTCCTTCCCCACATTGTCTATATCTTCCAGTTTTGTACAAAGAGTGCACTTATGTGCCTAGAAAAGACTTGTGAGAGGGATGTTTTGATAAAGTGTATAAAAAACAAGAAAAAAAATCAGAAAATTTTCAGAAATTTTTTTCACTGAATTTTCTCATTTTTTATACATTTTACAAAACAAACCTTCTCACAAGGCTTTTCTAGGCACATAAGTGCACTCTTTGTGCAAACTTGGAAGATGTAGACAATGTGGGGAAGGAGTTATTCTTGTTTGAAAAATAACATGTGACTCAATTGAGGAATGCAGAAAATTTCCCAACATGCACCCTGTCCTTAACCACTTCTTAGGTGGCTCGTTTACGTAGACCACCGTGGATTTCAGTACTTCCGGTTGAAATATGGAAGTTGGTAAAAAACTTTTCCAAGGATTATATCAAAGATTACCATGCATTTATCAATCACAAACACGTAATAAATGGCTGAGGTATGGAGAAGATAAGGGAGAAGAAATGTACAAACATGTCAAATTCCGAAGGAACAAGAGGAGAGCTAAATTCAAGAAAGATGTGCCATATGATAAAAGATTCGAGATGACCCCGAAAATGATGGCACCAGGAAAACCAGGAGCAAGGAAACAGTGGCTTGAAAAGTTGGCTACTAGAGGTAATGAAATGTGAAATAGACTAGAAGTAAACATTGTTGGAAATTCATCTAAAAGAGAGCATGATCTTTCGATTGTGTAACGGGGTTGCTGTGACCGGGTACCTAACGTTCCTACCAGAGTCACAGATCTGGAGCCAATCCAGCCCCTATTGGATTTGGAAGTAGGCTCAGTGAATAAATAAGAAGATCAGACACAAACCAAAAAAATTTATGTCACACCGCAACAAACAGCCAATGAAAGTAAAGGATCGCGGCGCCTAACAAACCATTGTTATTGTTTCTACAGGAGTTTAAGAAACGTCATGGTGTTTCTCGGTAATCTCTGATGTGACGTCATCCGGAGTGGCGTCTCATTCTCAGAAAAGACATTTGACTTCGGGAATAAACATTTGAACAACAGAAATATACTCCATTATAAATATGCTCGCTTATTTTATGCTTTTATCAACAGACACCTTTGAATGTGTGGCTTTAGTGATTGAAGATCAATCTAACAACAGTACGCATCATTTGAGGTGTGACATGTGATATTTATTGATGAACTGACTCCAAAATCAAGGAAATATAAATTTTCTGAAGATTTTGTGTCTTGTCCTTGAGTATATTCGTTGAGCCTAGACACCAAGGAGAGGTATCTGGCAGAGGTCTGTGACCAGCGTTACCAACTTTCAAAGTTGCACATTTTCTTCTAGTATAGTTCAAATTCAGTGGCGTAATGTAGGTATTTTGTGAGTGTACGCCACGAGCGAAGCGAACTATCTTTGAGGGGGTTTGGGTGTGGGTTCTTTTTTGGACTACTGTTCAATATTTAAGGTGCAATGGTACTTAAAAAGGAGATGACAAAACAGAAAGTGACAAAACTATGCTGGATTTTGAAAAAATTTTTGAACCAAGATAACACCATTATGTATTTGTTTTTTACAGCTCAGCTATATTTCGCGAATTTCACTAAGCACACCTATTACTATGTCATCTTGGTCAATTGCACGCTACACCTTAACCTCTATTACATTGTATTACATACCCAGGGAAGCATTTGTATTGAAGTCAATGGAGCTGGAGGTCGGCTATATATTCCTGTATAGCCGCCAAACCTTTTACCATGACAATCTTATGATATCATCGGGACGTCATGTTTCATTTCTTCCTAATTTCACTCGCACACAGACACGTGGCGTCATTGATATAACGTATCCATGATATAAAAGTATGTAATACAACAGTTATGTCCGTATCATTGAATATATGCCTTCGGTCTGTCGTAATATAACCCTCGCAAGCTTGGGCTATATTGGTGACAGACCTTAGGCATATATTCAATGATAGGGACATAACTGCTAAGTATGTTCAATCAATCAATCAATCAAGAATATCAACCATTCTCCTTGCAGCCGTAGAAATATATATAGGCTAAGGGCGATAACAATCATTTTTAAATAAAGATGGCATTGTAATCGATCTGTGTTTATCTATGTTTCTCTTAAAGATAATACAGGATTCTGTTGGTGCTGCCATCTTTATATTGGCCCAGAACATATGGAAATATACCGGCACGAATAGCAATATTGCATCAAGTTGTAGATTAAAGAATAGGGAGTTTAAGCTTGCATATGAAGTCGAAAGGCCAATCTATATGAATGACCAATCGCCCATACAAAAGCATCGTTTAAATATCCGTTCATGTTTAGATTGTGAAAACATTGCAAACTCCCTAATATTGAGTTGGAACCCTGGCTTTCAATCCTCTTTGTTATTCGCAGAGAAAATTAACCAGCACATGCAATGTCAATGTCAATTGTGCTTCTGCTCAAAATTCGTTGGAAGTCTTTTATGATCTTATACAAAGTTACTAAGAAAGGTGCAAATGCCCTAAACTCTGAATGATCGTTTTTTCTATGATAATTTTTAAACATATTTTATCAAAAACAGAAATAGTAATGATTTGAAAATCATTTAGAAGTATTTAAAATCAAATCATGGAAATATTTGAATAAATAAAATGTTTATGCAACAACATAGAATTATAACACACTTCCAATTTTATAACCGATGATGTTATCGATCAAAAAATATGTTACAAATATGTTTGCCTGATATCTGCTTCATTATAAATATAGATGTATATTTGAGTTGATTTTAAATTACAAAATAGGTAGGGTGTGTTAAAATTGAATTTATTAGTTCCACAGAATAATAGTGTATGCAATCAGAGAAAAATATTACACCATTATGTATTTGTTTTTTACAGCTCAGGGGGTCCAGGCCACTGGGAGAAAAATAGGCAAACTCTACCAAGTGATACCCGAACGTATACCAGAATTTGTTGTTCCAGATCTTACAGATTTCAAGGTACCATTTATCATTCTCAAAACTAAGAATTTTCCATTTCATTTATGTCACCACCAAAAAGTGGTGACATATTGAGAATGGTCGCCGTTTTTGTGATGGTGGTTGGCAATCAGCGGGTGGTGGTTGGTGTCTGTAACAAATTCTTACAACTTCAAATAACTTGACAAATACTGTTTAGACTGACTTCAATTTTTTCAAAATCACAACTTTTTAGAAGTCCAAATCTGACTCTACGGTACATTTCAGATTTTACCTTCAATGACCTTTTCAAGGTAAAAAAAACTTTAAAAAGGTGTTCTTTCAACTTGCTTCAAATTGACCAATTTTTTCATAATCATCTACAAGTTATAAAAAATTCAAATCTGACTTAATATTTGACCCTCAATGACCTTCTTAATGTCAAAAATGTATTTTTTCAATTTGATACTAATTGATGATTTGCGATCACCGAATGGATTCTGTCTTTTAGTGACGTCACAATTAGGTCACCCAGCTTTAGATGCTTGATTTTGAGAGATTATCTTCTATATTTCGTGCTTTATTGATTTATTTTTCACGAAAGCGTTCTATTTGACTAGATCAACATTCATGCTAAGCACATACCAAGTCTAAGGTCTTACTGACATGATTTAGATAGCGGTTTAGCGCCCCCCGATTTTGACAAAAACGGGGGGCGCTTATAGGCATCGATGTTTAGTATGAATTTCACCCAAACTTCGCATATATATAGACATACTCATGATCTAGTCAAATCGGCATACCTGGTAAATATTCGACCTATGGTTTTTATATAAGAAACGACAATATTTTTTAGCTCAAAACTGCCATGTGTCCGCCATTTCGTGATTCCATCATGTCTAATATCATTTCTATATGACGTCATACCAATAAGACGAAATACGTGACAACAGTATCCATAAACAAAATTCCTGAATTCTGATCGCAAAAGGTCAATTGACCAAATTTTTTAAAATCATCTACAAGTTCTCAAAAGTTCAAATCTGATCATAGATTTGATATTTAATGACATTCTCGAAGTCAAAAAAGATTTGACCTTTTATGACCTTCTCAGGGTCAAAAAGTTCTTTTTTCAACTTGCTTCAAATTGAATTTTTTTTTAAATCATCTGCAAGTTCTTAGAAGTTCAAATCTGACTTTAGATTTGAGATTTCACCTTCGATGACCTTCTGAGAGTCAAAAAAGGTCTTTTTTCAACTTCCTTCAAATTGACCAATCATCTACAAGTGGTGACATTTTGTCATGTTTATGCCTTGTTTCCTTTATTTGAAACATCAGTCACATCAAGGTCATTTCTCTTAAACCTAAATATTTCAGATTATATTTCTTGCATCAAAGTTCAATATTACTAGTTGACCCTGCTTATAGTACTTATATTCATAGATCGCAATCACTGATACTGAGTATATAGTAAAGTATACATCCTTGTAAAATGTTGGAAGCAAAAATGATTTGAGATGGCTCAACAAACAAAGAAAAAGAATATTTACAGTTTAGCTTCTCAGAATTAAATATAAAGTCAGGACCCTTGTACCTTTCAGAAAATGGGTACAGTATGAAGTATGCATACAGAAAAAATTAAATGTGAATGACATTGCCTTTATTTTCAGTTGAAACCTTATGTGTCTTGGAAAACCCCAGATGTTGTACAAGGAGAATTCACCCCACGGAATCTGTTCGACGCATGTTACTCAAAACAAATCATAGAAGACTTTAGAGCTGGAAAAATTACACTGGAACAATTAGAAAAAGAAGCTGAAGAGCATAACAGTATATCTGACACTGAAGCATTAAATAAATATCTTGGTTCAGTACCTGATGAAACTAATCTTTCAAAGTACAAGCAATAGGACAATAGAGGAAATTAAATTTTCAAAGAAAGTTACAACTGGACAATACTGTTCTGAAAATAATAATACATAAAATAATAAAACAGATATTCTACCCCAAATCAATATCTTATTGTGGGTTTATATCACAATTATATGTCTCTCTTTTTTGGGTTTGATCTCAAATAGAACATGTATAATTGTACAGGAGGTTACTATTTTCAGTTTTATAAATTCAGCCATGTTTCTCCCATTTAAAGCCAAATGGTTCAATTGTAGCTAAATGAATTTAGAATCACTTTTTATACTTATTTGTCGAGTAATGTACCATGAATAAATACTTGGTGAAAACTCTTTCAGTTTACAATAAATCTCTGATCTCACCGAGCCAATCAAAGTTTGTCGTCGAAATACCGACGACTTTCTATATGGCCAATTCCTCTAACATCCCTGCATAGTTAATAAGTATATATTTAGCACGTGTTCCTTCCACTTTGCTGATTGGTTGAGAAAGGGTCAGTGTGGTAGATTTGAAATGATTTATTACCCAGGCTGTCACAGGCACCAATCTTTGGGGCGGGTTGCTTAACTGTAATATAGTCTATATGAGGCAGAGGGTAGTTTATAACTATACTCTGCATGCAGGGTACGAAGTGAGCGGAAAGAAATCAAATAAGAATAGCACCGCTGAACTGAGCTGATATCGTTCTCATAACCATTTCTCATCACATTTGATTCATATTTAAATAGTATCTCTAAATGACTTCTGCTACAACTAAGCGTTTGATTACATTGAAAATGCATGGTATGCATAATTTTATATCTACTTCTTATGAAATGGCTTGGAATCTGATACAAATTATCATCTTCAATGCAAATAAGACTCGCAAAAGTTGAGGTGTTTTTCATTTGATTTTTGTCACCCCTTCTCATCCTTTAAGTCTTTAAGCTCTACATATTCAAGCTGATTTTAAAGAACCAAAATTAAACCATTTTGGAAGGGTGGATACTATTGTTCAAATTGGATGCAGATCAATGCCCAAAATATATAGGGTTGTGCCAAAAATGTGACCACATCTGAAAAATTTAGCAAATGTTAACATTAAGCTCATTTGGAGAAAAACAGTATAATACAATGAGCCTTATCCAATTCCAGGACTTATAGTCCACAACATAAGTGGGGTCGTAACATACAATAACAATGAGCCAACGTCAGAACAATTCTTAGTGTCTGGAAATTGTGCTAGGGATGTCCTTAGTACAGTCATTAGTCCCCCTTTGGCTAATGATGTTCCTCGAACCTTGCCAAGCTTTTGTTGTAATAAATATAAAAATTACCTTCATCCTATATAAAAATAATACAGACCCCAAAAGTAAACAAAAAGTATATTCTGTAACAGATAAACTATGAGTACTATTGGCCCTCAGCTATTATTTATCAAGTACAAATGGTGTATCTCACTTAAACCCCACACTGATTTTATGAAAGGTTAGGATCCAATTTTAGGAATATTTGATTTTTTTGTATTGACTACGAGGTAAGTGTATTGAGAAGTGAGTGGGTGTATTTGGTTCAGCCTCGATGCACTGCATGTAACAGGCCAGCTACCCCCCCCCCCCCCCATCACACCAAACTAGTTCTTGCCCGTTCTTGCCAGTCCTACGAAAACTTCGTAAAACGGGCTCAATCTGGCTGTGGTCGGGAAATATGTCTAAAATAATTAGCTACTTCCTTCATAAGCAGTCTTCAATATGTCCATCTCATTCGCAGTTCGTTCAGGTCACACCAGGTTGGTGTGCAACGTCGTATAACGCGTCCCTTAGACTAGAAGGTCGTCATGACCTGATAACAGAACGGTATGGTCGCCATCGAATTTTGAATCGATTCAAAATTCTAAAATCACCTTCCCGTCTGAGAACATTCATGAAGTTCGTAAATAGACCTTAAAAAGTTGCAGCTACGTTCATTCCGTTCGCACACAGTTTAAAACCAGTTTTGAAGAACGCAGTGGCAACTAGTTTGGTGTGATAGCTATGATTTTGCTAACTCGTTCATAAGCAGTCTTAAATACGTTCTCAATCAGTTTTAACCCGTTTGCAATTAGTTCTACCTCGTTCTCATTACGTCCTCAGATAGTTCAACTCGTTGTTAAAACGTCCCTAGTAGGATTGAAGTACGACGGTTCCACGAGAGCATTTTGAGCATGTTCTAAGTTCTAGGGGACCTACCCGTTCGAGTACGTTCGATGAAGTTTGTAAATAGACCTCAAACGGTTTTAAGTACGTCCAGTCCGTTCGTACACAGTTGAAGTCTGTTTTCGAGGACGTAGTGAAAACTAGTTTGGTGTGATAGTAGGATACAGTTTAAAATTTGATTTAGTATTTGTTTACAATTCAACTATTGATTGAGTGAATTGGGTGTAATTAGTTCAGCTTCAGTGCACTGCATGTGACAGTCCAGGTGTAAACATTGAACATGGATGGAACAAAGGATAGGTATCGATATGGTGAACTGAATTCAACATTGTTTTTCTCTTAAACAAATTATTTAAAACATTCTGTAAAAAACATGGTCCTTTATGTAATGTTGACTGATTGGCAACAATTTAATGCAAAAATTATTTATATATTTTTTTTATAACTGTTTTTGTTAACATTTTTTGTTTTTTAGTGCAATTGTTTTTGTTCCTTTCTACCAATTCTTGACAATGAAATAAAATGTCTTTCCGAACCTTGCTGGAACAAAATTTCTTAGACCTCTCAATATTATAGTTATACAAAGGAAATTTTGGTTGATTTAACAAAAAATATCCAAAAACTTAAAACAAAACCCCCCACAATAGTTAAAAATTAAGATAAACCTTTATTATAAATCAACCAAACTTTCCTTGGTACAATTACAATATTGTGAGACCTAAACACGTTGTGTTTATGTCGTTTTGTTTCAATGAGGTCCGGGTAGATGTTTCATTTCATTCTGAACATATGATACCAATAACAAAAGGAGTGTCTGATGTGTTTTCTAAAACGATATAGAAAAAAGCATTTATATATATTTCAAATTATAATGTTACCATCCAAAAGATGACCATTAAATTGATGATGTTTAAAATTTTCAGAATGTTTTGATTACTGGTTTAAGAGAAATGCTTGTCCAAAAAGTTCACCATATCGATACCACTCCTTCTGTAAGTAAGCTTAGGTAGCAACTTTAAATACGCTTAGGTAGCAACCGAAGTGTGCAAACTGCAACCAGGCGCCAATTGACCCTGGCTCTTATTGGTTATATTTTGTTATAATGTAACTGAAAACGTCTTGACAAACATGTAACTAATTATTTCTGGCAATAATAGGAATTGGTTGCATTGGATCAGGTGTCTGGTTGTGGTTTACACAGACCCAGTAGCAACACAAATTAATAAATTGTTTTATTTTAGAGAATGCACAATAACAAAAGAAAAGTATATGTTATACTTTTTTTTATTAATTTTCAATTTCATACAATTTATTTTACGCTGGCATAAACATGCATGCACATACATGTACAAAAATATACACAATTACATTGGAATAAGCAGTACACAATGTTAACTCTAGGGTAGCACCAGATATTTACACATTTCTGCATTTAAATCTAAGCCCAAAAGGAACCAAACTATTTCATATACAACCTGGTGACTACAACATATATCCAAAAACCTCTCTAGTCTGAACACCTCCCAATCTGAACACTTTAATAAGTCTTTTCTCAGTCCAAAATTTGTTATTTATCACCAGCTCACACATTTAAATGAGGCATTAACATGACAAAATCATGAAAATGTCACCGTCTCGTTGCTCACAATATTATGTGTTCAGTCTGAAGTCAATTTTGAACTTCTGAGAACTTGAGATGATTTTGAAAAAATTGGTCAATTTGAGGCAAGTAGAAAAAATATCTTTTTTACCTTGAGAAGCTCACTGACAGTCAAATCTAAAGTCAGATTTGAACTTCTGAGAACTTGTAGATGATTTTGAAAAAAGTTGAAGTCAGAGTCTAAACAGTATTTGTTAAGTTATTGGAAGTTGTAAGAATTTGTTACGGACACCAACCGCCACGAACCTGATGCCAACTGCTATCACAAAAAATGGAGACCATAACAATATGTCACCACCTTTTAGTGGTGACATAAAACCTTGAAATATGAACATCTGCTAGAATTTTTGGCAGGTCCCAGTGGCATTCAGTTTAGACAGGTTTCACTGTATTTGAGATTGAGAAAAAACAACTTGTTGTAATTGTTATTTATTGGTTTCTCATATGTCCTCCGTTTTTTCTTTAGTGAATGTATCAAACTTAATCAATAAAAACTGAATCTAATTAGGACCTAAAACGTATGAAAACAAAAATTGCTCACCTACAGCAATTACAGAGCATTACTATATTGAACAAGGTATAAAATACAATACAGTACAATATAAAAATATTCAATCTGTGCTGTAAATCATGTAAAATGAAATAATTTTTTTGTAAAAAAAATATTGAACAAGGTACATAACATCATCAATGAAATAAAACTAACAGTTAACTGAAGAATTAATTATCTAACATGTGCTAATTATTCATAATAAATATATATGAGATAGCAATATGTTCTATCCAAAAACAATATATGGTGGCCATTCTGCTAAATCCTTTTAATAGATAAACACATGGGCATTTTAAACATTCTTTCTTGAGCAGAGGCCTTAAGACAGTTGAATGGTAAAATCATTTGTAAACGTTATAATTTATGTTATATGAAATTTTCGGCGTTGTTGATAAAGTATTACAGATCGTACTAATTTTTGAAGCTTTCTAAGATCGTGCCCCGGGAATTTTAGAACTATTTTAAAAACGTCAGAGATGTAGTGAAGGTATGCAACGAACGAAATGAATTTTGAGAATGTCAAATCTGTGGATGAAGTATTTTTAAAGTTATTGGCTGGATAGATGAATGAACAAACAAATGAATGGATGGACTTCTCTTTATCAGTTTATATTTCTACACAAACGTTGCTTGGTGTGATAACGAGACAACCATGTAGTATTTCAAGCACTGTTCAGGGCCCCTGCACTCTGGAAAAACAGTATCATAATACCAGGGGCAAAATATGAGCATTCAAAAACAGTTAGTTTTACTTCTTTAAGTCTCTGCCCCTCTGGTTTTCTCCCTAAACACCTACTGTGACCAATATGTCTAGGAGCCTAAAACATGCATAGTGATGAATGCAATGTAATACAGCGAATTTTTGTTTCAATGGTACCTGTTACAAAGCAGGGTTAAATTTAACCCTGCTTTGTCACGAAGCATTTTGACTAAAAACTTCCTGACAAAGTATTTTGTGACTGTGTGACACCTCAACAAAAATCCTTTGTTACCGACTGGAACTTTTTTGTCAAAATGCTTTGTAACAAATCTATTAAACCTGGTTAGTAACTCTAACTAATATCATATGAATAACAATATGTCTTAGCATTGTTTTATCTTTCTGTATCCATGTATATTGCAGTTTGGTACAATCAAAGTGAATCATAACTGATTGTACGCTGAATTCCAGTTTCTGGTGAGAAGAGTTTCTTAAACTTTGTGGTGACATCTGTGAATGGATTATTCTGCTGCAAATCTATACCAAACAAGTTTTTCATCAAAGGAGGGGCTCTTTTGGGAGAGAACCCATTAAACACTGGTACAACATATGTCCCAATACTCCCAGGCACCTGAGAACCACGAACGAAATCTTCCATTGAAATCTGTAATGTGGTGTGGACTTTGAACTCAAACAGAGCACCTTCCTTATCGCTTGTAAATGCTTTTTCACACATTGAGTTCTCCGTAAGCAGTACCAAGACCTTTTTACTCAACTGTAAGGCTTCTCCCATATTTGAGAAGATTGATTTACCGGGGTGTCCATCTCTGCAATCAATGAATCCTTGTATTTTTCGTCCATTGTCAAGTTCTATTTCTTCAAGAGCTTTACATAGCTTCCAGGCATCGTTCTCATCATTTTGGTTATAGCATAAATAGAAGTCATATTGCTGAGGCTTTTCTGCTACGGATATGCTACGTGAAGGAAGCGAAGCAGCCATCAAGGTGATATTAAATCCAATAATATGTTTGGCTTGATACTTGTGAGAGGTGGTATGTATCAGGAGGTGTTGACCTAGTTCATTAGGCTATGGTTTGAATTCCAACTCATCCATCAAGGTTCATTATGGTTTTATACCAACAGCACTTCCTGGAATAATATGCAACAAGTTATCTGGATAGGGCTATTGAGCAATGATAAGAAATGACCACCCGAGGGGAAAGGTAAATATGGAAGAAAGCTTAAAGCAGATATGAAATGGTATTTTTAACCTAAAGGAATCAATATAATTTTTTGATAAATGTATTTGAACATGTTTTCTCATCAGTAGTGCGAAAACTATTTCACTTTAACGATCGTTATAGCTGTTTAATAAGCAATATTCGAATTGGTTGTGACGTTATTGGCCCCCACGTGATCTCTCACTGGTCCCCACGTGGCCCATAACGTCATAATGCCAAAATGTTTTGTTTTGGTTTACACTACAATCCTATGGTTGCCGTGACGTTGTGATTACTAAGGTACCAATAAACCAAAGCTATATTTTGTATATGACGTTACTTATCACGTGGGGGCCAATTTGATTGATCAGTTAGTTTTATTTCGTTATTTATGACCGTTAGCAGTTATCTAACATTTATTTTATAATGGCTATCGCAAGAACTCTACGTTGGGCTTACAATGGAGAAAACCGCATGTTTGTAGCTGCAAGTTGAGAAAAGCTATTTCAGTTGTCCTTTAATGGTTATAATTCCATAGTAGCGTAGAATAAAGTTAAAAAATACAATAAGAGTTATATATTACTGGCAGAAGTACTTCTATATCTGTACTTGCACTTAATTTGGTGCAACTTAATTTGGCGGATTTGCTGTTTTGAACATTTGGTGGCTACTTAATTTGGTGGACTTGCAATATTACAATGTACTAATGGTACTAATCTACTTGCCAAATTGAAACAGCCTCCAAATTAAGTAGAAGTACAGTTTATTAGATACAGCTACCCTGTACCCAATGGAGTCTTACGATCTAAGTTATCTCTTTGCAAATAGGCCTTACTCTCAAATATTAAAACAAAAAATGAAGGCTTAAATTACTGTATATATGATTTCATCATGTCATGGCAAGATTACCTCAATGATGTCGATAGATGCTGGCAACACTCTTTTATAGTAGAATCAGTAGCTCAATAAATACTTCTCAAGATGAGCCATTCAAAAAAATTCAAATTTCTAAGTTTGGATTGTGCAGCCATTTCAGTCAGAAAAATTATAGACAAACTATACCTAATTCTAAGCTTCCAGTTAATCTTTACCTTTCTGATCACTAATGATGAAAGGTATAAAAGCAATCCTGCATTGATAAGAGGCCCAAAAAGTGATATTTAATTTTTATCAGCCAGACGGTGTCTGTCCAAATATGAAGGTGCTTCCATGATTCCAGAAATGTGACATCGGCATTAAATTGATATTTGGACATACATGTACATCATCATGGAACAAGATTCGGTATCTCATCTTGGATATTCATTGAGCTTCTGATCTTATTATAAAAAAAATTTGCTGAATTAAAATTGATTCATGGCAAGATAAACTCAGTGATTCCACTTTACATTATTCTTTAGTTTCATTTTCTCAAATTATTCAAATTCTAAATGAATGATGAATCACCAAAAAGGCACTGTCAGTGTCTGTCAGTGTCAGAAATTTTTTCCAAAAAAAAAAAGATTCTTGTTTTTATTTTTGGTCAATATTGGACTTCTTTGATGAAACTCGAATTGGCAACTGGCTAATTGTTTGGAAGATAAATATTATCTGTACTTACTGTTGCTTTGCTAAGTCAATTAGACCGTTAAGCATTGTATTTTACCATTTTCTATAAAATGTGATCTTTTGAGAAATTTGCAAACCGGAAATAGGGACTTCTTGCCGTTTTGAGCCATATAAAGTAGTTCTCAAAATTAATATGCTATTTAGAACAATACAGCAACTTAGAGGTCACTGTGAACTATGAAATTGTTCAGAAATGTTTTACAAAGGTGCATTTACCAATCAATCATGTCCAAATAGCTATGTATACATCGGTACTAGAAAAAATAAAGTACTCATATCCATCCGCTTCCAAGAACTCAAAAAGGGGAATCCCCTTGGTATTCCTCAAAAATACGTCATTTGTAAGGAAGGTAATTTTTGTAAAATTTCTTTGAAAATCAACTTATCTTATATATAGCCGATTGTTGCCTAGCAGGTAAGATTCTTGGAAAGTTATTGAATATCATTCTGTCAAATGTTCATACAGTTTATTGCTCAGTCTTAGTAATTTTGACCAAATGATCATGTAGGTCAAAGAATTTTATTTTCACTTCAGTTCACCATCAGTGAGTCAGTGTGTCTAAAGCAGACTTTAGTTTTTGCAGGCCTCGTAGAGGGTTAGTCATGTATTAATTCTCCCCACATATTTAAGGCCATGGGCATATGCAATTTTTATTAAATTCTGTGACCGGCGCTTTTTTGCACACTACGCGCCAATGCGCTAATACACGCCCGGTGATCGTACAAATCCGACGGTCACCATGTTATTTAAGTTTACTCACTTCGAGAGCCATGTTAGATTTTGAAACTTATGGCTCTCAAACGGGAAAGTGAACAGCTGATTAATAGTGACCTTTGAAATCGAATTAAGTCGATCCGCGGCTTACTTTTGGTGTCTAACTGTGTCTTACATCAGTATCATCAATCCGTGTAAGTATTGGAGCGCTTAAGTACTTCCTTTTCGATCAAGACTTGTAATTGTTAGTCGAGTGAATGTTTTTACTGCCAAATTCCAATATGGCGTTTTCTGCTCGGACATTTTCGTAAATCTCCGGAGGTTGTCCGAACCTAACTAATTCTCAAAATTCATTTCGTTCGTTGCATATCTCGCTCTTAGCAAACCGCTATATTGGAAATAGCTCTAAAAAACATTCACTCGATGAACATTTTACAAGTCTTGATCAAAAAAGAAGTATTTCAGCGCTCTAATACTACACGGATTGATAATACTGATGTAAGACACAGTTAGAGACCAAAATTAAGCCGCGGATCGACTTAATTCGATTTCAAAGGTCACAATCATTCAGCTGTCCAAATGCTCCGTGGGAAAGCTATTATATCAAAATCCAAATAGCTTTCGCAGGAAGTAAATTTTAGTGTTTTTAAGTTTCGCAAGGATTCTGCCATGACCTTGGTTGTGTTATTGTGAAAGCCTGGTATGACCGTGACAATGTTATACCATTTTGCAAGCCCTGTCATGCCTGGGGACATGTACAAAAATGGTAAGGATTGCCTGGGAAGTTGGCTTCAAAAGGGGGGCTCAAAACATTGACACTTCAAACAGTTCAAAGGCTGTTTAAGTTAGCGCTAACCTGTCAATCAAACTGTTAAGATGTGAACATCGCCACTGGATTGCCGTAAGAAATATACAAAGGTCTCAAATATTACACTTTCATAACATGTTGGATAAGATGGATTTACCTTCTTCCAAGGTGTGTTCAAAGGTATTCTGGCATCAGATTTCCATCCACTTTTGCATTTATTTGAAATTCTCACTCATCCCTTAATTTGCTTGCTATTCATGACGACAATTGTGTTAAACACAGCATTGTGTATCTCATTGCATAATTTGAGTTCAAATCTTTGCCTATCTGTTGCAATTGACCTTTTGCGATCAGAATTCAAGTATTCAGTACCACTGAATCAATGTGGTCTTTAATCAACATCGTCTTGAATTTGCGCTGAACACCCAGACGCGAATATAGCGGAAATTAGGGCTTTTACAATAAATCATGTCAGTAAGATCTTAGACTTAGCATGGGATTAGAATGAATGTTCATCTAGTCAAATCGGATAGTTTCGTGAAAAATAAATCAATAAAGTATGAAACACAGAAGATAACCTCTCAAAATCAAAAAAGCACAGCAGTGTAGCCTAATTGTGATGTCACTACAAAATACAATCCATCTGGTGATCGCAAATTATCAATTCATTGTTACACTTGACAGTTTCGCAAAAAGTTTTCTCCATTTTACCTTTGCTGACCAAGCTGCCATCTTTAGAATTCAACCTGTGTTTGAATATAGCAAACACTTTGATTTTTATTATCCCATCGAACGAAGTTCGGAGGGATATAGGGAACGCCTCCGTCAGTCCGTCCATACATACGTACGTCCGTCTGTCCATCCATCCATCCGGGCAATAACTCAAATACTGTTGGCCCGATTTTGTTAATATTTTGTACACATATACCCTATGGGGGTAAAAGTTCTGCTAGTAGAAAGCCAATTTTCAAAATGGCCGCTCATTTCAAAATGGCGGCCATTTTAGGGCCGATTTTACAGTAATTTAGGTGCAATATGTAAAACTGTAATGTAAAACTGTGGAGAGATTTTGTTCATATTTGGTATGTGAATACTATAAGCATGGCACATTGTCCTATGACACTTTTGCTAGAAGGTGGCCATTTTGAAAAAAATTTTGAGAAATGGCCGCCATTTTAACGTATTTTACTATAACTCGAAAAGTAGTGGAGCGATTTTGTTCATATTTGATATGTGAATACTCTAAGCATGGCACATTGTCTAATAAAATTTTGGGGAGTAGTCGGCCATTTTGAAAAATAGCCACCATTTTTATGTGTGTTATTTTACAAGTACATGTGTGCGATTTTTCAAAAATTTTATAGGTGGCTACTTAAAAGCATATTATTTCTTCTGATGACAACTTGGCTAGTGAGCATTGAGCAACCATTTTGAAAATTGGCCTTTCTGGTGTGATGTTTTATGATATTTGCTATATATTTCGTTTGTAAAAATGCCAGCCATTTCTGTTCGATGGGATTCGCTACCCTTTGGCGTTGCCGTTGTTCTGGTTTTAGATAAAATCAATAATCATGTGTACTATAAATATCGCTCTCAATCAGACTTTTCCTTTAGTACACGGCCGCAGACTGGATGTGATGATATATAGCTAAGTTATTGGGTATGACCTCTAGTTAGGATAGATGATGCTATATAACTTAAGTTCAATATATTCAGTTGTCAATTTTTATTTTTCAAAAGCCAAAAATGGGGGTTCCCTCTGTCTAAACCCTTTCAAAATCATGCAGTTTTTCATCATTCTGAGCACTTTTCAAGTGATTTTGCCAATTTTTTTACCAATTAGAATTTTTTTTTAAAATGAACCCTCCATTGGCAAACCCTGGCTACAGGCCAGAAAGCCAATCATTTTTGGCACAAGCTATATAGTCCATGGGGAGTAAGTCACCCCTCCCTCTTATATTCTGTAGTCTATATTTTAATATAAAGAACATAATATGAGGGGGGTAGACTTACTCCCCGTGTTAGAGTGCACCCCAGGTTAATAACAATACTGTGTTTATGCATTTCAGATAAGCTGCACCATGCCCTAGATATTGATTGATGTATAGAACACCATAGGGTGACACAAGGATGAAAAAGAACAATCATGGCTACTCCACTTAGTCCCGAATCCAACCAAACCCCATCAAATATGCAGTTAGGACAAAATATGACAAATTACAAACCCACAATTAGCCACATTGATGTGGCACATGTGCATGGTAATAGAACCATGCAATCCTATTCTAGTCAGGCTCATACCGTGCCACTACCAAACACTGGACAGCAAATTATAGGACCTTATCAAATTTCTCATACTGGACCACTGCATTCCTCAAGTATGAGTAATAGCAGTACCTCAACCCCTATTGCCAGGCCACCTTTTTCAGGTAAAGTAATTCTAAAAGAGAGTAATTATGTGTACATTGTTTATTATCCCATCGAACGAAGTTCGGAGGGATATAGGGAACGCCTCCGTCCGTCCGTACGTACGTCCGTCCGTATGTACGTCCGTCCATCCGACCGGGCAATAACTCAAATACCGTTGGCCCGATTTTGTTCATATTTTGTACACATATACCCTATGGGGGTAGAAGTTCTGCTCGAAAGCCGATTTTCAAAATGGCCGCTCATTTCAAAATGGCGGCCATTTTAGTGCCGATTTTACAGTAATTTAGGTACAATATGTAAAACTGTAATAGCAATATGTTTTTAGTGTAAAAAAATTATAAAGGACATTAATAAAGCTACAAATGTAGATATTAAAAAAGCACATGGCAGCCATCTTGAAAAATGGCGGCCTTTACTCGTTATTTTACGATTTTTGCTGTAACTCGAAAAGTAGTGGAGCAATTTTGTTCATATTTGGTATGTGAATACTATAAACATTGCACACTGTCTAAAGACACTTTTGGTAGAAGGTGGCCATTTTGAAAAATTTTGAAAAATGGCCGCCATTTTAACGTAGTTTACTATAACTCGAAAAGTAGTGGAGCGATTTTGTTCATATTTGATATGTGAATACTCTAAGCATGGCACAGTGTCTAATAAAACTTTGGGGAGTAGTCGGCCATTTTGAAAAATGGCCACCATTTTTATGTGTGTTATTTTACAAGTACATGTGTGCGATTTTTCAAAAATTTTATAGGTGGCTACTTAAAAGCATATTATTTCTTCTGATGACAACTTGGCTAGTGAGCAACCATTTTGAAAATTAGTTTATTTATATAATTTATTGCAAAGTACTTTATGCCAGAGAGAAGTTAAAATTGTTTAATTACTCCCAAACCCTGAGTGATATAAACGTTTTTTTAATATACTTGATTTATATTGCTCATTTCAAGTAATTTAGTAAAGTGATTACTCCCAAGGTGGACAATTTCTATGCATGCTTACTTGCTTAGGGCTGATGTGAAAAAGTCAGTCCATCTCATTGGGAATCAACCTCTGCAACCTCCCAGGATCTATCTGATTGCTCTCCTACTGAGCTATAGACTGGCTGACTTTTCTACATCATATATATAAGGGTTATGTACTGGGTTACTTCCTGCGAAAGCTATTTGGATTTTGATATATATAATAGCTTTCCCACGGAGCATTTGGACAGCTGAATGATTGTGACCTTTGAAATCGAATTAAGTCGATCCGCGGCTTACTTTTGGTCTCTAACTGTGTCTTACATCAGTATCATCAATCCGTGTAAGTATTAGAACGCTAAAATACTTCTTTTTCGATCAAGACTTGTAAATTGTTCATCGAGTGAATGTTTTTTAGACCTATTTCCAATATGGCGGTTTGCTAGGAGCGAGATACGCAACGAACGAAATGAATTTTGAGAATTAGTTAGGTTCGGACAAACTCCGGAGATTTACGAAAATGTCCGAGCAGAAAACGCCATATTGGAATTTGGCAGTAAAAACATTCACTCGACTAACAATTACAAGTCTTGATCGAAAGGGAAGTACTTCAGCGCTCCAATACTTACACGGATTGATGATACTGATGTAAGATACAGTTAGAGACCAAAAGTAAGCCGCGGATCGACTTAATTCGATTTCAAAGGTCACTATTAATCAGCTGTTCACTTTCCCATTTGAGAGCCATAAGTTTCAAAATATAACATGGCTCTCGAAGTGAGTAAGTACTGGGAGATTTTTGATACAGGGTTTATCCCAAGGGAAATATGTGTATCTCACGAAGGACCACAGGGACCGAGGGAGATACACCTATTTCCCGCGGGATAAACACTGTATCCAAAACCGACCGTATATAACTGGTGTATCTCATACTTGAGTGGGTTTGGGGTAGATATAACCTTTACCACCTTTTTCAAATGACAAGATAGGCCTATACTGTAAAAGCACAATTTATATTTAACATTTTCATAATATTCCTTCAGCTCAATACAATAGAATTGTAACATTTAAACTTTTTAAAAAATTTTTAAACTTCTGAAATTTAAATTTTTAAACGTTTTTAAATTTTTGAAAAAATTCCCGGGAGCGGGATGGATATATTATACCTGCCTGCATTTGGCCTAGAGCGGGACATATACAATATATCCTGCCCGCTCCTCAGATATGATATATATTCCCGCGTGATATCTACCCCCACTCAAGTATGAAATACATCATTGCATCCATGTTATACATATATCCACTTCATTTCTTGGATGCTCTATTAGTTTACCTGTCTTTCAAGCCACATATTTTCTCTCCATATATAAAGATAATGCTAAATTCACCACTGCTATTTTCTCCACTGAGACAATACAGTAAAACCTGTATATCCAAACATCTGGCTAATCCGAACTACTAATTTTTCAAATCACTGGAATGCCATGAAGCTATGTGGTCAATATAACTAGAAATATTATTGAGAATGTAAGTTCACATTTCTTCAAAAATCATAATTGCGCGAATGCTAAAACCTTGAAATGTGAACAACCTCCTCATTTGAACACTTTTAGCTGTTCCCAATGCCATTCGAATTAGACAGATGTTACTGTTACAGTATAAAGAGGTTAAAATTAGCTACCTGTCAGTATTTCTTCATGCTATTGCCATGTTTTTCTGGCGTCAACAGTCACCAGTCAATGCTAAAAGTTTTTGTTGTACACTTTATTCAATTCTGGTACCCTGCAAAATATAAACATATTATTTTGAAGATATTTAATTAAGTATTTGTTAGAAAAACTCAACACTCTGAATTAAACATAATTCTTTACATAGCCACCATTCAATCAGACTATGAATTAATTTTAATTAAAAATAAATTTAAAAAATCCCTTCAAGAATATCCTGTCTACTCAGACATATATTTCATGATTTCAGTTCTGAATCATATATTTCACAGCATGTGGCCATAAACAAGCAATGAGCATCAGAATACATATTGGGTATATAATAAATGAAAATAATCTAAAAATAGTGAATTTGTCACTTTGTAGACTATTTTTATCACCACCCACTCAGTTCTAGTGATTTGAGAACAATGTTTTGTATAGGGTAGAATACCCAATTTACAACAACTTCTGATCAAATCATATTCTCAAGACCCTGTTGTCTTTATACACAATACAGTTCTGAAAATCGTTTCATTAATTAATTTCAGGCAAGACAGAAAGGGAAGCTGAGAGACACATCCACAACAATATGCCTGCATTTGTAGATAGGATAAACCCCAAGCAATATCTGCCTTACCTTCCGTGCCTCACCAAAACTGATAAGGTAGGTTACGATCACGCTACATCATTTTTTATGACAGTTTAATGTCGTTTTATACCCAGAGAATATTTTTATTGTATGATCTTTAAAATGAAGCCCTCAATTTCATCTCGTTCAAATACGGTATTTCTCGAGCAGAATATATCCTGTATTGCACTTCAAATCATTCAATAACTTATATTGGCTTCATTTTTTACTAAAAGTGAGAATATACATATTCATCGTATGATCTTAAAATGAAGCCTTCTGGTTGGTCAGTTCTTGTGCTGTACCAATCTGTATTGCTGCTGAGATTGTCCCCATTGATCATCTCCGTCGCAATACAGAAAATATTGGTACCAAGGAGACATTCTCAGTAGCAATACAAAGGATCACACGGTAAAAATGTTATAGAATGATTTGAAGTGCAATACAGGATATGTTCTGCTCTCGATATTCTGTATTGGCACTCAACTTCGTCTCGTTCCAATACGGAATTTCTCAAGCAGAATATATCTTGTATTGCACTTCAAATCATTCAATAACTTATAGTATTTTGATCTCCCATGTTTGGGTATAGGAGAGTATGGGGATTAAGACTGATTCTAATATGAAACGTGACATCACAATAGCTAGAACAATTAATTTACTGGTCTTTATTGGAGTATATATGACCCCTGAAATTCATAAATGCAAATAGTTGTGTTTCTTGTCTGTTTATTATCATATTAGAATCGTAACAAAGACCTCGATTTTATGATTTATGTCAAATATATGACTTCAAAGTTCAAATTTTATTCTGGCCATTGCCAAAGACCTCAATCGATATGCGATTTTGGTCTTTTAACAATGAACAGGATAACATTTTTGGTCATATATTACGCCATAAATCATAAAATCTCAGTCTTTATTCCTTAAATACATGTAACAGGATTTTTTCAATTTTGCTTAATGGATAGTTGTTGAGTAATTAAGGTTAATTAAAAAAAATCATGTTCATAAGTCCATTGTATACTTTGCGAATTTCATAAAGTTGCATTTTCGTAAGATTCGTAAAGCTACAAATGATTCGTAAAATTACGAAAATAGTGGTGTCATGCTTGCTTTCATTTGTAGATTTAATAGCACCTCTGACCCTTTCGTAACTTTGTGAATGGCTTCTTATTTATTAATTTATATTGTGATTTGTCAAGAGCTTCTGAAAGGGGAATGGCATTGAATTGCCATCAGGTGGTAAACAACATCCAAGAGAAAACTATCCATTTTTTCAGTCTAACTTAGGTCACCAATAATGCTGTTATGCAATAGCATAGAGTCATCTTTGCCAGTATATATATTTATATGGGCGATTGGTCATATGTATAGGTTGGCGTTTAGATTTTATATGCAAGCTTAAACTCCCTATTGTTTAAAAAGAATCTATATATATATGATAACTTTCAAGAATGAGCAATATTTGTTGCAATGACCTGATTTATCGTGATTCATAAGTTACTGTAAACTATAACCTACTGCAGAACTGTTCTGTAAACAGTAATGTTACTATTAAAAGAATTAAGTGTTAAGAAATAAAAATGAAAGTGAAACTGTAGTTTTGAATGCAAAAGCTAACATTTGAATGAAAACGAAATATAGTGCTAACTAGTTAAATACATTCTTGAAGCAGTTCTTCTCATTTTATGGCCCACGGGCCATTTATTAAAAAGTACTTTCAAAATGATGCATGTGACCTCTTGATTTGAGGTAATTTGATATGTATAATGCTATCAACATCAGGGGCGGATCTGGGAACCAACAAGGGGGGGCCCAAACTTCAGGTCTGAGAATAAAAAATTCTGCGCTTGCGCGGAAAAAAATGTTGGGCCCCTAACACTAAAAAGAGGGGCCAAATTTTGAAATTTTCTACAAGATCCGCCAGTGTAACATGCCTTATCTGTTCATTTCAAATTTTAAAACACATTTAATGCTTCTGTTATACCCACAATTATTTCAGTCTTGTATTGCACCTGTAACAGATTCTTTTGGGCGTTAATTCAAAAATGTTTTACAGTATTTAAACCAAAAGTGTCATAAATCCTAATTTACCATTTTTATACTTCGTAGACAAAACAATGCTTATTACGCTTTAATTGTTATTTCCAGGAACAGATCACTGCTGAACAATCGAATAATGGTGAAAGGTTAGCTACAATGACTTTGTTGAATTGTGTAATGAAGCATGAGAACTGGCAGTCACAATTGCAAAAGGCTCTTGAAGCAAATGGACAAACATCATTGGCCAAACAGATTGAACCAGGTATGTAAATGTGCGAAAATTTATCAGACAGAGGGCTCACAGAACTATTTACATCTGGTTTATTTACTTTTTCAGTACTTTTTACATTAAAAGAGACCAAACAAATCATATGTAAATATTTCTCTGTGAGAGGGCTGGGCAGAGGGGTTAAGAGTTCCTAACTACTAAGGATATTGGTAGCCCCCTTACCATTAAAACACCACCGCATATTTATTCAGATTTTTATCCTTTACCAAATCCCCCTCCCACATCCCCAGGAACGATATAAGAAAAAAGTGAGGTAATGAATACGCCTACACCAACTGTCCTTTGTTAAATCTAGATTAAATAGAGAATATCACTTTACAGATGTAAAGCAAAATGATTCAACAAATATTCCAAATGCCTTTTCTTAAGTCTTACCCAATCATATTCAAGGTCACTTAGTACATGATGATTCATCAAAACTGGGATTTCTCAAAACTACTATGAACACATTGACATTGACTGACATCTTTTTTGTTGAAAAAACATTACTTATTCCCATTGATTCATTGTTTTGTGACCATGAACAATTAAAACAGTTATTTCCTCCTTCCCTTATGAAAAATACAAAAATTAGATGACATATTTTTATTACTATAATGAAGGGCATATACAACAAGATTATTTAATGATAATGATGCACATTGTGACATAATTATGATATTTGAAAAAATTAATTGAAAGTATGCCTATCAAATTCCGATTAAATCATACATAAGTCAATTTCAACTAAAAATGGACTGAATTATTATTCAATGTCACTGTGACATGCAATAGGAATATTTTTAGCAAAGGTTTGTTGGAGAAGTAGATATGTTTAACATGCTTTTGTTATACTTCTGAGAAGTTAAGAATCCCAAGATGATGATTGGTTAAAATAGTCTATCTGGGTATTTTGAACTTTCCTGTTTTACATTACTTGAATAATCTTAGCATCTGTTTCAGTTCAGAAATGAAATGAAAAATATCAATTCTAGCCTATTGTCTTCAATTGAGGGATGGACTTTGAAGAACAGAGTGTATGATGGTAAATATTCCCCATTGACAACCTGTGTTACACAGACTGCTGTGTATACCCTTAATGAGCTGGGAGAATGAATGATACCAGCGGATGCATACAAAGTCAAAGGGGTATATTCACCAATATACACCGCATACAAACATACATTCTGTTCTAATGTCTCTCTTACGATTATTACATAACTCAATCAAAATGAACAGAAAAGATTAAAAACTTGAAGCGAGGGCAGAAGTTTTAAAAATGATAACTATAACACAAATCAAAAATAAAGGAGGACCATTGATGAATGTCTTTGATTCATTGTTAAGCATGAGTACTGTTCTCGTCAAAATCTTCCAGGTGGTAAATTGTACATACATGTATCTTTATATACTTATTATGTAATATATTTTAGGTACAGATAGTGTGGACTTTAGCCTAACGCCTCGAGGGCCCCCAAGTATGGACACCAGTAACAGCTTTACAGATCTTCAGCCACGGGGGCCTCCTTCAGCGAGCACATCACACAGCCTGTCAAATGGAGTTATGCCACAAAGTCTTAACCAGAGTGAAGCTTTGCTACAAGGTCCGCCACAAACTGGAGCCATGCCACAAGGGTTCCCACAAAATGGACCCATGCTCCAAGGTCCCCACCAATATGGGGACATCCCACAAGCTCTTAAACAAAATGGAACTGTACCACAAGGTTCCCCACTAGGTGGAGCTATGTTCCAAGGTCCCACACAAACTGGAGCCATTCCCCGAGAAGTTCCAACTCAAGCCATGTCCTTGCAAGGTCCTCCACAAAGTGACTTCAACTCTCAAAGTGGAGCTATTCCAAAAGCTCCTCCACAAAGTGACATCAACTCACAAAGTGGAGCTATTCCAAAAGCTCCTCCAGAAAGTGGCAACATGTCATCACCTATTCCCTCTCAAGATTCACAACAGATAAAGGCCATGCTGAAGGAACCACTACAAGACAAAACCACACCACAAGTTCCACAATTCAGTAGTAGTATTAATAGTGACAGCAGCAAAAGCAGTGACAACACTAGCCCCAGTGACATGAGCATTGACAATAGCTCCAGTAGTGACAACATTAGCAGCTCCAACAGTAGCAGTGAAAACATCAGCAGCAGTAGCAGCAGCTTCAGTAGCAGTGACCAGTCCAGTCCAACAAAATCAAAAGTTCTTATACCAGAGAGCATAGAAGATGTGGTCAGAGGCAAAACGTATCCAATATATGAAGATGAGTTACCAGCCGACCTACAAGAGAGTTTCTTTGATGGCGTTATCATTTATTGCGCAGCCGACCGTTCTAAAGCTGAGGAACTTAAGAGAATAATGCAGGACAAAGTGCCATTAGAGAGAGGAGGAAAACCTAAAATCTGTTTATTCCAATTTTGTGCTGAATCCGAGAATAGGGGAAGTGATGATATTTTGTTCCAGCCTTCAATTTTCTCATCTCTTGCCACAGCTATCTTACATAGCACATACATGTTTATTTTGTTCACGGAAGAGTTTAATCAAGGTGAGAGATGGACGGAGCTTATCCGTGATGAGTGCCTTATGGAATCAATTGTTGACCCTGACAGGAGGTGGTGTGTTGTTCCGCTATATTATGTGAAATCTGAGGTCACACTGTCAACACAAACTTTCGGTATCCGCACGCTTCGTGGGGTTATGATGACAGAGAGTGACTGCATGGATTGGGTCCCTTCGAAAATCAGCAAAATGTTACAATACAAACGGGGGGTCAGAAGACAGCGTGAACAAGATTTAAAGGACAGGATTGACATTTGGGTCCAAGAGGAGGTCACGAGACGGGCAATTGCTGATCTCGAGAAGGAGCGTGAGAAGAAGCGGAAGAAAGAAGAAAGCAAAATGCGAATGCAACGGGCATTAGAACATGAACAAAACAAAGATGATGAGTTTAATGAAAACCTGAAGCAGAAAAAATTTGAACCATTAGAAGATAACACTCCAAGTGTTCCACATCATGCCCCAAGTGTTCAACCAAAGGTCAGCACTACAGCTGGAGTGACTCATAACCAAGATGCTATGGTCAAAATGATGGAGTTTTTCACCAAGATGCAGCAAGGTCAACTAGAGCAAAATCAAAATGTGATACTTGAACAGATGAAAGCCATGATGGAACTGGCTAAAGCCCCAAACCAGGTGATCAACATAGAGAGGACTGATCGTACTCAGGTAAATCGTTGTACATTGTATATTCATTCCTACATAAGTTTATGCACAAGAAATCCCCATTAGATAATGTTAAAGCCTAGTTAGTTACTTTCAACAAAGATAAAGTGGTATTGTGGTCCCAAAAAGTACTTCTTGTTACCAAAAGTTGATTTGCTTCAAAATACAGTTTGATCAATAAGTGTGCATTCCTACCATGTTGTAGAATTCTGAATCAGTTTTGATTTAAAACGTTTCAAAGGGGTTGGTCTACCTTCAAAATCTTCATAACTACAAACTTCAAATTTCCACATTATTCAGATTGGTGATGCTCAAGCTATCGTTCAAGCCCCTTCAAGTACAAAAGAAGTGAGCAAGGGGAATCAGAAAGACATGCTGGGTGATGATGCTCCATACGTCCTTGAAGAAGATGCTACAAATGAACCAGAAAGAGAGAACCAACCAAACGAACCCTCAAAAGATCAATGTCCTGATGCTGTAAAGTCCGGGTCCAACACAAAACAAGAAGATTCGGGTCGTAAGATTCTTGAGGGTAGTTTTATGTCCAGTAATCCAGCAAAAGGTAAGAAGTGAGGTGGTCAGAATCCACATATGTAATTACTGTCAAAATAAATATATTTTTGAATCTCGTGTTCCTTCCACAATTAAACCTTAAAGCAATCAGATTGGCTTAATAGGTTTAACCCTAACATCAATGGGACACAGTGAAACCTTCATAAACTTAAACTTTACATGGACCTTGTTGGATTTCATGGTGTTTTAATCACAAGGGGGCCCAAATTTCAAGTCTGGAAAATATTTTTTTAGTGCGAGTATGTTTGACATCATTGTCAACTTTCCATTTATCTGTTTATCATGTAATGTCAGATTCACAAAATATTTTCATAATCCAGGTAAATATGTATAATTTTTCCCATTTTTGTCAAATCTTTAGATGACCTTCAAGGTGCAGTCAGTCGCAGAAGCCCCTCTGCTGGAACTCTGAATACCATGGCAACTAGAGTGGTCCAGTCCCAAACATCATCTGGTAAGCTGGTTCACCACTGCTTGATAATTATGAGTTAAAAAAATTAAGACAACAATAAAAGATTTTTATTTTTTACTTTTGGTATTGTTATGGTCTTACCTTTTTGGATGGTGTTTGGTGGTCAGTGTTTGGTAGTTGGCATTCAGCGCTCGGTGTTTGGCATCTGTAATAATATTGCAGGTTGTGACACTACATGTTTGAACTAAAATAAAATAAGACTGGTGTTGCCTTGTGAGACACAAGTCCTTCATATTAATGTACACCTAAATGAATAAATTTCATAAATCAGTGTACATGTACAGGTGTATATACACATGAGGTTTCTTTCTGTATACAGAGTATTCATTATAGTCATTCATAACACTATTAGAACTCTGACTCATTTGCTTCAATGGCTATAGGATCACAGTATCTCATTGCCTGGTTAATGTGAGGGAAAAGGTCGTTTTTACAAGAAATTTCAAGATTTTCATACAATGTATTTTTTAACTGAAAAGCTGCTTATTTGCAGAGAAATGACCCAGCACATGCAATGACAATGTCAATCGTGCTTCTGCACATAATTTGTCAGAAGTCTTTTATGATCTTATACGAAGTTACTAAAAGAGGCATGAATGTCCTACACTCGAAATTATCGTTTTTCCATTATAACTTTTTAACGTATTTTAACGAAGGCTTCTAATTATCATCCAAGATAGTCTAAATACCGATTAGAATATTTCTTACTCCAAACCATGGGCTTTCAAGTTGAAAGTCCATGTTCAAACCGGTACACCATCATTTATTTGATTCTCCAAAAAATAAAAATAAAATAACTCTTGTCAATGTGAGGAAGCAGTCAATGTGAGGGAGCATAAAATCATTTTGCTCCCTCATATACCACTGATGCCAAGATAACTTCATTCCTTTTATGGAAGATGCTCATGTCTTTTTATGGATAAATAATGTGCTTAGATTAGGGAATTTACAGTAGAACCGTACTGTACAGTACTATATAGAAATACAATATCATTTTCAGGAGTAGGAGAGAATGTCCAGCTAAAAATGGACCCCATACCCTCAGTACGAGTTCCATCGGAACATCCTTCCAGTGAGCCAGTAGAAAGCTCAGCGAGTCAGGAACTTGGGGGAGCTTCACCAAGGGCCTCATCACCAAGTATTGGATCACCACAGCCTGACCTTACACTCCAAACTATTCCTAGCACCCGGTCGACAAGATCTGGTAAAAATTCTAGCACAATATAAAATCAACAAACAAACAACAACAGACACGAAACGATAATCGATTGCCTCATCATTTTTCAGAAAAGTACAAATATTATATGCACCATCAGGCTTGAAAATATAGCAAGTAAAATGGACAAAAAATATTAACCCAGTAATCCCTTGTTATAATCCCCCACCAATTTCAAGTTTTAGATAATTGATTTTAATCAGTGCTGAATTACATTATTGGCATTATATTTCAGCACTGAACATCACAGGGCAACCTTCAGAAGACTCTAACACAGTGTCGGGAGATGAGGACAATAAAGGTAGGCCCAATGGTTCAAATTCCAAGTGCCCTTACAATCATTTTCCGTAACCTTGACTGAATGTAGCATGCACTGGCTGCACTTTATTTTGCCCAATTTAATTTGGCTTTGCCTTTTTAAATGTTTAACTCTATAGCTCAAGAACTTCATGATGTGACATTTCCAAAATTGCAAAGGATGTGTCCGGGTATATGCCCTTTTGGTCCCTCAGTCAAATGTATGTGAAATATGGTTTTTATTACTGTCCTTGTTATATTTGATAAGTAGATTTACTTTTTCACGAGTTTTGATGCATAATTAACCCCCTGCTGAGAGTCAGAATAAGTATCTTAACAAACAAAAATAGTCATTATCATAGAAAAAAACACCAATGGCAACATGTATGACTTACGAAGAAGAAATAACTTAAGACCAATGAAGAATTTAAAAGAAAATCATATTTTTGAAATATATTCAGGGATTAAAATTTTTTTCAAATTTTTGAATTTCCCGCCAGTTTAATTTGAAGGGGGAAAAACAAGATGGCTGCCATTTGATGTAAGAAATGTCAGAGAAAAATTTGCTTCACTTTTAGTTTTCACAATGAGCACAGTTTTCCGGTTTAGATTTTTTGACTGATTCTGACTCTTCATCACTAGGGTCATGTATAGAGATTATAAAATTGAAACCAAAATGTTGTGCTCAGCATGAATTTGACTGAAGTATGTGTAAATTCACCAACACAATTGAAGTCTCAAAACTGGAAGCTCAGTAACTTTGAGTGACTATAATCCTTTGATTACCCAGATAAAAATCAATTCACTTATCCAGAAATACCATTCAATGTCTATAAAAAGAAAGTAAGCAATGTTTTGGAGGATATGTTTCAAACCTTTTGTATAAATAATTCATTTAATATTTCCCATTAGTTTTTTTCAATTCTGACAAAGTGATATGCACTGTCTTTGATGCCAAAATTCTTCATTAATTGAGATAGAATTTGACGTTTTTGTACTCTCAGAAGATGGATAAGATATTGAAGTTTAATAATATGTGTGACTGAGTTGGTTTTTCAGACATTACAATTTTCAATATTTTCTAAGTCGATACCCAGACTCATTCCCAGACTCATCCTTTAACCATATTTTTGAAACAAACTTATGCAAATAATTTAGAAATCTATGTGAGTTTTTTTAATTTCTTTGGAAGAGTCATTTGACCCTCCCTACCAATTATTTCAGTTTTCCAGTTTAATATAAGTGTGTTTTGATAATATATACCATTTACATATTGTGCATTGACATATAATTCAATGAACCTCTTTTCAGCTATGCATCCCAGTATCACATCTAACAGGGAACCAGTAGAGGGCACTGACCTACTGCCTGAGCTAAATGAAGCTGCACAAAATACAGAACCTCTGTATTATGACTCTTCTGCACGGGACACAACAAAACATCACACAGGTAACCAAGGCAACCAACATATTGAGTCCACCGGTGATGTTGACCCAGATCGTACAATACCAAAGCAGTATATGGATATAAACCCATCGGGTGTTTCTGATCAATTAAAGAAAGATGTACCCACAACGCTTGGTGGAACTGATAGCCATGTCAAAAAAGATTGTTCAAATGTCCAAAAAAATGAAGAAAAATCAAGCATTGATGGATGTTCCAATGTAGCTCTGGTAGGGTCTGCTGGTCTGGAAGTAACTGGGGGAGAGGAAGCTAGCATGTGCCCAAGCACATCTGGATTAACCACTGATGAGAAGCTTGATCGAGGAAAAATTGTTGCTGATGATTTATCCTCTGAGCCACCTAGTGATATAAGTGCCACAAATAGCCAACTCAACAAAAAGGAAGCTCAAAATTTAAGTCTTAAATCCTTTGCTACAACAAGTATAAAATCAGATGTAGATTCAGTTGATGGTGCGATTCCTGATGAGTTATTGCCTCGGAGCATGCAGTACCAGGTGCCAGAGACTAGTGACAATCTAGAAATAAGCAGACCAAATATACAAGCACAACAAGTCAAGCACAACCAGTCTTCAGTTGAAAGTCCTGCTGCATCTGCCAGTCTTGCTCTACCAATTACTGTTGAAAACTTTCCTGAATCCCTGACAGATGACTTAAATAATGTACCGCTAGCTAAAGGTGTTTCAACCCAGCAGAACAGAATACAATCCATTGAAACGTGTGTATCAGCAGATCCTCTGGGAGCGGTTCAACCTATCAAAGATGAATCTACCATTCAGGATAATGAGGAAATAGCTGATAGTGTTGAAATAAATCCAAGACCCGATGAAAGTCTGTTGAGCAAGCCTTCAATTTTATGCAGTAAAGAAGAAGGACAAGATGGAGTAGTCGTTTCTGTATCTGCATCTGGTAATGGCGACCCGCATATTTCTAGTAACTTTAATGAGGCTCCATTGGATTCTAATGCTAGTTTGTCTCTTTGCATCAGTGATGCTTCATCAGCATTATCAAATCCATCATCCTCTTTGCATACCACTGGATCAAAATCAGTTTCGGTACGGGCGAATTCAGCTAATGTGTCAGGATCCACTGATAATCCACCACAACCATTAAGTTCCTTTGGAGAGATCCCTTTAGACTCAAACATTAATTTTTACATCAGCAATATGTCCAATGTCACCAATACCAGTGAACCACCTCCTGGTTACACATCAGTAGGCGATGATGTAATTCCCCCAAACCAAGATCAGCAAGTACAAAGCCAAAGTACTTTCTACATAAGTTGTGAACAGGAAGGATTTGCTTTAGTGGACAGACCTCTAGAAGATGCCATTGAAGCTACTGAGGAGTCATTGAACAGTGAACAAATTGACAATACTATTACTTCAATGGATGAAATCACCCATGCTGGAGCAAACAGGGACTTCAGCGACACCCAATCCCAAGAATCTGATGACAAGCCGAAGTCTGGAATCAAAAAGTTGTTTAACATTTTTAGAAGTAAAACGGCACCGAGTGGCTTGTCGAGTGGCTTGAACAGCAGTATATTTAAGACAATGAGAAAGAGTAGCAAGTCTAGTCTGAACAGCTTAGAGGATAAGGGAAATAAGAATTAGAAAATACTTATAATTCTCACTATCCTGCGAGTTAATGTTTTGGATGTTTCGTATGTCCTGAGGAAGATCACTTGTATGATGTATTTAGTCTCGGACTTGATACCCTGAATGCCACACCCACAAATCTGCGAAGCATCAAACTGTACAGCATGAGTTAAACGTAATGCTACACCAGATGAACAGTAATTCCAGATTATTATTTCAGAGAGGATCATATGATCACAAAATATATGAAATGTGGCCATAATGGAAAAAGACTTGTGCATCCTTCTTGAAGAGGAAACGAATGAGAGAAAACATTATTAAAATCTGATTCCACAAATTAATTTTATTTTTCCTTAGATGTGTCCCCTGTTAACTGTACAAGCATTTTTCGATTTGTATAGATGGGATCAGCTTTATTGCCAAAATAATTTGAAAATCTCTCACTGTAAAATAAACATGTAAGCATAATTATAATATAAAGGGTGCTTTATATTGTAAATACAGAGTTGTAATGTTCTGTAATAATCAGTTAATACATTTTTGATAATTGCTGCACATGTACATGATGCAGATTCACAGGCTATTGTATGCTAGCAATGAAAAATTGTTCAAATGTGAATGGTATTGTGGTATGGTAATAGAATGGTGAAGCGGGTTGTAAATATTTCTTTACTGTTTTAAGGTTTCTACATCCACGGTCAGTTAGTTATGCCAGTATGATAGACTAAATTTCAAGATGAACTATTAATACTGTAGCTTGACACTATTAAATTTGGCAATTTTCAATTTTTTATATTAGACGGCTTGTTAATTTTGAGTGGATTTGTTCAGATTTTGCAATATCATATTCATTTGCTTTTATGAGAGTTGATACTGCATAAATGTACATGATTCTTGTCTCATAATGTTGCTATGGCAACTACATGGATATTTTAATGATCAAAATAAAACTATCAAATTGCTTGATAAAAGGGCAAAACAAATACCACTGGATTTATCTCAAATATTGGAAAGTATGTAACTTGAATTTTTCAAATCAGTGAATTATAGAGGGTGTTAAATTAATCTGCGTTACAGTATAAAACAGTCTAATAACAAATAACAAATCCTGAGAAGCAAAAGAATTACATTTGTCCTGAACACTTGGAAAGCCAAATCCACATATATATTTGGTATAAATACTATATGTACCAAGACTACATGTGAATATTTTTGCCATTTATGTATTGAAACAATACACATTATGTACAAATCATATATAACTGTAAATATTTGTATTGCACTTTCAAAGTGCTCTTTTCTATTCTCTTGTACTGCTGGGTCTGTGTGAAGGCAGGCAGGATAATATTTATACATCCATGTAATGTATTTCTGTTTAATAGGTTATTTAATATGTTAGACTTTTTAATTAGAACTGGATTGCATTTTTCAAATTATGAACTGGACGAGGCACTTGTTGCTTTCTATGTTTATCATGTTAATGCTACCAGTAAAACCTGTCGAAGTGGAACACCTTTGGTACCTCTAAAAAGTGTTCCACTTGGGAGGTGTTACACTTATAAAGGTTCATTTAACATTAATTCAGTTGGTCTTGGGACTCTAAGAAGTGTCATGACAAATGAAAATGTTTCTTTTATATGAATAATACAGTATGTGCACAGCTTCAAAAACAAGGTTTAAAAGTTTCCTGTATAAATAATTTTTGGGGAAATTGCAACTTGCCCCATGCTTGGTAATCCCATGTATATAGCTTGTGAATATTGTATTGAATAAGGGAGTATACCATAATATCATTATTTTTTCAAGTGCATGTATATATTTATATGTACACTTTTCTTTTTGATGTTGGCCCTCAAATATGAAAATATGGGAACTACATATACATAAAAGAATTGATGCACAAAGTACATATGTATGCAAAAAATTGATAAGGCTAGAAAAAGACTGACTTAAATGTATGATATCACTTGTGGCACTTATTCGCTTGTTGCACTTATACATAGTATATGTCATATGTGACATCTTAGTTATGAATATTAAAGAAAGATTCAACCTAACAATGAATTCTGCATGTGTGTCAGAACTAATGCTGATTATTTTCTCATAATATAGATTAAGAATGTTGAATTTGTACTTTCGCTTTTTGTATATGCCAAAATAAAAAGTTCAGTAGACAAAATGTTTGTTTTGTGTTGTGATATCATACAGAATATTCTTCTGGTGTAGGTTATAGCTTTGTTTTATATCGATAGAGCCAACATTCATTCTACCTGGAATTAAAATACTAGATATACTCTATAATAATAGCTCTCTAATAACTTTTGGTAGACTCTATACAGTACAAGTAAAGTGAACCTCTCTTGAGTGCGCCCCTCATTAATAAATTTTTTTTTTATTTGGTAAAACCTTTTTCTTCCCTTGACTCTCATGTAAACGTAAACTCCTTTTTGTGAACACCTACCTTCTATGAACTGTGAACGCTAAATCTTGGAAAAATTAATTGAATTATCCCATGCATGCAGTGTAGTAAATATTGAATCAGATATATAATTAGAAATTTTTTGTTACCTCTCAAAATAATTGAATGGCCGATTGGAGATTTTGATATCCTGTTGTATTGAAACAGTTGAGACTACATGTCTGTGTAATTATAGTTCTTAATAAGCTTTTTGTAGGACAGGAAATGTGTCTAGTTCTGATTGCTTTATAGATAATCTGATTAACCTTTATCTACTATGACCCAATTTTCTGATCCCATCAATTTACAGACGAGATTAGAATAAAAATGATAGCCCTAAATTGACATTATCATGCCCTTTAATTAATTCAATAGTGTATTTTTATTGACTCAATTGTGCCAAGGATTCATCAGTGTCAAGATTTAGGGACAAAAATTTATGTCATTTTGAAGTAAAGCTTTTTTTCTTTACTATGACGAGTTGAGAAATTTAAAAACATCCCACTTACTGAACTTTTAAACTTTTAAGGCATTTATTTTCAAAAAGCTTTACATTGGCGAAATTCCATTACATTCTTGGACTTAGATTATTTTGCGATTGAAAGTTGTGAACATTTATGGCATGGATTTTCAAAAAGCTTTACATTGGCCATATTCCTTTACATTCTTGGACTTAGAATATTTCACGAAGCAAAGTTGTGAACTTTTTATGCAGGCATTTTCAAAAAGCTTTACATGGGCGAAATTCCATTACATTCTTGGACTTAGATTATTTTGCGATTGAAAGTTGTGAACTTTTATAGCATGCATTTTCAAAAAGCTTTACATTGGCCATAATCCTTTACATTCTTGGACTTAGATTATTTTACGATCTATAGAAGTGAAATTTTATGGCATGCATTTTCAAAAGGCCGCGCCTGGAGAGCCTTCTCTAGCCAAAATGCTAAAGAGCCTTAAATTTTAAGGTTCTTTAGCATTTGGGCTAAAGAGCCTTAAATTTTAAGGCTCTTTGCATTTTGATAGCCAATTCTGCTAGAGAGCCTTAAAGGAATTCCAGGCGACAGAAATGACGAAATATTCCACCATCTTAAGGATCATCAAATTAACTGTGATAAAAAATATCAGGTGTACAAAATACTTACTCTACAGTCTCAGCAGCGAGAGGTTAAATAGGGCTCTGGGTTTAATGAAACGAGTCCTAGGGTTACTTGCCACAGTAAATGGCAAAAAATGTTCAATATACACCATGGGCTAAAGCAGTATATTAGATGGTATCCATCAGATTACATAATAATATTACTTTAAAAATCTCTCAGTCTCGAAGATGATTTATATTCTTCCATCATGGCATGGAATTAGAAAATACAATCAGATATCGATGTATGTGTTGTGTACCTTATGTCGGAACAATATTTTCCGACACACCAAATGTCACCAATGGAACGAAAGAATAAAGGTGCACACGGGGGTGCACAGTAGCAAGTTGCCATCTATATTAGTCTTCACATGAATGGAATACGAGAGATGGGCCTGATGTCGCATGCAACTGCATTAGCATTTTATCAGTTGTATTTTTCCAGAAACAATTTTATTGAATTTATGACATCGCCTAAATAAATATATTCCTGTAAAACTTTGGTGAGACATTTGTCTGACTTTAATCATTCATATTTACAAAGCAAGATTGCTTGAACAAAGTCTGGTATTTGATATTGATTGAAGAGTCGTTGCATTCGGTTAGTACCAGGGGCGGATCTGGGAACCAAGGGGGGAGGGGCAAATTTCAGGTCAGAAAAATTTTGGGGCCCTAAGACCCGTAAGTGGGCCCAAATTTTGAAATTTTGAGGCCCATTTTCTCCAAAATTTGGCCTTAAATTAAAAAATAAGGCCTTAAAAGGCCCAGTAAAAGGCCCACAACCACCCCCAGAACCGCCAGTGAGTACTATACGATCGAACTCTCTAAGAGCTCAGCTTAGACTAATAGGTATAGTTGGGGTATTTTGTGGTATCATTTGTATTCCTAATTCCATATTCTAATTGCATTTGAAGAACGTCTTCTTATATATTTTTGTTACATAGGTTTGTGCTTCTCATACTTTTGGCAAGGAGTACAGCAATTAGAAAAGAAAAAATACAAATAAAAACTGTTAACATGCGTTTAGAATTGACGCTTTATAAATGTATATTATCATGTTCCTTGTTTTGTTTTTAATGCATTCATTAATCATGTTAATTTCCCTCTTTCTTGATACGTATTTCGAACATGTAGATTTGAATTTCATTCGGTCTGTAAAAGAGAAAATTGATTCATGATCAAGGTCTATGTAAGATGTTTTATATTTGGACAGTGAGTTTGATCTCATCAATGTATCTTGACAACTACAGGAGCCTACACTTAAGTCTTAATTGATACCTGATGACAAATATGGCAGATTTCTTCTTAGGAAATACATAAAGAAATACTCTATTTCTTTATGAAATACTCTATTTTTTATGAAATACTCTACTTTATGTTTTTCCTAGGAAAGATTCTGATATCTTTGCCTGATGATGTAGCGCGGGAACCAACCATGAGTCAATAGTCGGAAATGTATGAGTCATTTTCGTTTTGTTAAAGGGGAATCCCCGTATCAAAAAAGGAAAGCCATATTGAATTAAAAATCCATGTACACGACTTTGGCAGGCAGCCTTCGATATTCTAGGGTAATACTAGAACCTGGACGTTTATCCTCATAGATTATTTCGTAAGTATTGTTCTTACAGAACTTCATTTAGATGAACTGTTCACTAAACTGTCCCCGGGACATTGAAATATCACTTCCTAGTTTCAATTTCTAAGACTCCATATTGATATTTCGCCAGGTTTCGTTTTCAATGAGAATCTCCACATCCACTTATGTGCGGTTTCGACTCTCTTGAGTTCATTGGCAGTGAACTGACCTGACGTCCAAGCATTAGACCAGGGCATAAGGTAGACATGCTCAATGAATATCAGGTGATTTCTCCCAAGACTTTGTCTTCCGGTGTGATTGGGGGGGGCCATTAGGTCATCAAAATAGGCTACCAGACAGAAAGTAATCTATTGCGCCCATAATTTATGGTTGGGAAAGACCCTCTCCATCGTTCATTCACTTTACATTGAGGTATTTGAATATTGATATATTGTGGGAGGGGGATGTTACATCAATATTTTAATCTACATTTCAACTGAGTAAGCCTACGTTTCCGTAAATGTGAGGATTTAAGCCCAGGACCCCGCCCAGGACTCAATGAATTATGGACGATTTTAAGCACGAATGTCTTGTAACATAATTTAAATTAGGATGGGAGCCAAACCCACAATTAATTGAGTCTTTGAAATTCACCAAGATTTTTTTGCATTTGTTATTGACATTTTGATCTGCATAAGCACCTACTTGCTGTTCATTATTATACAATTTCTATTTTTTCTCAACTCTGCAAGTTCTGCCAACTTAAATAATGAAATTGATCAGGGTCACTTATTTCACTTAATCTAACCATTTTAGGTTATAAAAAATATAGAATGCATACATTACATTATATATTTTGGTCTGATTTGCTGTAATTTGATAGCATATCTATGTATTACCGAATCGTTAGTCGCCAAGGGTCACAACAGTCTCCGAGGGCATTGAAACGCCAATATTGACATTGACCAAGAGATGACCTAGACCCACAAACGTTGATTTTGAAATCAGGTGGCCTCTAATCATGGGTCGCCAAGTGTCACAGCAGCTTCCAAGGGGCAAATACTTAGATATCAATCTTTGACCTTGAGATGACGTTGACCCATAAAGTTGATTTTGACCTTCGGTAACCTTATCATGGGTCATCAAGGGTCACAACACCGCCAAAGATCTTAAAATGGCAAACACCTAGATATTGACTTTTGACCTTGGAATTACCTTGACCTTCGTAGGAATGCCATTTGACTCGGGGGGGGGGGGGGTACTCCCATATATTGGCTATATGGGGACGTGCCGCTAAAGTTTTGATATAAAACCCCTAGAACACAGGCTGGTATCGAAAAATGTGCACAGAGCGTGCTATTTTGCATAGAAACACTAAGAAACTCATACAATTAATCTTTTTACTTATATGTTTCACTAGATACCATAGAAAATTACTTACTCCATGCAATGGATATATTATTTGCGGGTAACTTTGACTTCTGCTTGATACCCTTTGCACTCGTTTGACTTCACTTCTTAAAAGAGAGCTTCGTAGTTTAACTAGACTCTGCACGCAGGGTATCTGTTTGAAGTCCAACAACGCTTTAAAGCTTTTGAAAACGGCGCCGGAGTATCATACTCTAAAATGTACCATTTCTTTTATTTCTTTTAAATGGTACAATACTGTGACACGATAATATATTCATATGATTTCAGCATAACTCTTAAGGTATTAATGAGATTTTGATGTATTGGGTATTCTTCATATTTTTATAAAAAAAATAATGTTTAAATTTTTTGTCCGCTGTGACGGAGCAGTTTTAATTGTGAACTTCGTTAAGAATTTAAGACTCAAATTATATATTTTAAAAGTACCCTTAGAGGTGATAACGTCTCAAATCACTTTCCTAAATTATGACAAGTTGTCTGGGAGATCTGGGGTTATGTAAATCTGAGATATAAAAACGACCACTCTTTTAGCATTTTCGGTTTGTACTGAAATCAACATAAATAAACATGGTGTAAACTGAACATAATATTTCTAAGACGTCTTGGAATGTCACGTGTAGTGTAGAATAGGGCTAATATGAATTTATTCGAAATAGCGCACAGACATCCTGCATTCCGACATATGTAACAGCCTTAGTGTCATTACTTATTGAACGGCCTATATAGGGGAGAGTGGGGTAAGACGGAACGAAAATCTACACCTATCTTTGATAGGCTACTGTTCATTAAACATTGGTTTCCTTGAAAATGTTTATAATATTTTACAATGCAGAGCTACTGAAAATGATTTTAACATTAATTTAATTTATCTATACAGACCATTTCATATCAAAACCGTCTCCCGTGTCAACAGGGTCAACTTTACCAGGCGTGGGGTAAGACGGAACAGGTGGGGTAAGACGGAACGGTTGATATTATCTGAAGGAAATCTGAATAAAATGCTCCGATTTGATGTTTTTTCATATACTGGTACTATACTAGTACTATATTAGTACTTTTATTTTAAGTTCAATAGCACACGTGACGGTATTTTTGTAACATAACCAATGTGGAACGATTTTCCAAAAAGCACTTGCTACCCATGTAAAGATGGTACAATGTTTATTATATTTTAAGTTTAAGAAAAGTTAACACAAGGATTTACCTGTCGACTATGCTCATACACAGATCAACACTAGGTACAGGGAAACGTTTTCTCTTTGCATTAACACATGAAAAGTTTCCAAATTAGTGGAATGACATTGACCTCATGTCACCTAATCATGGGTCGCCAAGGGCCACAGCACCCTCCAAGGTCCTTGAAACGCCAAAAGACCTAAATATTGACCTTTGACCTTGAGATGACCTTGACTTATAAACCTTGACCTTGACTTCAGGTCACGTTATCATGAGTTGCCAGGGGTCACAGCAGCCCCCTAGGTATTAAAAAGTGATATACCTAGATACTGACCTTTGACCTTGGAATGACCTTGACCTTAGTTCACTTAATCATGGGTCACAGAAGTTCACAACAGCCCCAATGACCTTAAACCACCAAATCATGACATTGACCTCATGTCACCTAATCATGGGTCGCCAAGGGCCACAGCACCCTCCAAGGTCCTTGAAACGCCAAAAGACCTAAATATTGACCTTTGACCTTGAGATGACCTTGACTTATAAACCTTGACCTTGACTTCAGGTCACGTTATCATGAGTTGCCAGGGGTCACAGCAGCCCCCTAGGTATTAAAAAGTGATATACCTAGATAATGACCTTTGGCCTTGGAATGACCTTGACCTTGAAAATGAAAATGGGGTAAGACGGAACGATCGTTCCGTCTTACCCCACCACCACGTGAATCTGCAAAATGTCGTCTGCTATAAAAATGAGACAGCTAAAAGCTATAATTTTTCTTAAATTATAGGTTTTTAAATTGTCTATTTAGAAATACATAACTTTCTATGTATTACACGTATGTTTTTGATTCTACGGGCGATCAAAACCATATGAAATGTTATAAGAATGGATAAAAAATGATATATCTACCCTTATTAAAAATGTTTCTTGCAGCCGACGAGGAATTGGCAGTTGAATAGAAAGATTACGTGATATATTTTCAAAAAAAGTTAACTTCAGCGACCATTTTTAAACAGTTTCTGTTTAAGAGCCATCGTCAATTATTTGAAATTCATGCCTCATTGTTTTGCACTCTAAAAAATATAAAAAAAAGTTTTGGTAAACGTTCTGCAAGGTAAAACCTGTATCAATGAACATCTTTCTCTAGTGAACACCTCTTCTTATCACACATTCCTCTGACTTCTATATGAAATTTCCTCTATCGAGTGAGCATCTACCAACTGGGAACACATTTTTGGGGCTCTGTGTGTTCACTGTACACATGTTTTACTGTAGTTGCATCAGATAATCCTAACTGTTATTCAAATAAAGAACAATCTTAAAATCTAATTTTGCATTTTCGTGTTTGAAGATACACTCCACTTTACCCTTTGCATGCATTCGTTTGACTTCACTTCTTAAAAGAGAGCTTCGTCTATAGTTTAACTAGACTCTGCACGCAGGTAAACTCCACTTACGAGTACACAACCTTATATCATGTCATATTATTTTCTTTACCAACTACATACAGTAATACACAGTAATACATAAACATAAATGGTTTAAGTTTAACAATAGATGAACTACAAACTATGAAAATGTTTCAAGGTTCAAGAACAAGGTTCAAGAACAACGAAACACGTAAACAAAACGATAATCTTAAATTGCTATCTTGTATGTTATCTGTTCATGTAAGTAACGTCTGAGAAAATACGCATTTGTTTTGTGCATTCCTTATTTTAGTACCTCACAAAAAGCATTTAAAACATACTACCGAATTCATATTCTGATGCTTTGCCCCAAAAATAGTTCGAACGTTGTGGAACTAAAACATCTGTGATTGATTCAATAATACAAGGTAATGCTCCGTAAAAATGACCATGTCAGGTGATGGATCCACAGTAAGCACTACGAAAGGCAAATACCCTATTCTGAAATGAAGTAGACTATCATTTTAATGAGTTACCATAAATAAGTTGGATTGCAGTACAAACTGAGAAAAAAAGCTTAAGGAGTGGTCGTATATACTTCCCAGAATTTGAATTGTGTACTTTTATTCCGTTTCATTTTTCAGAATACTTCACGAAAGAGATTTGACACGTTCGCTCTTCTAAAGTGTAGTTTATACTGCTCCGTCACAGCGGAGAAAAAGAAACATTATTTTTTTATTAAATTTTTTTAAAAAACCAATACATCTCATTAATACCTTCAGAGTTATGCTGAAAACATGTGTAAATATTATCGAGTCACTATATTGTACCATTAAAAAGAATTAAAAGAAATGGTACATTTTGGAGTATAATACTCCCGCGCGGTTTTGAATAGCTTTTACTCTCAACGTTGTTGGACTTCAAACATAAGTTAAAGTTACCCGCAAATGACATATCCATTGCATGGAGTAGGTAATTTTCTTTGATATAACGAAACATATGAGTAAAAACTAAATTGTGTAGATCTCCAACCCTGTTATAGCATGACAGTTACGCCACCTCCGAAAACGAGGTTGGGCGGCTACGTTCACTGATTTATCCAATAAAATGGCCGCGATAGAACAGAAAACTAAGGTTGGTGCATCATTTACTATACTTTAATACTTCGATATATATTTTGATACTGTGTATCAATGAAATGATGAACGTTTTATGTAAGCATCGCATTCGGTGATGCATTCAGTAATGTATGTTTAGAACGTAGTCTTTGCAAATCGATGCCCGGGGATAACATGAAATAAGCGAAAAACTGTCGAGTTTGAATTTCAAAACTACGCAAACCTCGTTCAAATATGAAACCCCGATTCATTGTTATTAATTTTGTCATTTTCATCAGTACCTGATGCTAATTCCTCTTTTGCCTCTTCATAGCTATCTTTTTCACTTTCATTGGTTTCATAAATAAAGCAAGCCACCGTTTTTCCTTGCCCTATAGAGGCTCAAACAAGAGCGTCTCTTGCGAGTCCTGAAAACAAATATAGGAAATCCAATATTCCATTCCTTACCCATTATAACAATAACGTGGAAAGTGACTATCAGATATAGCAACCTTGACTTGACAGGTGTACATGCACGTAACCGTCCGCTAAATATCTAATGTACAACTAATACAATACGTTACCGTCCATGGAATTCATACGTAGTCGTCTAACGACGTTTGAAACCGTATTATTTACAATATACACCGCGTTCCTGTTCTGGATTTGTCATTTTATGGCTTGTTTAACAACGTTTACTTACAGATAATATTTTGAATGGCTCCGAGGCACATGTTCTGAGAAAACATGAGAATGGACTAAAAATTATGAACTTGGATATCTCAGTCGGTAGGTTTATCGTCATGCTTTAACACCGTGTCTCCTAGAGGGTTTCTATTCAAAATAGAACGCTCCGTCAAAGCGGACAAATTTTTCGATACCAGCCTGAGTACAAAACTGGGTCTACTTTTTGAAAAACCAGTACCCCCTCCCCCCGGGCATCTGACCCACTAAGTATGTTCACCAAGTATGATGACCCAAGGTTGGACGGTCTAAGAGAAGATGTCCGGACAAAGAGAGAGATGGATACTTTATTGTAAAAAGTAGTTGAATGAAAAAGAACTCACATACTTCTCTTTGTCAATGCAGGAGTCTTAAATCAAATCTTTGAATCCTGACGTCTCTTTAATCCACACCTCTCTTCCTCGAAAGGCAAGAATCGTACAGTTATTAATGTATTTAATGAACATTATATTTTTCTCTGCAGAATTGTCCACTACCACCGGTGAGCCAATAAAACACCATCTACAGGATCGCCTGGGGAAGCCTTGAGGATGCCCCTCAGTGATTCAGATGCAGAAAGTGGGTATGGCGAAGACGCCAACACGACACAGGAAAAAGGCCCTGAGCAAAATCTATCTTTAGGTACAGAGAAGTTATGTTTGCTACAATCATATTGAAATAACCTTGAAAGTAAGTAGACTAGTAATGTAGTGACAGGAAGCGTGACAGCGTTGATTGCAACTGTTGTGTCAATTTTTTGTTTGTAATAGTTTCTAAATATTAAAATATGGATATATACTCTTGATTTTAGCTCCAGAGGAAGTGACTTCAATGACACTAGACACAAATCCTGGGCTAATGACCGACCAACAATTTCCCGCTCTTCTAGTTATACCTGAAAACGACATCAATACACCGTTTCCTGCCCAATGGCCCTATTCATCAATAACGAAGGCGAAACTGTATCAAGCTGCTCTTTCGTATGTCTGTCATTTCAAAAGACCTTTACATATGACTTATTTAGGCAGAAGAGCGCAAGTTCCGGACCTACTTCTTGCCATTACAACGGCTGGTTCAAATGTCACAACTGGGAAAATAGAGAAGTGTGTGAAATCTGAAACAAATGATGTTGCTACTGCAAACGCTGATTGCCAAAATGAAGAGGATACCACTGAAAAGCGTAACTCTGAAGATGTGAACATTGATGTAGCTATTGAAGAGTCCAACGCCAATGCTAAATATTGTACAAAGGTTGTTCACAGTTCCAATTTAAATGATAGCCCAAGAACTTGTAACTCAGAAGAATGTGAAAATGTTGACGTCGAGGATGCTGTCACCCCAAAGTCTGATTGCTGTAAAGAAGACAAAATACAAAGCATTGGCCTTGAATATGGAGGTGTGCATACTAATATACATGAATCTCGCGTTGAACTCAATTGCAAACACAATCCCGATGACAGTGGTGAAACACATAATAATGCTCAGCTTGTAGAAGTTGTAGAAGACGACTTCGACACAGTAGACCGTGATTTTGATTCTTCTATGCATTCTCCCCTTTCTACTTTGACCTTTTCTGGGTCAAACCACAGTAGTCCTCGTGAACAGGACTTAATTCCGGATGAATCTCCACTGTGTTCAGATATTCCTAAACCAATGCATATTCCACCATGCGTCTCGATCCGGAATGCAGAAAATATGTTGGTAAACAACATTGATAGAAGAAGCACAATGCTCTTAAGAGATCCAAGTACTATTCAGTTTAGTGATGTAGGAGATGTTGATCTAAAAGAGGACAGCGAAGTGATAATTGAAAAGTCAGGAGATAACGACAACTGCGAAGCTGGTGATATGGACCCACCTATACAAGCAATGGGAAGCGATGTGCCAATTAAGGTTGGAATACCACAGAATACGATTGAAGGCGCTATTGCAGTGGGGAGTAACGAGTTCATAGGAAATGGGAACCTCCCTTTAGAACTACAGGAAGATTATTGGGATGTGAGTTTAATTTGCCTTGATGAAGATGAGAAAAATGCTAGGAAGTTTGCCAGGGAATTCGAGAAACGGTGTCAAGTAAAAAGCGAACGACCCATAAGTGTTCGTTTTTCGTGCGAGCTGCTTTGTCAAGATCTGTTCGAGCAACTGAACGTCTTGTTAGAAAGAGGGTCTATTATTTTACTTTATATGACATATGACTTTATCAAGAACAGACTTGCTACATATAAGACTCACACAGCATTGTATGAAAGTCTAACTAATAAAGGAAGATGCGGTAGTCTTATTCCAATCTTTTACGAAACCCCCAGAAAAAACTTGGATATACCGACAGAATTGCGTGTGTTGACCGGCACAAATTGGGAAAAAGAACCCCATCGCGATAATCTCGTGAGGACATGCCTGGAAAAAACTGCTGTAACAGATGAAAACATGAAAGAGCTTGAAGATAAGCGGGAAGTTGCAAGGGCAGAAATCCGCCTTAGGTACGATGAACAAGAAAAGGAAAAACAAAAACAATTAATCAGAATAAAATTGGAGAGGAAAGCTCGTCTCAATGAACAATGACATGTCGCCAAACATACCATATACGAGAAGAAGCAGGGGGGAAGGTACCATGAAAACATGGCTTAAATTGCTAAAAAATAGTGTGTTCTGTCATAGCCTTTGGACTCCATTTTGTATGGAATTCAATACTAGTATTGCAATGAAAGGAAGGCTATTTAGTGAATATTACGCTTTTTATGCAGATACTTTGTATAAATGTACCCTGCGAGCATAGTCTAGTTATAAACTAAGACGAAGCTCTCTTTTAAGAAGTGAAGTCGAACGAATGTAAAGAGTACTATAAATGTACATGCTCCTTCCAAATGTTCGGACCTATTATAAAGCAATATTTGTGTCTATGGTCACTGGGGGGATCCAGGGGGGGGGGGCATAGGACCACAATTAGTATGCCTTTTGGGCATCGCTTGGTCTTATTGGGGGTTAATTTTTGATTCTATGCCAAATTATCAAAAAGGGGCTCAAATGTTCAAAAGGCGGAGGGAAAGTATCGCAACAGATTTCGTACAGTCATATGTTGGATTTTGGATATTTTCTAAGGGTTTAAACAGGCGCATATGTTAGTATAGGCCAATGTATTACCTCCAGGGAAAGCACTCATAGGGATGATGAAATGATTTCGACTTTGAGACAGGGAAGATGCAAACAACCCACCCACATGTTTTTCTGAAATGTCCTGATTTCAAATCCCTTCTACCCTTGCTTTTTTCAATTTTTGTTGCATCAATATGTTTCGTTTTGACAAACGGTTCTTTTAAAGATATCCAATCAGTTCCAATCCATTATGGAAATTGAGCTGAAAGCAATGGATCGCATGAGTTTTCCTAGAGGAAAATAACATGGGAACTATTTCCACTTTATCTAAAGGTGTTACGCATTACTAATTGAGAAAATAAAAGAACTATGGACTGCTTAGCTTTTTAAAATAGATAAAAATAAAAACAATATTGTGACTTTAAACTTAAGTTAATCTCTGTCATTTCTTTTTAGAGGCCATTGTTCAGATACTGATAAAAGAGACTACAATACGACGAAAACACAAATAAAATAGTTACAAACCTTTTTTTGTTTCAGCACGAGTTCCATCGCGAATCAAATCCATTGCTTGCAATTGGCGCAACCTCGTATTTGCCACCATTAGGCGCAAGGCGCGGTCTGTATCATGTACTATTGCGTTCTCCCTTATTTGAGTAACCTGAACGGCCTTGGTAATTATCGAATAACCGTATGTAAAAGAATTCCGTTCGACTTCTGAGAAGTAGCATGATGACGAATGGTGAATATATTATACAATTACTCTCATTTTCGGACATACCCTACATGAAGGGGTGGGGACTTCAATTCTTAGATCTCAAAATGTAAATATTTGAAAAACACCCGAGGCGAACAATTAGATTTGCTGGTGTCTTAAAGCAATAAAATACAATTACTAATGTTGAACGGTATCTTCGTTATTGTGGCATAGTTTATTACATGCCTATTTCTATACCAGTGGTTAGGGAATTTAATTACCTTTGATTTGATCTATCACAAGTTCAAATTTATTATAATACATGTCGACGAGCGGCCATAATACAAATGACATCATTTACGTTTCAAAACGGGTTTTCAAAAACTTGTCCTCCATTTTGATCGATTTTTGTCATCAATCTTGGCCTAATTAAACTGGTCAATAGGATCATTGATATGCTGTTGAGACAATGAATTCCCGCTCTCAACAATTCTGTCCTTAAGGGACTGAATAGATGTAAGGAGTTCATGATACACCAATTTTGTCGATTCTCCCCAAATGTGGTAGTCGCAAACGTTGGCATAGGGCGCAGTGTGAATTATCACTGCCATGTTAAAACTACATTCGATTTTGAATTATGCGGGGGTCCCTAATCGCTTTCCGTACATAGAACGATCTCGAGGGCCAGTGATTAGGGGGATGAATCGAGGCACATTCTCCTTTAAATACTTGACTGTCTTGTGGGATCTTTGGCTTGGAGTCCCATCTTGTTGGAAAATGTAATGATCAGAATATGAGATCAGGGATAAGTAGTCTGTGTAGGACATGTTGATTCATCCCCCTTAATCACTGCCCCCCTCCCCCAGGTCACCTGATGCCAACCGTCCGCAACGTATGGGGAGAACCAACAGAGTTGGTATACCATGAACCCCTTACATCGATTCAGGGCAGTGTTGTTGTGAAGTTGAAATTATGTTGTCGACAAGTTTATGCCAAGATTGGGGGCTATAATTGATCAAAATGGTAGACATATTCAGCATCTTTTTATGTTGACAAAAACTTGTTTTTTGTAAGTTTTTTAAAAAGCGTTTTGAAACAAAAATGACATTTTCTGTATTGTGGACGCTGATTGACAGGCATTACAATAAATTTGAACATGGTATATCAAATTAAAGATAATTGAATTCCCTATCCACTGGCAATGATACGTTTTCATCATTAAAATCAATGTTTACTTTTGAAATACGAGTGTCCCTTTTTTGGACCACCCTGTACTTTGCCACAAAGCCGCAAATTGGACAAAGTAAATTAGGACAAAAACGTATTTCAACATCGAAAAAACAGCAAATTCCGAAGAATAAAAAATGTTCAGCAATTTTTTCGATGTTGAAATACGTTTTTGTCCTATTTATTTATTGAGCCACCCTAACTTTTGCCGTTAGGCCTACGCTTTAAATCCTTTCAAAAAACCAAATCTTCAAACTATATATAATAAAATTCTTGGAAATGGGTATTGTTAACTCTTCCATTGTATTGTACTATTGGCATGATTAATTCTAGAATAGTAGTAAATTGATCATTACAAAACGTTCTTCCATTCCCGATGACAACTTTTGCTCTTCCTCTATAAAGCCATTTTACTTTCTTTAGAGGTTTGATCAGCAAATTATTTTTAATCTGAGAAAACAACATTTTCCCCTTTATCATGTGGAAAATGCTTTATCAATTATAAAGAATGCGTCACAATTCAGAAAAATTAAAGTTCGTAATTACAGATGGTGGAAGTGTACACTCGCATCCCAACCATTAAGAAAATCCCCATGAATTAATCATACGACCATGTTCGGAGTAATGGACGTTCTTTCCAGATGAATCTTCGTGATTCCTGCTTGCATTTATCCTTATTGATTATGAAATCAAAATAAATCACATTTAGTTCTTTTTTAGCCTGTTTATTTGTGTTCATTCCAACATAAAAAGTTCCGGATTCCTCGAAAGTTCAAGCGTCTCATCAGAACTGACCATTGCGTTTTCTATTTATTCACTTCCTTGTTTGGTTTTTTGTGTAGTTACGGAATGTTGTTTGTGTACGCATTGTTGATTCAGCATTTTCAATGAGAATGTTATTGATGTTTTTTATTTTTGGCAGCATGTAAACATTATAGGTTTACAAATTAGGTTTTACTTAGAAAATGTGGAATATTATGAGAATGGAGGATTCATAAGGTCTCCGAAAGAAAAATATTAGCATTTCACTTTTTGACCACAAGGTCAGCCATTCAACGCCATTACCCTAATATCTAAACACACCCATATGCATTTATTCTGAGACCTGCCCCGTGGACTGTAAAATATCATCTAACACATTATATTATTTAGCTGTGGTGCAAAACTAACTAAGCGAAATCTCCCTAACAACAGTTTCAGTCTTCTCCATAATATATTGAATTTGTACACGTGCGCATTTGTCATGGAAGATTCATCTATTTGTGCGCATGTTTCATACTTCCGCCTTGTGCATGTGCATCTCCACCCTCTGCATGTGCATATTTCTGTATTCTGCATGTGCATATTTACGCCGTGTGCGTACATATTTTCGCTTTGTGCATATTTCCGTCTTCTGCATGTGCATATTTACGCCTTGAGGGCACATATTTTCGCTTTGTGCATATTTCCGTCATCTGCATGTATTACGTCTTTTACATGTATGTACATCAGTCATTCTACCTTGTGCATGGGTCTACTGAATTTTTCTACCTAGCATTTGTAGTCAATTCATTTATTCATCTGTTTGTGTATTCAACTAAGGAATAACTAACAATAACTGACAATATGTTTGAAAATATGGGAAGACATTTCCATTTGGAACCCCAATAAAGATTATCGATAAACAATTTTGACACCAGATAGGCTACTCCAGCCTTTCGAATGGTGTATCACATGCACACAAATGGTAATATATGTATATCATAAATTTATAGCCCTTTGAAGTACTAATTTTTGTAGCAGATAAAAAACAGGCCCAATGTTCCTCTTGGTATGTGTTTTTGTATATATTTGCATTCATTGAAAGATGTCCAACATTTGTGTCTCCAAATAGAATATTCGAATATGCTAGGTTTAGTCTTAATCTAGATAACTTCAAGACATAAATATTGAAGCTTTATATGGATTGTAGGTCCTTATACGGTGTCAGTTAAGGGGAAATCAACGCGGAAGAGAAACTGAAACCAAGTGAACTATTGTATTGGGTGATGTAGAGTGACGTATAGAAACCACGTGTCTGTTCACAGTTTTATTGGGGAAACCCTGGTTTCGTTTACACTTGATCAAGGGGACTGGGGATTAATACAAAGAGTAGGAAAAACAGTCCGACATTGCAATTTTTAAAGTGACTTTATAAATCATGATTTCGTATGATGAATCTGCTTCATCTCAAATTAATTTTGATTCTGCGAAACTTTATTGAGTATATATATTTAGAGTTTTCTTTCTATTTTCAAATAGTTAAAATAACTTCAACAAGTTGCATCGATATAATTTGTGAATGAAAAAACTACAAAAATAGTGTACAGGAAAGTTCAAAATACTTGAAATACAAAACGGAATTATTTTTTAACAAAACTAAGAAATAATTAATTCGGAAAACTTTGAGTTATAATATGTTCTTATCCGGACTTATATTGCAGTTCTTGAAAGTAATAGCACCGGGTTCTGTGGAAGATAGAATGGACGCAAACCAGATGGGTTGTGAATTTGCAGACAGTGCTTTAGAAACAAATATACATTCCAAGGATAATTCTACAGGTAGGATATAACAATGTAAAATACAAATTATGCCAAGATAAGTATCCACGCGTGATAATTATCTTTAATGAGAGCTGCAATTCTTCGATCATAAGAATACTGCTCACAGTCCCAAAAATTATAAGTCCAGTTTAAAAGTGTGACAAAGACGAAAGTAGAGTTGAAAGTAACATTCTAAAAATGATTTCTTACAATAACTATTTTTATGATCAATAAGTAATTTCTTAAAATTATGTAATTTAAGTAACATTATTGTCAAAATTAAAACTAACACATGTATATACCTAATTTTCATCTATAAAGAAAAGTACATTATTTTATTCAAAATGGTCGATTTGTGTTAAACGAGTAAAGTAAGTGTCCAGTAGTAGGTCTCTCGCAGATATCAAAAATGGCACACTTGCCTTAATTATGAAAATATTGTGTTATTATCAAAATTAGCGTTACAATAAAATATTAATGTTTCTTGTAATTGTAATCTTCATTTATGGAGGAAATAAAGGTATACATACATACTATAAAAACGCATGCGTCCAATTTTTCATGACTTTGAACATCTTCAAAATCTCTCATATTTTATGAGAATATTTTCCAACCTCTTAAAAGTATTTGATCAATGTATTTTTGCAGCCCCGGAAGATGACGAAACTGACTATCCAGAAGATCTTGAAAGTGCCGTGAAGTCAATGGGCATTGAAGTACCAATTGAATACAGTATGGAGGAGCTTGACTATGTTATCTACCATAGTGACAAAGACATTGACTTGGCTGAAGATTTAAACAGGCAGATACAACTGATTGGGAAGAGTTACAACATTAATGGAAGTTTATATCAGAACCATTCCACAGAAATTCAATCAAATTTAATATCGGCTGAACACATGGTCAACCGAAGCACATTTATACTCATGATAGTCTCGGAAAATTTTACTGAAGACATATGGATGGACATGCACAAAGATGAGGTCCTGACGGTCACAATGATTGATCCCACAAAGAGGTGGTGTCTCATACCCGTTTTTACCAAACCCAAATCTGAATTCAAAAGATTACCATACGGAATGTTAGGACTTAAAGGAATATACCCAAATGAAGATTATTTTGAATACTCTGTTCATACTCTCTTCGGTGGTCCCAGAGCCAAAGCTCTCAAGGAAGAAAGGATTGAGGCTCGACAAAAAAATAAAATGGCTTGGCTCAAGAAGGCGTTCGTCAGGGGACCGGACATTTGTGACCCGCTCAAAAATGGATCCGTCCCTGGACATTTAGCGAACATGCAATGTCGTATTGACTCGCACGAAGTCCGACTTAATGACATTGAAGAACATCTTGAATCAATGACATAAATTATTTCGAATGAGAAAATAATATAGTATAGGATTAATATAAATAATAGGGAGTTTAACCTTGCATATAAAACAGAGGGGGCCAACCTACACACCTCGCGTAGTGTGCGGGGGCGAGTGAACTCAAAAATTCTTTCACAATAATTACAATTAGCATTTTTCTATCCATTCTGACTACTTTTCAAGTCATTTCGGGCTATTTAAAATCAAATGTGAAACGCCTGGAATTTTTTGAAAAGTGATCCCTCTTGGCAAAAGCTGGCTAGCCTACGGTCCTGTTGTTTGTCATGGTACATCTCATATTGTAGTTGTATTACGTTACTTATAATTAATAAATCTGGCATTTTACACCAGAGTATATCCTAGAGTAGCATGCATTCCGAATATTATAGAAATATCCTATGGTTTTGAAAAAATATCATTTATATCCATGAGTGGATATTGATATCGTCATGAGTGAGCACAGCGAATGAGAGAAGATATTTGTATCCATGGAGTGGATATAATTGAGATTTTTGAAAAACCATAGGATTGTCCGTCTATCCCATGGGAAATCATTATCAGCGAAAAAAGTAGAATTTGAGAAAAAATTTGAAAAAATAATTGAAAAAATTGTGAAAAAATGTTGAATTTTTTTTCTGAAATTTCGAATTTAAAAAATATATTTTTGAAAATAATTAAAGAATGTAAAAAGAATTTTTTTTGAAAAAATTCGAAACCATCGAATATCACTTTTCAAACCATCGAATGTCACTTTTCAAACCATCGAATATCACTTTTTAAGACGGGATATTCGATAGTTTAAAAGTGATATTCGATGGTTTGTGAATTTTTTGCTAAAATATGATATCTTGATCCACATATCAAAAATATCTTAATGTGATATTCGATCTATATCCTTGCAACCATGGGATAAAAAATAATACTCTTAATATGGATACTCCCCTCCGACAGTATTGGGTCATTTAGAACAGATTGTATTCATTATTTTGGCTCTCGTGAAAATGATACCCTATTGTTATATATACTAGTATTATAATTGTTATGAATATTTGTAAAATATGTAGCCCAAACGTTAAATTTATTGTTATAATGAAATAAAGCAATATGTACGTACTTCGCTTGTCAGTTCATATTGTGATTCAACTGCAATCAGAGATTTAGCGGATGTGGTTTAAACGTTTGTGACACTCTTGTGTGATGTAGTCCCGAACACATATGGCCTAGTTCAGATATCAACGTGACAAGGATTCTTTGGGTCTATTGTCAATTTGTCAACTTTTCTCACTTTTCATTTTCTCCTGATTCTGTAGGTAGTTACTGAGACTTCTTAGTGTTTTTATGAAAAATAACATGCTCCGTCACAGCGGACAAGTCTCTCGATACATACCTGTGATATACGTACACACGTCACATTTTCCAAGAACGCCACTATGGCATTATTTTTGCTTCTTTATTCGTTAAATCCTAATAAATTCGACATATGGCATATTTATATTCGCTAAATCAATTTTCCATTCGGTAAAGACATTTATATATTTGTTACAGCGAATTTAGTTTTCAAAATAGCCAATGTATTAAATCACTTAATACTTATGTACTATATGCATTAAATTACATATTTTATTCACTAAATGATATACTTTTTGCGTAAACTGTTATGGTAGGCTATTCATTAAGAGTAACACATAAATGCACAATATCAAATTTCTATTTTAACCCTTACCGAAATAAGTTTTTCTATCTTTACCAAATAATTTATTTTTCAATAACATAGTTAATGCATTTCACCGAAAGCTCATTTGCTATTTAGCGAATGCAATAACGCAATATTCGATAAATTTCGTTGTTCTTCGATATTTTGTCACGTGACCTCGAGTTTTGCAAAATGGACGCGCGGCTATTCGACATCGTTTTCATATATCACGTGACTGAAAGTATCGTAAAGTATCGAAAAATAACGAAATTTATCGAGTGTGGCTTTCGGTATTTACCGAATATAAATAAGTTAAATACCGAATGTTTAAATATAACTAATTGAACTATATGTACGCTAGGGAAAACAAATTGAATCGCCGCATCACACAAATACATGTTTAAATATCAAATGTAAATGCCAACACAATGAACAAGTGCAACTGTTCTGCGAATATAAATTGTATAGATTATAATATTCGATAAAATAAAAGACATTCGATAGATTGGGTAAAGGTTTTGGTAAATTGATTGTTTTATTTGATATCGAATTATATGTACCGAATAAAGAAGCAGTTTAAACACCATACGCCACATACATCATGTTTCTATGTTTTCATTATCAATTAGAACAGTATAAAATCATGCAATTCAAAAACCTCCTCCTAGGCCCAGAAAATAGTTTTGGGCCCAGAAATTTTGTATGGCTTTTTTGGGCATTACCTGGCCCATGGGCTTTCAGTCATCTAGTTGAAAGCCCATGCCTGGCCTTTCAGTGGTTTTAGGCTAATTGTAGGCCAAAACAAAAATGAGCCTTAAATTTGGGCCCAATTTTTTGTTTTATAACCATTTGTTCTTGTTCAACCGCGGACATTTTTTCTGACTTGAATTGTACCCCTCCCCTGGCCCCTCGGCCTGTTAGCTTTTGGATAGCTGAACCGTCAACGGATCCATGGAGGGGGGGGGCAGGAATTTTGTAGGGCCTCATATAATGGGTCTTTTGGGCATAATTTGGCCTTAAGGACAGGGTGCATGTTGGGAAATTTTCTGCATTCCTCAATTGAGTCACATGTTATTTTTCAAACAAGAATAAGTCCTTCCCCAAATTGTCTACATCTTCCAAGTTTGCACAAAGAGTGCACCTATGTGCCTAGAAAAGCCTTGTGAGAAGGTTTGTTTTGTAAAATGTATAAAAAATGAGAAAATTCAGTGAAAAAAATTTCTGAAAATTTTCTGATTTTTTTCACTGAATTTTCTCATTTTTTATACATTTTATCAAAACATCCTTCTCACAAGTCTTTTCTAGGCACATTAGTGCACTCTTTGTGCAAAACTGGAAGATATAGACAATGTGGGGAAGGAGTGATTCTTGTTTGAAAAATAACATGTGACTCAATTGAGGAATGCAGAAAATTTCCCATCATGCACCCTGACCTTAAGTTTTAGTTTTTATTAAGTTTTAGGGTCCTGAATTTTTTTCCGCACAGGCGCTGGAAATTTCTTTGCTGACTCGAAATTTGCCCCCCCCCCTTGTTTGTTTCTTGATCCGCCAGTGTTGTAGACCTTTGGTGAAAGTTTCTTTTATTAGCAAATTATTTTTAAAAATATTCAAAGTTGGCAAACTCTGTGACAGGGCTATATTCCGAGACACTGCATGGAAGATGGAAGTTTGCAAAGTTGAATTTCCCGCCAAGAGGAATTAATTGATTTTTTGAGCTGCCACCTATTGTTTGCTAACCCGGAAGTGAAATTCAGAAAAGAAAATTTTAATTTTTCAATATTATTTGCTTTCAATATGTCTACTAGACCTTCACGACCGCCCCCGCCTGCTCCAGTGAAACCAGGTAAGACTTTTTCATACAATGGCGTATTTTGACTGCTGTTGGTGTTATTGAGATGGATATATTCTGGACAAGATTGATTTTGGATTGAGGAAATATTTTAATTGACTGAACTTTTTTCAATCAAAAGCTATAAAATGTTGATTGTTTTGTTTTACTAAAAGGTATTCACTAAACCTAGATATTGCCAGAGGAGTCACACTATATCTTTTAACCACCACCCATGGGTAATGTTTTTTGGTAAACGAAGTCCTTTTTTACGAGAACAAGCTTGTTCCCATGATGCTAATTTGTGAGAAGATCTGTCACATGTGTGTTGTTTATGTACCACCCTCACTTCTGGTTGATAATAATTTTTGTTTTCTCGATTATAGCATCTTTATCCTTCAATTTTCAACTAAATATTTGACCCACATGTAGTACGTGTGTTCTGGTTTCGAAATATGGTAATAAATACAGTAATTGTTTAGATAATTGCAAAATCTCGTCCTCGCTTATTTGTTCCCTCTTGAAACAATTAAGACAGTTTCTCAGAGAAATGAAGACAAAACATAGGTTTCTGAAGCATGAAATGAAGACAGCACATTTCAATACTATCTGAAGTATAAGTAATGGGATAACGCAGTCAAAAAAGAGTTACATTCCTTTAAGACATCTACAATGTGCCTTCAAGTGCAAATGTGACTCTTAATAGGGATACTAGAGTACTACCACATTGAATATAGTAAAACAAATGTCTTGATTGCAAATAAAACGTGTCTTCGTATCATTGGTACAAAATGGACTGTCTTCATTTCCTAAGCGAGGGAACAAATTTGTTTAGTAGTAAAAAGTACTTTATCTATTTCTGAGATGTAATTATATTTCAAAACCTGAACCAATGCACTATATACTGACCAAATATGAAGTTAAGATTTGATGGATATGGGTGACAAAATTAAGAAAACAAAAATTCTTACCAAATTCTTCTACTGGAAGTTCAACCATGCTGAAACAAAGACATAATGTCTCGTTTTGAATTGATCCCAGTGACCCTGGCTTAGAAATAATACTCCAAAGTGCGTAGCTACTGATTGTTTGTTACTGTTAATTGGATTTGGAATGTTTTCAAAGGTCTTTTTGTTATTCTATCAGGTCAGAATTAATTTTTTTCAGTTTCAGTTTCGACTGAAACCAACAATGCACAAAATCTTGTGTTGGTTATAACACCTTTGGTTTCGATTGAAAGTACAAAGATGTTAATATGTCTCACGCCATACGTTTCTTGAAAGCTGATTCTTACACACAATACAGGGGCGTAGCCAGCAAATGTTAAGGGGTAGCACATTTTGAGGTCTGCATCACTGCGAGCAAAGTGAGCCCCAAAAATGGGGGTATGGGGTTTCACCCTTGGAGATTTTTTAAAATCCACATAGTGTATGGTGCATTCTAAGCATTTAAAACTATAATTTGTTATTAAATTTTAAAAAGATTTTAACAAATTTTACAAAAATCGCACCCCTGGCTACACCCATAGCTATATACACCAGGAAAGATTGGCGCCCAGACTGCAATCTCAATATTTTCCAACAATGAATCCGATCTTGAAGGATGTCATGAAAATGCTTCAGAATTACTCAGATGCGAGTAGGGAATTACCAGTTTCGCCACCAGGTGGCTGATTCGGGGGAAATAACATGGCAGGGTATTACAAAATTCCCTTAAACTTGAATATTAATCAGTTGTACTGGTTTACTTTTCATATTGCCCTTATGTATCTGATAGTTATACAAATTAAGATATGTCCAGTGAAAGAAAATATTATCTGCCCAACACAAGAAAAGATATTTACATTTTTGTGATTTTACAACATGGGGTCTATGGGGAGTCTCCCCGACCTAGAAGTCACATTTTCAAGGAAAATAAAATTTTCAAAGTTGATAGACTCTATTCAATACCACATTGCTAGATGTAATTTTACATGTAGATGCCAAATATGACATCGGTTTGACTGAATTTGAAACTTTTAATTTTGAAACATTTATTATGTCATAGTTCATTGTTGGAAAATCAAGGTTGCATAATTCTGAGTGCCAATCCTCCTTGTATATTATACATGTATGGTTAAAGGTCGTGAAAGTAATTTATCTAGTTCTAATATTCAAAAAAGGTCTTTTTTCAACTTGCTTCAAATTGACCAATTTATTTTTTCAAAATCATCTACAAGTTCTCAGAAATTCAAATCTGACTTAAAATTATTTATATTAAAATCATATAAACATAGATATTTAAATACATTTTTCATTGTTTTTAGGTCATGTGAAGGTTGTAAGAGCTCTTTACCCATACCAAGCACAACAGGTTTGTAGATAATAGGATAATAGTACTTTATTCGAAGTAACCTGTATTTTATCCCAGGTTTTGCACCCACCTCTTAAATCAAAAGGAAGATCCTAATTTATCATTTTTGAATGTGAATCAAATAAAGCGAACAACAGTTTTTCAATTCGATGTTGGTGATAAGATACTCATGCATTATGTTAGTGACCCAGTTGCATGCTATTAATTTAGCTGCTGGACTTCCTCATTTTATTGGATGAAAATGATTGAAATATTTTACTCATTTGATAATACATGTATATTAGAATATATATTTTAGAATGAAATTTTCTTTGTAATGAAGGTTATTCTTTAAGCATAATTCTATCCAACGGTTTTCTTGCAATTTAGTCTGATGAACTGTCATTTGAGGAGGGGGATACGCTATATATCATAGACATGACCTCCAGTAGTGAATGGTGGAGAGCTAGTTGCGATGGCAGGGTTGGACTCATACCATTCAACTACGGTAAGTGGCTGAAACCAATAGGAAGCTGCAATCACACACAATGTGTCTCATATATGCTTTGAAATTAATTCCATGCATAATCCCTTTTAGTATGTGGGTGGTTAAAGTGACGGTATCATTTTCGAAGAAGTGCAAATCTGGTAGATTTTTGATGGAAATTCAGACTCCCTAATGGTTTTGTTAACAAGGATGTTTTGGGGTCTAGCAGTTGTTGAAATTGTATATACGCTCGGTATATATGTGAAAGTGCCAAATTGCTTCCTATTTTACCATTAGGTAGAGGATGTAATACTTGGTGCACAGATATTGTACTTAATGTATTTTATCACTGTTGTCCCTTATTGCATTTGTGCTAATTTTGCTTGTACATGTATTGATCTTACACTGTTCTTCAATCATGGAAAAGTATAGAATTTTTTCAATTGTAATTTTACCCTTGCATTCCTCTTCTGTTCACATCTGCTATTCACTAATTGATTAAATTAAAAGCACAATAATAAAACCCTTGTGTTATGAAAACCGAGCCATTTGGAGTATTTTTGACAGCTTGCTTTCTGCAATTATCAGTCATACCCTTCACAAATGATCACTTAATCTGCACTCCGTGAATCTAAATTAGAATTTTTTTTATGTAACCATGGGCTTTCAATTACGAGAGTTGAAAGCTCATGATGTAACCTTTCCAAAATCGTATCAGAATATGTAAAGTCAGGATATCACAACTTTTTCTGCCTATGAGCGTCTAACATTCAGTCAGTTGAAGCTAGATTTGAGTGTTTTGTGTTTGGTGGTCAGCATCTGTAACAAATGGCAGGTGGTGATATTTTGCATGTTATTACCTTGTTAGGATCTCGTCAGCACAGCTGTGTCAGCATCAAAAGTGTGAAACCATGCATAATAAGCTTTGCTTTATTTGCTTTATAGTGGAGGAGAACACTGAGTCAGTGGACAACCCAATGCATGAAGCCGCTAAGAGGGGGAATATATCTTTTATGAAAGACTGTATAAAAAACAAGGTACATATACTGTTGCCAAATAAGCTTATATGTATGATACAATGTTGCATTTATTCATATCCTGCTATAGGAACCTTGACTCATTTTGATCAGTGAAGTTAAAATGACATTCCATTGGTAGATTTTAGATATTTTTGTGATATTTGTTTTCTGTCAATCTTAGACATGGGAATATCAGGTTAACAAATTGATATTAAGTGTCATTATGGAATAGTAAATGTTCCGATTCTTTTCTTCCTCTTGATAATATAAAACATATTGCATACACATTATCGCCAGCTAAGAAGATTATTGAGGAACCCGAAACTAATGCAAGAATAGAAATTCTGGAAAAATGTACATTTATAAAGTAATTATGAACAAATAATTTTTAACTGTTAAAAATTCCCCAATCAATTATTTTGAATAACAAGTTTTCTTGAAAAATCCCAATGGTTATCACTATGCATATTGTATAATGGAAAATAATTTTTTCCATACGATCACTCTGACCTACACTCCTGCATTTTGTAGGTGTCAGTGAATGGCCTAGATAAAGCAGGGAATACCCCACTACATTGGGCTGCTCATGGTGGACACATAGACTGCATGAAACTACTACTGGCTGCTGGAAACATTCAACTTGATGTACAGGTATTAGACTTGTATTGTACTACAGTTGTATTGCATTGCATTTGTAATATAATGCTCTTGTATTATATTATATTTCCATTGCATTTTGTTCACTTGCTTTGGTATTCTTCCATATTTGTGGTTTAGTGTATTGCATTTGAACTATGTTGCTCTTGTTTTCAAGGCATTTTTTTATTTTTTATTATTGTATTGAATTTGTAACTGTTCTTTGATATCATTGTATTATATTGCTCTTGTAATGTAATTTGGTATTGGTCTTGGTATTGGTCTTGAATCCCAGGCTCCAAAATCGGTTGAAACCAGAGAAATTTTCTTTTTTGCCGCCTTTTGACATTTTATTACATCCAATACAACTTTAGATGCTAAACTTGTAAAATTAGATGGCAGAGATTATTTATATACATTTTAAAACAATTTTTGTGTAAATTGGATTAATATTGATTAAATAAGGGCAATTTTAGTGAAATATTTTGTGACAGATTTTCTCATCGCTCTGGGTTTCAAGGTCATTTCTGAGGTGATAAGAAATCTCGTCACTCCAGGTAGTAAAGCTTTGCACTGTCTTGGTATTGTATTGTGTTACTCTTTTGTTGTATTTATACAATGCATTGTATCAGTGGTCTTGGTCTGTGTTTTGCCAAGTTCTGAATTGTGTTGCACATTGATAGAAGTTTCTGGTGCTTTACTGGCACAAAATGTTGTCCATGTTTGGATGTGTTTGCTTTAGAGGGATGTTCCCTTATATGTTCAGGCTGGGCCAAAAAATGATCTTCTCTGTCATACCAAAAATGGCCTATTTTCATCAGCCATCTTGGTGGGTGACATCTCAGTTTTCCATGATAGAGCTTGGTTCATTAGTTGTGATATATTGTTATAATCTCCAACTTATTTGTGGACAGGGGTTGGTGTTCGACATCTGTAACAAATGGCAGGTAGTGACATTTTGTATGTAAATACCTTGTTTTTATTTAGGATGCTAATTTCATGACATTCGCTCCTCGTATCCTTAACACATCTTAACTTGGTACCACACTCTTATTTCATTGACAGTATTTCTTGAAATTATCTCAACTATTTGAAATGATGTAGCATTTATTGTATGTGATTTTCAGAACAAGATTGGTGATACAGCGCTACATTCTTGCGCTTGGAAGGGTCATGCTAGTGCAGTCCAACTTCTCCTAGAGAAAGGTAATTGATATCTATATGAATGAAAACAACAGGCACAATTAATGGAAATCATAAATTTAACATGGAACAGTTGAAAAGTCCCTAAAACAAGAGGCGAATTTGTGAAAACAACTGGTAAAAATCGCCTGTTGCTAATGAAACTACTGCATATACAAAGAACATATAAGATATACACAATACAGCAAAGTAAATATAATGCATACACACAGTTTATACCAGGGATGAAGTAAATACATAAGACATACTGTATTCATGAATTTCATCCTCACTGCATTCACCAAAAGTAAATTCTAACACAATCCATATATTTCTGAGGATATGGAAATCCTTATTCTCTAGTCCTTATAGAAAAGGGAAATAAAAATAGGATTGCAAGGGAAACATTAGGTTTGTATTTGATTGCTTCCAAGATGTTAGACTATCCCTTTTAATATATTTTTGAAATATTGAGACTTCATTGTTTTATTTTATTTCATTGCATTTAACAGGTGCCAGGCTTGACCTTAGGAATAAAGACAAGAAGTCAGCATATGATTTAGCTAAAGACCCTGATACAGCAGCTCTATTAAAAACTGTTGGTGAGTCAAAAATAGGCAATTTTCTTCCCACTCTGTCATTTCTATAAGAGTTTTCGAAATAGACTATATGTAGAGTATGCACTTCAAGTATAATGATATATCTGGTAAATTAGAAATGCCATTTGGGGAATTTCAATTTTCTATTTTTATGTCTTAGTTTATAAATATCTGTAATTTTAATAGAATATCAGATAATTTTGAGTGATATTTTTATCAACGATAGGGTTTGTGTCAAATATTAAAACAAGTGATCCAGGCGGGAGTTAAGTTTAGGTGGCCATGTATTCTGGTAATTACAATAGCCTATATCCAATGCAAGCTATTAAGGTATAAACCCATGATGAGAATTTTAATGTTGTTCACGGAATAACGAATGAAATGGGTTAATTTTATTTGGATGTTTACGTGTTATGGTAGAATACATATTTTGAAATCGAAATATTTCAATTAAATGAAAAAATGACATTTCCCCAATTTCTTTGTCAATTTTTGGGAAAGTTTGGAATGAACTTCCTTAATAAAATTGTACTCAGTTATCAGAACTCTTATCAACAAGGAAAACATTCCCTGAGACTAATGAGGGGATGAATGATAAATCAGATGTCCTCATATCATAACAGGAAAGCTTTGAATGGCAAATGATTATTACTTTCATTTTGATAACATGAGACCAGTTCAACGAACATGCCTGTGGGTGGACAAAACATGTATTTTGAATCATCTAAAAGGCATGTGATTGGAATTTTATAATTAGAAGACAAAGAATCATATGATTACATTGGCCAATGAGCCAATGATTGGCTAACTTCCCTTTCACATTCACTCTCCCCATTTCCAATTCAACTTCCTCAAAAAATCTGCCAACTTCCAACTTTTTGACATACAAGGGCTGATCCAGAAGTTGTGATAAAAATGCAATTACTTATAAGTTTGTCATTTGTTTTCTACAAAAGTTTAAGTTTTTGCGAGTGTAATTTGAAAAAAATAAGAAAAAAGCAATCAACCCCATATTAATGGGTGTAACCCCATATTAATGGGTGTATAGAAGGTGGTACATGCTGCATTTAAGATGCTGTAAAAACTGGAATATTTTGTTATAGCCAGAGGAAGTGTGGCTAACTGATAGCAGGGTAATATTATAATCTGCATACTTTTACAAAATACATATTATATTATTTATTATTCCAGTGATGCCAAGACAATTCTCAAAGGACTATGGAGGGGATAGTGACTCAGACTAGTTCCTAATATGGTCATATATTCAAAGGAAGATCATCTATCCCACAGTCCTATGTATTCCTATCTGGAATCCTCTCATATGATTAGCTGCTCAGAAGATCACATGACTGACTGACCATGGGAATAAGACATTTAACTTATTCATCTTTAATTACTTACTGAAGGATCACAATTTATTGTAAATTGGGTTAAATTGGCGCTATTAATTTGGTATTTTCAGTTTTCTAAATATTGACGGCAACTTGATGACAGATTCATTTTAATACATTGAAGTATCAAAAAGAACGTAAGCTGGTCATTGTATGAGTTAAACTAAATGGTGAAAAACCAAAATTGTCAAATTACCCCAGTTTATGATAAATGCCAACTACAAAGTCTAATGTTAAATTTTGGCATATGCCCCAAGTTGATCACTTACGAAATGTATTCAGTGCAGGCCTGTAGCCAGGATTTGCCAAGGGGGGATTTAGTTTTCAAAAATTGACTTGAGAAAACTTGAGAAGTGCTCAAAATGGTGAAAAACTGCATGATTTTGAAAGAATTTTTGGCCGGGGGGGGGTTCGTCTGAACCTTGGGAACCCCCCCTGGCTAAGGGCCTGCAGTGTATCAGATCTATTTAAATCAAAAGGCATGAGTCCCTGAGCTCAAACATGACACTTATTAATATCGCGCACATAAAGTTTTCAAGGTATATGTACTGTACATGGTTAATCATTAATCAAATACCATTTATTGGAAACTACTATGTAGTCTTGCATGGAGTCCCTAGTCCCACTGGTTTCTTTCTCCATGAGAGCAAGAGGGGGGGGGGGTGCATTCATGATCTCGATGTGGGACTAAATGTATATTTTACAATATAAATACAGTAAAAGCTATATGTTAAGTGAAACACCTTTTGGACCTCTTAATAGTGTTCCACTCGGGAGGTGTTCCGCTCACTGAGGGTCATCTTATATTGAGAAAATTGGTAATGAAACTCGAAGTGTTTCTATTATTGAGGCATTCCACTTCACAGGTTTTACTGTATTAGGTATCCTCACAGTTGATCTTCAAACAGCTCACTCCTCTTTGATCTACTTGTACATATATATTTTCACTAAAATGTAATAAATGCCAACAAATTCTAAATCATTGTCAAAAGATTAGCCACTCATCATTGCCATACTAGAGCACATGTTATAATATTTGTATTTGAAATTATTATTTTTTTAATTGCATATAAAAGCAACAAATTCATAATTATTGTCAAAAATTAGCTGTACACCACTGCCATATTAGAGCACATGTTTGCACACCATAATGTTTGTATTTTATTTGAAACTTATAAAATGCATCTCATATAAGGGCCATAATGGTTATGTGTAATAGGTGCCTTATTGTATATATTCTATATTGTGTATTAAGCAACATTTTAAGCTTACTTAGTGCTGTATAATGTGCACAGAAAATATAAAACTTATCAAATGAAGAAGATTGGATGATAGTGAAGCCCTTGTAAATGAACCTTTTGTTTTTTTAGAAATAATTCATCCATCTCTCCATGTAAAAACACTTTGCATGCATTATCCCATCACATATTCTTATTTGGTCACATATATGACTTAAAACAAAGGCCAGTTTGAAAAAGCTATGACACTACAAAGATAATATATCAAACCAAAGATAAGTGTTCCAAAAATATTATTTCCACCAGGCCCGTAGCCAGGATTTGCCAAGGGGGGGTTCAGTTTTCAAAAATTTCCAGGGGGGGTTCACATTTGACAATTTTGGCCCAAATATTGCTAAAATTACTTGGAGAAGTCCGAACCCTGCGAACCCCCCTGGCTACGGGCCTGTCCACTATATATTGAAATGATATATCCAATGATCCAATATATCCAACGAGACAATGATACTCATTCGAGTGTTTGGATATAAAGGATGTTTGGCGATCTGAATTGTTCTTCTATAAATAGGTTCGGCTTCACAGGCACTATTGTACATTTATATTCAAAATCAAATGATGATACTGTGTATGATATCTTTGATAGTTCAAGATGGGATAACATCACGTAATATTAATTCAATTATGTTTTAATTAAACATGAAGAAAACATGTTGTTAATGAATTATTTCATAAGATATTTATATTAATGTCTGTGTATTAATTAAATATTAGCTCCCTGTAATTTATTTTATTTTACTTTGTTAATGAGGACAATTAAATTTTCATTATTATGCAATGGGTGTGTTCTATGTGACAGAACACTTTATTACATGTGGGAGTTTAATATTAAAAAGGAGTAATTGATACATACAATTGAGATAGCAAACAAACCTGTTTCACTAGACCTTTCCAATAAATCATGCCATTTTGGCTAGATTTTATGATGCCATAATTTGCAGGCAGCGGTATTTGTAAACAAAATTGAAAGATGTTTTTTAAGAGTATCAATTAGTTAATTCTGTATTTGGTCTTACATCATAATCAATATAGATGTTATGATTTAATGGATCGGTCTGTTTGAGAATTGCTTGGGATCTTATGTTTCATTGTCATGCCTATTCTCTAAATTTTTATTCTTATTAAATCTTCTTCTTATTAAATAAGATCCTACCACACATATATGGCTTGTGGTGTCTCATGCAAGATATTGTAACTGAAATGAAAAAATGAAAATGAAGATACCTTGACCATTTTTCGAAACATTTTAATTAAGAATCTGCAACACTTTGATAGGTTAGCCTATTTCTACAACCATATAAATGATAGAGCTTTTACAATAGCAAATATGTTTAATTCTCTACAGGGTAATAACTGTGGTGTTATTGTAACAAATTGTTTGTGGTGAATGATTCATGAATAAATTAGTATGTCATTGTGCGGTTGTGAAATTGCAACTTGGGGAAGCATGATACATTCAGAGTTAAACCTCGTGCATGTAACCACTTCCTTCTCAAGAAGGGTTCCAGAGTTCCAAATTTAATTAATTCCTCATACACATGTCCAGGATATTGTAGCCAGGCATTTTGGGATAGGGTATATACCATATATGGATTATTTGTGGGATCCATCCCATACCTTTATATTTTCATGTACAGTTTTATTTTATTAAATGTACTATGAACTCATCCTCAGAATGCAGTACAATGTACTTCAGACATCATCATCTGAGTTACAAATTTTTCCAAAAAGAAGAAGGAGTTCTGGAGGCGTGTTTAGAGGATTAATTTATATATGAACTGGGACTAGTATATTCATCCCAGTTTTGAACATACATTCTGATATATATACACTCCCCTTCAAAAGTTTGGAAAGCTTTTTCAAATAAAAATTTAAATATGAGCACCATATAACATGTAGTTCCATGAAGAAAAAAAGCTTTCCAAAGTTTTGGATGGAAGTGTAAAAGTAGTCAATGTAAATGTATACCCATGCTTGTATGTAAATAAAATTTCAATACATGTATGTAATATGTATATAAAAATAAAGTATATAACACGTGAATGATGTTTTGTATTCAGTTGATGGCATGTGCCTTAATTGTTGCATATTATACTGTTCAAGTTACATACCTTTGAGGATTGGACCTAACTTTTGTATGGTTTCCATTCCCTTTCCATTCCATTTCTGAGCCCATTATTGATTTGCTCCCTCCAAAAGAAATTTCAATGATTTTCACTGATGTATTCAATTTGTTGCTTTGTTTAATTAGTTGAATTTTGAAGAAGATCTATGATACAACCAAGTTTATGCCAACCAAACTATATTATGCTATCGGAAGATTATGATATATTTTTGATTTGCTGGACTTCATTTGCGTAAAGGTTAATTCATCATCATTGTGTTTAGGACATGGCCATTCAATTCTATTGAAAGCCCATGGTTTAGGAGGATAAGGTTTAGTCCTGTGTTTTCATCCCCTCTGATCATTTTTATTGGCAGTTTTTAATTTCTTTGGTATTTTATTTCCCAAAGAAGTACATGTACAGTAGATAATTTGCATACTTTAAAAAGTGTCAGGTACCAGAATTAATAAAACATGGATATATATTTGTCTTATTTTGGAAATATATATTTGAAAGGAATAAAAATTATATATGTCACCCCCCCCCCGTACTCCCTTATCATAACCCTGGCCTCATTTCCCCTCGCCCAACCACCTTCATTGTCATTATCAGCTTAAATTCCCGGGAACTCATGATGTTTCCTCTTTTCGTTTACCGCAGCTCTTCAGACTTGAAGGTCAAGTAAATAGGTGGCGCCCTAAATTAAGAATGGCGGAAGAACATTTTTCAAATAATCTATAGTATTGATTCATGTAGTGTTAATCCATGGATAAAATGTTAGGTTTGTGAATTATATATCATAAATTTGACCTAAAGCTATAATTTATCTAGATTTTAAGGAGCACATTTGTATTATTTATTAGGAATATACTCGAAACGTTTTCTGTTTTTCTAAAATTATTTCACTCGACTGTCTCTCAGTGACTCCGACTCAGTCACTGTCCGAGGTTGTGGGAAGTTCTAAGCTTTAGTATTTAGGTTATAACACGGGAGACAGGCTACTGAAAAATGATAGAGAATAGTTTCAGGTCTAGTCTAGAGTCAGTCCATCTTTTTCAGTAAGGCCAGTGTGCATGTTTGGAATTTTTCTTCTTTCCTCAATTAAGTTAGAGTCATACAGTTGGGGACATAAATAAATGACAGGTGGATTTGCTGAAGTGAGGATTTCCCATGTTAAAAATAAGAGAATTTACAAGAGACCATAAATCAGTGGATGAGATTATACAAAATGTAAAATATACAAATTTTAAGGGATATGTATCTAGACAATATTGGAAATTATGGACTTTCAGACCACCATAATTAGGAAATGGTGATCGAAAATCGACCTGTCATTTATTTTTGTCCCCAACTGTATGTTATTTTTTAAACAGGAATCACTCCTTCCACACATTGTCTACATCTTCCAGTTTTGCACAAAGAGTGCAACGACAATTGTCGATACAGGAGACTGCCCAGTGAGTATTTGCTCCCGTACCGACAATTGTGGGCACTGGAGACTGCCCAGTGAGTATTTGCTTGGGTACCGACAATTGTTACACTAGTTTCACTCTGGTTTGTATCGTTCACTGATAGTGTCGTGGTTAGCGTCCTCGTACCGAGTTTGATTCCCGCTTTCGGATGCATTTTTTCTGTTTCTAGATTATACATTTTGCTTCTTTTGAGGACCCAGTTTTGAAATTGTTCTTTTTATTTATTTGTATATCAGTAGTAGCTCAATATATAGTTTGAGTCATTGACACTACTACAATGATCTGGCTTACCCTCAAAGGCTGGCTGGCTTACTAATTCATGATTTCCTGATGTTTTCGCGATTTACAGTTACAATATACGGATACTAATATTAAATACATTCTGTTTACAAATTTAATTGTCTCTAATAAAACTGCACTGAACTGTGATAGGAAATAACACCTGTTTCGGAAAATATTGAGTGCAACATTGTTTGAGATTATTTTTCAGTTAGGGTTATTTTCCTGCTAATTATCCAGTCACGATTGCCACCTGTTGTTTTTTTAAATAAAACCTTTAAGAGGTTAATTATGAATATAAACTTACAAACTTTCTTGTCATGAGTTATTGTTGCCTGTTGATTGGTGATATGTAGGGTCAGGTCGTGAGACTGCTCGTGTTTTACATTTACTTTGATGACTGGTTTTATCATCCATAAGAGTAGTCAGGGAGATGCCACTGAACCCCCATAACCAATAACAAATAATAGATCCGATATTTAAGAAAAGAGCTTTCAAATGGTTTTTATTTGAAGCTTCTAGCTAGTCTAGGTGTTTGAAGGAAGTAGGTGGTAGTTAACAGGAAATGACAAAACCATGCTGGATTTTGATAATTTTTTCAACTTACATTTTCCTTGACCTTTGACACCAATGATACACATGTTAACATCATTGTGATAGTACATTGTGTTTGTTTAATGAAACATGTAGGGCCTGACTCCCAATCAAGTAAAATATCTGGTAAGGTTGATCTGTCAAATAAACAAAGATGGTAATATTAATTGACTATACTCTCCTGTTGATAGGATTATGGTAAGAAGATCAAAAGATGACGACCCTCTGTGTTGCTGTGAGTTTGTGAACCAATCAGGAGAGAGGAGACACATACTACAGTGTTGCTGCGACTGTGAGGCTGTAGATTCTGCATGTGATAGGTAAGATGGAAACCATTGGTTAAAAATCTTTGGGACTTCAAATCTTAGAATATAATTTGTCTTTGATAAGGGAAAACAAGAAATACATGGAGTGGAATTGGCTTGTCTAAGATTAATAGAAATATCCATAATGAAATTGTAGTGAAATAAGGGATTCTGGCTTTTTTTACGAGTACATGTAGTTTCAATGAGGCCAAAGTAGATCAAGATGATTTGTGAAGATAATGCCTCTAAATTATTCAAAGATGACCTTTCCCTTATTCATGAGGATGCTCTTCCCCTTCTTATTACCATTATTTTTTTCATTCTTCTTGCAGGTTATTGAAGTGTGAAAAACTCCCAATACATGCTATAGACAGTGTATTGGACACAATGTTTGACAGATGTCGTCTACCATGGATCGGGGGAGCTATACAGGTGAACCTCGATGTCTTTCTACCAGTCGCGGTTGTCCCTTTCAGTCTAATTATAGCCTGCATACATGCCTATGTAGCAGTCTTGGTGCTAACCCTTATGCCACTATCCATGTATTTATTCTATAGGACATGGCAAAAAAGGACAAATCGCAAGAGGACTCAATTTTTCTTTTCCTGGGCAGTTACCTCAATGGTATTTTCATTCCATGTGTTTGAGATCATGGCACTAGGTCTGAGGAAAATCCTATTGTGGGAGAATCTGTTAGTAGTCACTCTGACTGCGGCACTTGCTTATATGGTGTATCTAACAAAGCAAAATCCAGGCTTCCTAGCCATAGTTCCCCACCCTAAGCATGCCCAGCTGAATGGCCAAGCTGGTCCAACACGAACTGTAACTCAAGAACATAAACATAAACACAAACATAGTGATCTAGGAGATTATGAAAGTTCAACCAAAAGTGAGCAACAGACCCAACAAAATCAATCATACTCTCCATCAAATACACAAGGGGAAATCCCACACCAGAGAAACAAGGACCATAAAGTTAACATAGCATCGGATATTACCCAGCATCCTGTTGGGGATATGTTAATGAATAATTTCGGGTTCCATGAAGAGGAATTACGAGAGAAGCAGCTTGAGATGAAGGGGGAAATTATCTACCAGGAGAAGTGTACATGGGTTGATGCAAGGCCTTTCAGAGGTAAGTTACATCTTTTCGTTATAGTTTATAAAACATAATACTGCCTGTGAGCAGATGTATACAGTTGATGTTTGATGTATGATATTGTGTAAACATTGACAAACATAATATTCATCTTGGATTTTTCATACAAGGTATGACCTATGTGTGATAGAAAGTCTATTGTAAGCAATATGCAAAATACATATTCGTGCTGTCCCCACATTGAACTTTCTGAAGTGCTGCTTTTCCATGTATTTTATTAAACCAAATGCTCCTCAATGCAATTAGATGTGCTTCCAAAAATGTTACAATGAAAAATAAGGTAATTCTAAAATGTTGCACAAAAAATTACAAAATCTTAAAATGTTGCACAAAAAGTGACAAAATACTAGAATGCTGCACTGAAAAAATCCTCCACAAAACAATCTGCCATGAGATAAGTCTGGAGAGAATACAGTTGTAAGCGAATCTGAGAATTTTAAGAATAAGAGGATTTTTGAGTTCATCAAAATAATTCTATACATGCTTCGAAAATACTTTCATATGCTAAAAAAGTTAAATGGCTGAAATATATATTTTCTCATAGAAATGCAATGATCTCTGACCTCAAAATACTTAAGAGTAAAGTAGGTGATAATGTTGACACTTGACAGTTGTAAATAAGTTTTAGTTGTAATAATGAAACAAAGATGTCATCTTCACTGGTGGAAATGAAATGAGGGAATATCTCGTTTACGATGGAGATATTTTTTGCACTTTTTCCAAAGATGTTGTACACAACTGTATTTGTTTCAGGGTTGATACACTTGAATATTTTTTAAAGAATTACAACTGCAAGAGGATTCTTTCTTTCTGCTGACAGATTTTTCCTGTTATTCATGTTAGCAGTAGTATGACCATAAAAGGCCAAATGCAATTCAAAGTACACATGGGCACATATAATAATATTGCCTAAGTAATGTTTATTTATGTGGAATGAAAGTGTCCAATAGTTTATCACAATATCCATCAACATGAATGGCGAACTCTGCGCAATATTTCTTGTCTTTGGGGAGTGTTAATGGTAAGGCTCTGAGTACCTGGAATTTTTCCGTAACAAATGTTATATATTCATCTCCAAAGTGTTCAAATAGGTTGTTTTCAGGTATGAAGTAATGTGGCAAAGTTTTGGTCTTTAAGGCATCAAGGATATCTGTTATTAGGTCTAAAACACACCTTCCCAGGTTCCAGTCTTGCCAGTAGTCCGGGGTATGTTTCTCAGCTGCCCATAACATTATTGTTTTTATGTGGTACGTCATCAGTGTGTTGTTTCCAGGAGTATGTACCCAATTTTCATGTGGTTGGGTTGAGTCCATTGTTGTGGTGAACAAACATTTGAAGATGAAATATGTGTGCTTCATTGTTTCATTGAAACATTGCATTAGTGTGGTCTCGGCCCTAGCAAAACAGACGGTCCACTCGAGGTCACCACCTGTCATCATACCATAAAAGGAGCAATGAGGAACTAAGTGGAATCCACCTTCCGTCACATCAATTAATACATTGGAAGGGGGCCACTGTCTTAATCGAGTCAACCAATCGCCCGCAATTTGGGGCCAACCCTCCACAACCATTGTATATGTCAGTTGCGGTTGAATTGTAACCTGGACAATATCCCATGGGAATAACTCAGCCTCAGGCTCTAAATTTGTATCATTAGTATATGTGGAAAACCTTCGTGCTGTTGTCATGTTTGTGTTCTTTTTCTCCGTTGAATTGTTACTCACTCGAGCTGTAAGAGTGTCTGGTATTGTGATGTCATCCGTTGTCATGGTAGCCTGATTTGGTTGCAACATTGTGAGGATATGATCAACAGCTCTGACATAGACTTTCACAGCATTGTTTAATTTTTCATCTAGGGATATACTGATATCATCCACTTGGCTCTGCGCTGTACTCATATTGTCAACCCTGTCAAAATAGAACATTTTAAATAAAGTTTTGCGTATTTGCACAGGTCTGTAAGTAACATTAATGTAAATATGCATACAAATAAAACGTAACAAAATGTAATACGTTCGCAGAGAATGTGGTAATAAAGGATACAAACAATACTCTTACAATGCAATACCATGGTATATTTAAAATCTAACTGAACCTATTCATAACTTGTAAAATACTTACATTTGATGAAAGAATTTTAGTTTTGGTACGAGATGAACCACATTAGGATGAGATTCAGCATATGTGTTGATCTGCTGTAAAGTAAATGTGATTTCACGGCAATGCTCTCTAACGTCTTGGAGATTCGCAATTGTTGTATCTTGATCCTTTGCTCTTAATGGTGTTTGCCATGCCCTGAGTTTGCCATGCCCTGCTCTAAATGGCCCTTGTCCTGTTGCTGTATGACTCAATTTCATCCTTGTAGTTTTGAGTTCATCTATAGTTGCTTCAACTGAAAGTACCATATCACTCAAAGTTTTCAACAAACTAGCATCTGGTACCATCATGTTATCCTCAGTCAGGTTCAGTTTCAGATCTTTTGCAATCTTGTGAATGAGGCCCTCATTCTGTTTCTCTCTGTAGCTTGTAGAGTTTATAAACTCTCTTCCGTTGCGATGGCTTGTAAGGTATACTTCTTTGCTTTGAGGGCATATCAGCTGTAGGTGACCTGGTTTCTCCCAAAGCCATTCCATTAGATGGTGCTGTTTTGTTGAAAGTTGCCCAATATTGTGTAGAATGTCCAACTGGAACCAAAGAATACATTAAAATAGATAATATTATTAGTATATTAATAGTATTTATAGATTAAATAGACGGATAAGAATGGATAGATATTAGAGGCGTCAAGTATTAACCGGTTAACCGCCGATAATGCCTTGACCGGTCTGTGTTTTTATGGGCGGTTAGTTGACCGTGTATAATTTCCAGCACTTATTTCGCATGCTAATCCGTTTGGTTTTATGGTGTCAGTTTCACGTAAGCTACTCATATATGTCATAAGTCCCAGAACTCCTTACAAACATCCAATCAGCAACTTTAATCCCTGCCACATTGCTTTCCCGCGCTTACTTTGCATTTTAATCTGTTTGTTTTTCAAGCGTCAGTTTCATGTGAGCTACTCATACATGTGATAGGTCCGATAATTCCTTACAAACATCCAATCAGCAACTTTAATTCCTGCCACATTGCTTTCCCGCTCTCACTTACATAGAATAGAGTAAAGCTTGACGAACGTAAAAAATAAACGCCGATATATCATTTTTCCAATTTTTTTAAACTTTCAAGATCGAAGATGAAGATTTCATTTGAAATTAACAGTTCAAATTTCCCGCCGGTTAACCGACTTTAACCTGTAAAAACCCCCGGTTAACCGGTTAATGCTCAAGCGGTTAATTGACACCACTAATAGATATACAATAGAACTTGTGTAAGTAGAACACCCTTGGTACAAGTGTTCCACTTGTGAGGTGTTTCTCTTATAGAGGTTCATTAACATGGAGCCAATGGGCTGTGGGACTTTTATTAACCTTTTGTACTTATGAGGTGTTCCACTTACATAAGTGTTCCACTTTTTCTACTGTATATAGATGGACAATATTCAGAATAGCAAAATTGTCATTCTGATCCAACACTAATCTTAAACAAATAAATCTATATTCTAACCTGGACGTTTATCTTTCCATCATTGAATGCCCAGGCTAGGCCAGTCCCATCTATTGTACTTCCATATATCTCTAATGCCTTGTGCTTGGACCAATAACCACCACGTCTCGTAAGCTTTGCTAGGCTACTGGGCTTGTTTAGAAGTTTCTCTGGGTAGAATGTCCTTCTAAAGTGCTCTTCAACTACTGCATACTTTAACTGACTTATTGGATCATAAATGTCTCTGATGAATGATTTCTCATATTCACTGAACGTGATTTCTCTATCAATCCTTTGTTGTTTTTCAGGATCCATTTTAATGAGTAATTTATTCCATTGTTTTTTTACATTTATATTCTGAGTAGTTAGTTCATTATTTTTTCCATATTGGCATTTGTCATTTTGTCAGTTGATTTCATTAATCAATCAACAAAGTGTTTCAGATCTCCCTTTCACTATGATTAGAATTCGTTTTAAAATGTATCAAGAAAGAACTCAATTTAAAGGAGTGTATTGTGTTACCAAGCAATTTCCTTTTAGGACACTTGAATTAATTGAAGTTGTTTAACAAGCCCTCTATTAGAGTTCAGTTCCAAACTACATTTTGTGTATTAAAAGCTGTTTTGTTACTTTAGCCTCTTGAGATACTTCCCACAATAAATAAATTAACAATGCTACTATTTTGCAACAGGTATTTACAAAACCAGGGACGGTGTCAATTTTTGTAAATTAAATTAAAAAGCTATATACAAAATAATATCATGTTGAATTGTATTATAGCAAAGAATTAGCATATTTTGTTATAATGAGTCTATGTCTATGTGTGTGGCTACCTACTCCCTCCCTCAAATTTAGTTACTTATTAGCATTTTATGGTGTATCAATACTTTTGATATGTTCCCTTTTTATTACAATATTTTGTTTGTTTTCATTTTTGTTGTCGTTTAAATACTGAATTGCGCGTAGGTTTTGCCCTCTGTTTGAATTTAAGAAACAACAATTAAATGTTTGTTAAAATACTTTAAACAAAAATCTAAGAGTACATTTGAAGCCTATTTTGTATTACCAGAAGGTATAAAACTGAGTAACAGCTTGGGAAACTATAAATAAACAGTGTTTACCTTGCAGAAAATACATTCATGTGTCACCCAATAACAGTAGACAAACTACTGTACTTCTTTGGGTTTTCATTAGAAGTTCAGATAACGTAAAACCTGTCTTAATTGAAGGTTACAAATGTGTTAAAGGTATTACATTGGGAAGTCTTCAACACAAAGACTGATAACAGGGGAAGTGACATGCTACATGCCAAAAATTAGATTGAAATAGTGCCGATGAAAAATTGTGTCATAGAAATCTGTTTTTATATTAAAGTATAAGAACATGTTCATAACTCCAACAGAGATGTATTGATATCTCACATCTTTGTGTCAACACCACAAGTGTTTGTAGACTGTGTTTGGTCAGCATTCAGCCTCTGTAACAAATGGCAGGTGGTGACATTTTGCATGTCAATACCTTGTTTCTGTATATAATCTACAAAATATTCACTGCATGTATTTTCAGATGGGAAGCTGGTGACATTTTGTAACACATGTAATGTGAAGAAGACTCCCAGATCCGGGCATTGTACAGTTTGTAATGTGTGTGTCCAGGGACGGGACCATCATTGTGTATGGTAAGTTAGAAAAGAAACTCCCAGATTTATGACAAAGTATCAAGGTGAGGGGGAGTGTATGTGTAATGCCAAGCAAAAAATATAGATATAACATGTGACTCAGACCATCAATGTCCGAAAGGTTTTCCCAAAATAGGAGAGAGGTAGTGTATATGCTTTATTAAACCACTCTGGTGAATAAAAAATCCAATTTGACAGTTTAACTGGCTCAAATTATGAAACACATTTTGTCAACTTATTTTTAAAACTTTTAAGTGTTTTAAACTACAAAATTGTAAAAATGAGATTTGGCCTTTAAAGCTTTAGCTATATATAACTATGATGTAATATATTAATTTCATGAAAACCTCTTATTAATTAACCTTTTCTTTGATTGTAGGATAGACACCTGTATCGGTGTGAATAATCACCGTGCATTCCTGTTGGCCATGTTCCTGTTTATCATAACAGGTATATATGGTGCCCATCTGTCTCTGACCAGTGTGTGCACACCTGAGATGTACCTGGATTGGTTCCTCTGGCCCAATGACTGCAGATTTGTATACTCTGATAACATGTATGTCTAACACATTTCTTTTTTCTGTTGAACTATTGGATTATAACATATTTTTATTTTACATTTGGATAACACATTCCTTAAAGTATGTTGAAGTGTAGAATATTTTATCTAAAAGGAGACCACCTTGTGAAAGTCAAAAAGATGAATGATGTAATAACACTGCAATCACTTATCAACTTTATGCTTAGGACTAGACAGAATAACGGGAAACATTCTGTGACATCTGTGACTGTGCTATCGCAATGCTAGAAACCTCTGTTATTTCATATAAAACCTGTTATTTCAGCAATGCTATATATGAAACCTCTTTTATTTCAGCAATGCTATTGTGTTTGTAACTGCAATGTACAGCATCATTGCCTGCAGCATTATGTGCTTCTCTTTATTCCATCAGTTTATACTCATCAGCCAGAACCTAACAGGTAAGAACTCCTTTAACTTGTACCAATCAAACAAATGCAGAGCTCTTAGAAATGTCTTAACGAGAGGTGATCTTTACATTAGTTGCATAGTGTAAAGAAATTTTGTTGATATTTTCTTGTGTCTGTGTTCAAGACTACTCGTATATTGGCAGTAAAACCTGTGTTTATTGAACAGAGAGGGTAATTTATACAGAATTAGTAATGTGTGGAGGAAGGTGTCCTCTCGACACAGGTGTTCACTAAGACAGGTTTTACTGTATATGGATTTAAAGGGTTCTCATAACACATGGTTATATAATTCTGTTTTTTGATTAGTCAAAATGTGATAAGGCATGTCTAAGCTATGTGTCAACAAAATTAAGACCGTGTGTGATATGCGTCAACATTTTATTGCCTATCGCAGTTAATAAAATTCCGATGATTATCCTGTTTTCTGACATCACCAAGAATTCATGATTTGCGTTACAGGTCAGGAACAACATATGGCAGCATACAGAGGTTTGACGACGTGCGGGTTGTTTGCCTCAAACAATGTTAATAATCACAGCTTTTACCGCAACTGGCGAGATTTCTTACAAAATAGGCGGAATCAAGCCTATGGACCTGGTGTTTTATAGCCCTGGGTTTTAACAGTTATCCAATAAATCACCATTGTTATACAAGATAAACAAACTGATAAGTACATGGCTAGTCAGGCCAGACCAGAAAGTGTATAAATGTTAGGGATGTCACGGGACAAAAATATTTCGGGACGGGACGGGAATTATCCATTTCGGGAGGGGACATTCGGGATGGTACGGGACATAACCAATAAAATAGTCAATAAGTTTAAAACAGTTCAACAACTTACATTTTTCATCTACTTCCAGTTATGCTTATGCAGCATAAATCTTTTGAGCGTCATAAGAGGGCTGCGCATGTTGCGCAAAAACTTGTAATCTGGGAAACTGTGACATCCCTAAAATGTAGATAATCTAACCAAAACTAAAAATTGAGACCATAATATTGAAAATTTAACAACAGCCAAGACAAATGAAAAATGAATGGCCCGGCTTGGCTAAGACTACATAAAGATAGGACACAGGCCATCCAAGGGACCTATCAAACAAATTGACTAGGCTGTTATATCCAAATCAGATTTATAAGAAGTTGGACACTTTATGGTTTAAATACTAGACCTCGAGGATGAACAGTTTGTTAACTACTCACTTGTTACTTTGTTAAATCTATTTTATATCTTAGGCCAATCAAAGCTAATTATATGTTAAATTATATATAGAAGGACAGGTAAAAAAACAAAAATGTAACCTTTATTTATTTCTTTATTTTGTTTCTGAATGCATATCATATTACATTTATCCAGGACTAAAAAGTTGTCTCGAGCAAAGCAGGGACTTGAAGGGTTTGTTAAACATATATTTAGCTTTGAATGGCCTTACATTCAGTTTGTATATTCTTACACTAAACATGCTCATTTGATAGAAAATTACTGGTATTTTTTGATTGTCTCAAAATTTGCTCCAAATTTTATGCATTTTACATTTTTTTTCTTTATTGCCAAACCACCTGTACATCTGCGTTTTATTTTTTCCATATGACTTATTAAAAGACATGCAAATTCTTTAGTAGGAAAAAATTCCCTAAAGTTATTTTCAAACTATTTGGTAAGCCAAACAGCCTTTTATCAATAATCTGGTTAACAAAAAGCAATTGCATATGAAATTTAGTGCAAAATTAGGAGATGAAGTTTGGTTGTGCCAGAGGAGGAGATAACCCAGAATTCTGAGAGCTCCTTCCCTGTAGTTACCTCTAGTTGCTCATTTACTCAGTTGCTTCTTTGTTGATAATATAAAGCTTACATTTATTTGTCTTGTACAATTTGAAATAACATATAGATTTGGATGTATATACTTAGTTGAATGTTTGAAGGTACGTGTATGTGTGAAAATAGCATTTCTTCGAAAAGGGTACATTTTGTTATTTGATGTTCAGATGTAGTATGTGTTTGATATGTATGAAAGTGGTATGTAAGTTGTTGTTATGTATATTTGGTTATCTTAGAGCATTTAACGAGTGGGTCTTCTGAGTAATAGAGGGTCTTTCCAAAACACCCCCCTCCCATTCAAGGTGTTGTTAGAGTGCATTTTTGTTATGCAAATTGTATATTATTTGTAAATATCTCACATTTTTATACGCAAGCAACCTATAGCAGGTTATTATATAGACTAGAGTAAATAATTAAATGTTCAGTATTTTCCATCTGTATGGCTCATACAATCTTATCGCTTTATCTTTTTCATTTTTATGGAAATATGTGTTTGACTGTGTTTGTACATAAAATGCATTTTGATCATGTGAAATAGCCCCCTCCCCCATCCTTCTACAAAACAAATGTAATACTAAACATAGTACTTATTACTACTCTAGTTTTAAAATAAGGATATATTATCTGTATATTATATTTATAAATTTTTATTGTTCAATTGCTTTGCTATAGCTACATAAGTTCAATTCTAGATAAGTACAACCGAGATGAATAAAAGATTTTTCAATAACATTAAAGATAGAACCCCACACAGGTTTTTGTCGCATGGTTCAATGTACTTTAGGTTTGATGTGTGGGTTACTATGTAAGGTAAATTAAGTATAAATTACCTTATGATACTGTGATTAAGCCTGGTGTTTAAAACCGTGTCATACTTGTAAAGCCTTTAATTGTTCACCTGGGCATCTCTTACATGATACTGAATTAACAATGTAATATTTGTTATTATTAAGAGTGCAATGAAACTGTACATGTTTGTATTCGAGCTTACATATACCACCATTGATCAAAAATATAACCAACAACCAACAAGATTCATGTCAAAATGGATATTAATGCTTTGTGTAAATAAATTACAAAGTCAGCTATTACTGTATTATGTATCTCTATATTTCTTGTTTTTCCCTCTAATTGTAGTTTTGTAACTCGCAAATACAATGATGGCATAATATCAGCTTTAATCCAATTATTTCCAACATTATAGTACTGTAGTTTCATAAAATACCTAAATGTGTGGATACTGTGAATGCCTACACCCAACTGGCTTGGACTGATTTATTTTACCTTAGACCTTTGCATAGGATCCATCACTTCAAATTGTAAAGAAAATGTTTTTACTTTGAGAAATTCAATTCAGTTAAAAGTACATAAAATATCTAATACTGTAAGCTGTACAGGGCGTTTCATAATGACTGTCCCCCACCAACTGCCAATCCTATATAGCATACCTCCATAAGTCCATGTTGAATTCTGGACTTTTTGAAAAAAGATTTTGGATGGTGTTTGGCGTTCAGCATCTGTGACATTTAGCATGTTTACTTGCTGCATTTCTCGACAAAAAGTACCTAGAATACTTATCTATAGTAACATACGAATAATATTTGATGGAGTTCTAAACGATAGATTACTAAAAGTGATCTGGCCCTTGTATTGTTAAATCCATTACTAAATATGGTGGCCATAAATCATGTAAATGGGGGTGATAGCCTCGTGACTAGCCAAACCTACCCTGTAAGTTCATCAACAACTATGTTTATCATCATAAGGCTTGTTCATTTCTCGACTTATGGGATAAATATGATTGGCATGATTAATCGTAGGGAACATAGTTTGTCAACATCTATAATGTAGAGATTATGGGAATTTGTGATCTAAGATTGATGGTCAACATGAAACAGAATGGTCTTAGCGTTAAATTCAGGCCTGGTTTAATTTTCTTAGTCTACTTTTTCAAATAAACCAAATTTAGCCTGTACCAATAAATTTCCACATTGTATGGCAATGATTCTGTTGTATGGCTGCAGCTTCATGCTCAGTAACATCAGTAAATCGGCATCTTGTGAATTCTTAAAATTGTTCGAGACAAGAGACTAAATTAAACCTAAAGTAATACATGGAGTTTGAAGATCACAAAACATATTCCATTTTTTTCAAATAAGTGTATTACTATTGTAGTATCAAGTTCCTTCCTTATATTTGCGGTCCAACACCAATATATAGACATTGTCTCTTTGAGGTAAATATAAGCAACAGACCTGTTGCTTGCTCTGAGGTTTTATATTTCAGCAACACTCAACTGTGGAGATCACAAAAATATAAAACTGAACATGAAGCGAAGTTTTTGGGACTGCCAGTAAATCATTTGTGATCATTATGTCACCACCAAAAAGTGTTGGCATATTGTTATGGTCTCCATTGTTTTGTGACGGCGGTCGGTGGTTGTTGATCGGCGTCTGTAACAATTTTATTACCACTTCCAATAACTTGACAAATATTGTTTAGACTGACTTCATTTTTTTCAAAATTATGAGTTTGAACTAATAATATTGTGAGCAGCTAGGTGGTGACATTTTGTCATGTTAATGCCTTGTTTATGTTATTCATACATGTTATGAATATAGCACTTACATGTTTATTATTGCTCATTACAAGTAACAAGATTTGGGAAACCCATCCAATGGCTTGTCCATCTGCCCTGCAAACCAATTACAATATAGCCCCAAACAAAGGGTGATATGAATAATAAACAGCAATATTATTATTTGTTGGTAATGTTTCATTTATTTTCTTAACATTTTAATGATAATTACATTTTTATATGTACAATATGCAAATAATAATATGGTATCACAGATTTTTATTGGATCAGCAAAATAACAAGCAACAATATCGAAATATTGTTTTTGGACGGATCTTTCATTATGGCAGGATTATTGTAGAACTTTCTTAAATTGGCAATTGCATTTTTGTAGAAATGACAACTGTGTAATGTACCTCACAATTCATTGCTTTTTGCCATGAGGAAACATAGCATAGTTGGAATGCATTCTGACTATATTTGGTCAAATAAAGTGTCTTCACAGTTGAAATATGGCTCCGACTGAATTCCCTCTGGACATATTTGAATAATTCAGGTATATTCCCTTACCAAATATACAGTACAGTATCAATGCCAGTAAATATCAAATAGGATAGAAGCAAGTTTGTTTGGACGGAATTGAATGCTTTAGTTACATCCTTGCACTACTGGCACTATCATATTTTAATACAGCACTCTCTACATGAATGTGGTCTGTTATTTGATGCATCAAATATGGAAGAAATTTATCTGGACGGAATGGAATTAATATTTAGTTACTAGTATCTCTTCAAAGAAGAATTTCATTTTCGTATACATCTAAAATTCAACTTTAAATCTGATGTTTGCAATTTTATTTGGACGGATAATTCATATTCACTTTTCTGTAATATTTTCTCTTGTACTACATGTAATATGAAAGTCTTGATTACACACAGATTGTTCATCTCCCAGAAGTCCTACTGTTGAGGCATGTTGCTTCTAGGAGCACTGGGTGCAGGAGGCTGTGCTGGTGGGAGTATGTGACCTCCCTTCCTTGATAGGAGCATGATTTCCTCTTTTAGAGCCTCAACCTCCTGTGCCTGAAGCTGAACTAACTGGATGAGTCTTTGACGTTCTCTCAAATCTGCCTTCCGCTGTCCACTGAACTCTCCACCCTGAAAGTTTCAAAAGTTTTAAAATTCAAAGATTCTCTTTTTCTAAGAGGGTACATTAATAGATTTCTTGCAGTTACATCTCTTGTTACATTTGGACATGTTCACTTGAGAGGTTTTACTACTGTGACATAAGATATTGGCATATTCAATTTTAATTAAGTATTCCTGTACATAATATTGATATATGTATATTAATCATATAGAAATATACAGTGTATTGTGACTTTGATAGATGTTCAACTTTGTACATGAACTTGTGCAACTACTTATCTAGAATACTTTAACTATTACAAACAAATAACATATATTATATAGGCTTGTCTAATATTTTACCTGGTCCTTTATTGCAAGCTAGGAAAGAATAACAGTGAAGGGTTGTTACTAATACTATAAAGGAAGTGTTCTGAGGGCTACATACATGACATATAAAGGATTCTAAGATGTCTAAAATACAAGGGCGGGGAGTCTCCATGAAAAATGTTAGAAATTACATCTAGTTCTTGTGATTAATTGAGTGGAAATAACATTTTTAGTGATTGCAGAAAGGAGATGGGTAATTCTACTTCTGGAGATGGGTAATTCCATTTCTGGAGAGGGGCAATTCTCGGAAAAATATTAAAATTAACAATGAGTGACACATCATTTCGATGTTCATTCACTTTATTGAAGAGTGGAGAAAGATTTATGGTAAATCCTTCATTATATTACTTTTACAGATACATATTTTGATATTTTCAATCTAGGTTGTTTCACAAGGTTATTTGGAACTAAATGAACTTAAACTTTGGTGAGGTTTGTTACGGGATATAGGGTTATTAGTCTATTACAGAGAGACATCATATTGTGAGTTCTAAATCTAATCGTATTTAAATCTAGTCTAGTTTAATTTCAGGAATTCTATATTTAGTGACATTGATACTGCATGAAACTAATATAGTTCTGATTATCCATTCCATAATTCAAACTTACCAGACTTTTCTGTCGGGAATCAAGGCCAGACTCAAGTTCTCGTTTCTCTCCCAGGAGCATTGTAAGTTGCTCCAGACGGTTAGTGTTCTCCCGTATTAATTCTGTGATGTGGTTCTTCTTGGCCTTGATCTTTTCCTAGAATTATAGAATATACATACAGCGTTTCCTAGGATTTGAAAAATATGGTTCATATTTAAATACTGTAAAATCAAAGTACTGTATAGGCCCAGGCCAGTACAATGGGATAATCATGATAGTATAAAGAAACCATTTGATAACAACAAGAAAAAATTGTATGGTTTGCCATTCTGATATGACAGCATAGATAACAGTGAATGAATTCATCTAAATTCAGTCAAAAGCAAAAAACAATATAGAGAAATAAAATTGTAAATATAGCTCTTTTAATGAGTTTGTTATCTGCACAAAAAATATTCCAATTACTTACCATCCATTTCTGGACGTCATTAGAGCAGAAAATCTCATTCTGTCTCAGTTTTTCCTTCAATTCTTCAATATTCCTGTTGACGGTGACTGTCTCCAGTTTCTCTAAGTCGACTATACGGCCAAACTTGAGCATCATCATCTGATCACACTGTTCTTCCATCTCTGTGATTTTGCTTTGGAAGAGACGCCTGTCTTTGATCAGTGAGATATGCTTCTTCTTAGCCTCTCTGGAATTATATGTGAAAAAATACATAAATGAACCAAATCAAACAAAAAACATAACCCTGCAAAGGCCATTTCTTAAATTGACTTAATTTCCAAATTATTTATTTCAATCTTTTCATTTTGTTTTCATACTTCTATTTCTTATTTGACTTGGATTTGGTTAATGATCAGGTTGTAGAGTATTACATTATAGAAACAAGGATACCATATATAGAGACATCTGGAACTGTTTTACCACGACACCTTCTTTTACCTTTAAGAGGTCACCTGACTTTTAATAGTGATCTTATTGTTTCTAATGATATCGCTCAACAAAATTTTCGAAAATCATGAAAGTTGAGTGAGTTGATTGTGCTAATAAAATCTCACTTTTGTTGTTTTTTCTGCATTGCTTTCTCATGTTCCAGCTCTTTTATTCTGTGTTGTAAACGCACCAGACCTGACTCATCAAATACTAGACATGAGGAGAGATCCTGAGGCAGGACACCATTCACCATGTGTTGGATCTGGTGAAGACGTAATGTCACAACGACATCTAGCTCATTCAGTTTACGTTGCTTCTCAAGCTGAAATAAATTACAATCATTGTTAATGTGTACTCATTATTCAATCTTTTCTCCAAAAATAATACATGTACATTCACCAATATTAAAATGGATTTGAAAAGATAAAAGGCAAAAAATGTGACATTCAAAGTCTAAACAAAAGACAATATGACCAAAATAAAACAAAATTTTTCTTAAATTCATTACCTGAAATGCTTCCAATTCACCAAGAGCATTCTTTAGGGCGCCATCTATGACTTTGGCCTTCTTTTGTAGAGCTTCAGATTCTTTTTTCAATGCTTCATTATTCTTTTTCTCTTCTGCAAGGGCCTCTTCAATGTCAAGTCTCTTCTCTCTCAGGGCACACGTGTTGTCGTATAGAGTCTGAAAACAGAGAATACTTTAATTCACCAAAATGCATAGTGAATTCTGATTTTAGCTAAAGATGGCTCTGAATCACACAATGATGGAGGATGCCAGGATGGAGAATGTTTTCTGAAGTCCCATAGATGAGAGTTTTGAGAAAACATTATTTATGATAAATTCGATAAATATTAGCACATATAAATGTTAAATGTATTAATGTTTGTTTCTCTTTCCTTTTGAAATTCTGTTTACTTTTCCAATCTTTTAATATTCCTTGACTTTTAAGAACTGTGCCATTATCATTTGTAACTTCATAAATAGGCTAGGAAAAATTCACAATGAAATTTTAATTCTTCAAAAACATCTCTAAAAATCACCAAAATTAATCACTTACTTGGTCACATCCTGGAGGACAGACATCAAGGTCAAAACCACCAGCCTCACTGTCAGATTCCTCGTCAGATTCAGACCAATCAGATTCATCATCACTGTCATCATCGCTGTCTTCATCTGAACCTAAAAGTATTATAAGATTTTTTTTATTTAAGATAGAAATATATTTTTGAGAAATATATTAAAATACTTATATTCCAATAAGTAAGTGAATGCAAGATTCCTTTAAATGGGATACTAATTGTACGCATTTAAAAGATTTCACAAGAATATCATGAGTGAAATAGGATCTGAAACTATGAGGGTTAAATGTCCATGTTGAAACTGAATGAGCATGACAACAAAAATAGTTGATTTTTTATGTAATTTGAAGATACTTTCATGGGATAATTAAATCTTTTTAAATCTAAAAAATCACAAACCATCTCCTTCTGTATCTTTTTTCTTTGATCGTTTGATCCTCTTTTTGAACACTTTTGTTAAATAATCGCCAAACTTGTTGTTCTCCCCAAGGGACATGAGGAAGGTTGAATGCAGCATGCGTTCTTTCTCCTGCAGCTTCTCTATGTCCCTTCTCTTCATGTCAAGTTTCTGCTGAACCTCCATTATCTGTAGCAAAGATTCATGGAATCTAATTATGAATTATATCAAAGATATCTGGGGTGCTAATGAAGGCAAGTTTTCAGTTCTGACGTGAAATGAATATCTGCTTAACTTGCACTTTTCCCACCTTAATATCATAAATCATTTGCCTTCACTTGGATTTTCTCCACTTAATATCATGAATCATTTACCTTCACTTGCATTTTTTCACTTAATATCATGAATCATTTACCTTAACTTGCATATCAATCTTCTCCTGTTCCTTATTATCTTGTTTTTCAGTAAGTAGATTTTCTCGTTTCTCAAACTCCTTCAACAGAATCAATTCCTCAAATAAGGTCACGTGACGCAGATCTGCGTTCTTCAGGTCCACATCAAGGCGGAATTTATCATGACGTAGCAGACGAAGCTCTGCATCAAAATTCTCCAGAAGTTCATTGATCTGACTCATCATTCTGTCTCTCTCATACAAGTTCCTGCAGACATACACAATAATTAAACTCAAGCTTTTGTTGAACTTTATAATGAATACAGCTTCAAAGGTGAGCGTTTCAAATATCTACAATGTATTTTATCTACTTATTCTGTACATGTGTATTGTTATCAAAGTAAAGTTGTGTGAATAAATGTAGAATAAACAAAATGTGTCATGCCGGTGTAAAAGAAAAAATTATGGTCCCCTTTCTTAACGGCCCTTACTGGCCCTGATTGTGGATACAATAATAAGGGAAAGAGTTGTATTTAGGTCACCATATAAATCAATGGAAAGTAAGACCATAATTTGATAGGACCTCCTACCCTTTTACACCGGTTAATGTGTCATTAAGGTTAATGAGTCTAACCTGATCTCCTGGGCCATCTTGATCTGAATCTCCAAGGGGGTGAGCTTCACCTCCCTCTCTCCCATATCCTCTGTCCCCTGGGTCAGAGTTGTGTCCCCTCTGTCCACACCTGTCAGGTTTGTGTCCTGTTTCTTGTATGGTCCAGGGGAGGAAGGCTTCTTGGCACCACCCCCTCCAAAACCACCACCAAATCCAGACTGAGCAGCATTGTTGGCTTGAGTCTGCTCTGCTTTGTAGGCTAAAAGTTGATCTCTGGTGTACTCAAACCTCCTAGAATTGAAGATGAAAATATAAAATATCGGCAAATTGATTGCTTCTTTACCAAGGCATAAAATGAATGAAAATTAAATTTTTACTTTTGACAATTTTTATCTTGACCTCAGCCCAAGAATATTTCTCACTGACACTAAAGATCAGGTTTCCTTATCTGCAATAATTTTAGGAGCCCAAAGACCCAAGAGTCTGTCTCTAATATTATGTTTATTTGTAACATAAGACAGGACAAATCTTAGATTATCAAACATCTGCTGATACATGCATCCTCCATATGACTGTTAATCCATATTCTATACACTACTGTTCATACAGTAAAATAAGTCTGGCTTTAAAGATAAATGAAAATCACATGAAAAATAACAATTTTTGGAATATCAAATCCCAAAATCAGGTATGAATAAGATAATCAATTAGGAAATCTCTTACTTTTCAGGGACTTCTTCAGGGTACATTCTTGGAACTTCAGGCACAGCAATTCTCTGGTCTTCCTCCAGATTATTCTGCATATCTTCAAGTTTGCCCACAATCTCTCTGATCTCATCAATTATACCAAGTTTCTTATCGCGTAATTTCAACAGGCGCTGGTTGAAGTCATACTTGTGTCTGTGAATCTGTAATAATATTTTAGATTAACTTTGCATCGATGCGTTTCATACTGGGCAACCATAATTTATGACGTGTTTTCTAAACCAGGTATGAGTCTTAGGATAGGTATTGTCATGGCTGCAAAAACCTGAAAAAATCCTGAAGCTCCTTAAAGATTAACCATTGTACTAAATACAAGACCATTGAACTACAGTTCAAAACAGACTAAACTCACCAGGTCTTTGACGAGAAGCAGTTTGTTTCTGGCTTTCTCAGCATTCATTCTGAGGTGATCAGGTACAACATAGTCATCAGCACTCTTCAGCTTGTAGTCACCCATGTTCTCTTGGGCCTCCTTTATGGCTGCAATGTCTGCTGGGTCCTCGTAGTCCTCATCTGGTTTGGTGTTGTTCAGATCATTCCACTGGAATAAATCAATCCCATCATGCATTTGTCCTAGATTTACAAGTATCATATGATCTTTTTCATCTATTCTAGCATGCGTCATCACACTGAAGTTTTGAAAACATTGTTTAGCTAAGTAATTTTATAGTAAAGCATTATTTTATGGATATTCATTCTTCATGGATTTTAAGATATATCTCACTATTCATTTGCAATGTGGAATATTGCATGTTTCATTTAAGGTCTGATATACATGTATCTTAAAATTAGTGAAAAATTGAACAAAAAAAAATGATATACATTTATAAAATCTCCTACTTTACTACAATTTGACATGCAGATATCCCATAATGCATCAATTGATGTCTACTAACCTGGTCTCTTCGTTGTTGCCGTTTCTTCTTCTTTTCCTCCACCTTTATGAGTGCCTTGCTGATCCTCTCACCCATGCTGCCCTTTAGACTTGTGAATATCTTGGCCTCTGTCTTCTCTTCTTTGATGCCATCAGGACTGTCAACATTCTTGCTCTGTTGGAGTTGTTGACCTATGTAATGAATGATAGGATAATTATCGCATTAATACTAGAGTTGTGCACATTAGGTATACCTAGTCCATCATTCAACCCGGCATTTTTAAGTGGTGTTGCATCATGGATTCAGTTAAGGTGGGAACTGGGAAGCAATCTTGGCTTCTAGGACTGTCATTTCTCACCTTTACTGAACAATAAATTCCTAAACCCAAAGAATCTGGACCTAACCCAAACCAAACTAATGTTGTGGCTGATTTCAAAGAATTCACTTAACAAATCATATTGAGTATTCAAGTATTGAGTACTAACCAGTGAGTTGTGAGTGCTCTCTACTCATATCTCCCTTATTGGTCAACATAGTGGTCTTGCGTCGCTCCATCTCAGCCTTCAATTCATAGAAATCATCAGACAACTTTGAAGCTCGGAAACTTGTGACCTCATGTGATGTTTTAAATGCCTTCAGGACAATCCTCTCACATTCTACTACATCCTTGAATCTAGAAATAAAGCCATTTAATCTTTTAGATACATAGTATGACAGATATTTCACCACTTTTAACCCATTTTAGAGCCAGGTACAGAATAGTTCAGTACTGACTCAAAAAGTAAAATTAGTATAGATTTTGTAAAAAATCATTTTGGAAACTAAACAATTCATATTTTTAAATCAATGATGGTTTAAGTGTCTCTAAAACAGAGGAACAATGAAGTATGATCTACTTTGAACTAAAGACCTGGAAAATGCTTGTCAAACTTGAATCAAAACAAGCCCAATTCTGTTATCAATTCTCATCATGAGACACAGTACTCCAAGCAAATAACACATTGATCTATGCTCACTAATCATTGGATGTGATAGATCATAATTTCTCCTTAACGAGAACTAAAAATATACCTGGCTTTAAGTTTCTCAAGTGCTATTCTATGTTTCTCTTTCTCCCAGGACAGTTCCTTGCGTGTGATATCTTTCTTCTCCTGTGTTTGTCTCTCAAGCTCTTTCTTGATCTCAGGATCCATTTCAAACTCCTTCCTATCAAGCCTTAGGTGTGCGGGCAGTTCCACATTACGCTCAATTAACTTCTTGAACTGGCGTCGTAGCTGAGCAATTGTTCGTTTAACATCAGTTTTTTTCTCTTCAGCGAGCCGCATCATTTTATCATGCTCAGCTTTCTGTTTGGCATCTTCTATGCTGTAAGCACTTGGATCTTCGATGTCCTCAACACGCTTCTCTTCTACTGCTTTCTGGAAACATCAAAATAAATTTTCACTAGGTGCCATTTGACAATGAATGTGAAGGTATTTTCACCTTCACTCTTTCATGATAATTAGAACAGTGTCTATTATACTAATCCTATAAATAAATCCAAAATGCACTTTCAGCATGAACAATTTTTTTTCAAGCTTCAATAATTACAAAAAAGAAGCTTTATGTTAGAGTTTATTGATTATATAAAGTACAAGTCATATCATTAAAAATAATAATAAAAACATATTGAGATTATTTTGGACAAAAATAACAGCTTTTCGCCCTGGTTTAGTAAACGTTGTTTAAATGAAAAATCTGAAAGCTCAAACTAAATAAATGAAGACTCATGCTGTACTTACTCTTGCTGATGGTATCTTGGCTTTACTCTCTTTCACTCTGTCTTCAACGCTTGCTTGATCCATGACGTTAAATGAAAAAATATTTCCATCAGCCCCAACTGAGAACAGATACTTTCCATCGAAACTTTCATCGATGTGAGTGATTTGCCCATAGTTGTTGTCATGCATGTTTAATGTCCAATATGTGGCGACACTGTCTAGGTTGTTTTCATCATGAAGTGGAACGATTCTTATGGCGCCATCTTTCATACCCATAATCAAGTATTTGCCACTTGAGCTAAAATTGAATAATGTGCATTTGTGATTTCTAATACTCATAGTATCTGTCTCTGTTGCATCTTGTCCAGAAAGACAAGGACGGAGAAGGCATGGCTTACTACAATGTGATTTAATACAGTTGTCTTAGCCCAGGTAGCTACCAAAGACCTCAAGGGGCTAATTTGGTAAAATTAATATCAGGTTGAATGAAAAAGATTCACTAGTAGCAGGGAATATCATTTTTGATGAAGACTGAGTCAGTGACAATCATATTTAATCCAATTACCCTACTGAGTAGTAATAACAATGAATAAACAATTCTTACACAAAATAAATACAGATTATTGTGAACTTATAAGCTTTTTCATACCTGTATCTTATTGTTGTGATGGGCGTGTCACTTGAATCAAACACAGGTATAGACATAACTGGTTCATCTCTCGTCTCCTCATTCTTAGCCTCTCTTTCAGCCTGGGTTCCCAGCTTACACTGGTACAGGTACCCCGCATCAAAATTGTCCTACAACAAGATATTTACATGTACAGTAATAAAGTAAAAATTCATTTCAAATCTTGTTGGGGAGGAATCACAAACAAGGGCTTCATATAAATCAACACATATCCTTAAAGTTTTTGCAAGAGGCTTTTACTTTTTACCATGCCTTACATAGATAAGAATAAAGACCGAGGACACTTTTAACATGATAGACAATTTTGGTAAAAACAAGTGGAGAAAATCGCCTGTTGCCAGCTGCTAATGAAGCCCCTCATAAATATAAGATTCTCACCATTGACATCCAAAACTTGTCTTCATCTGAATAAAGTCCACAGAGGATTGCATTTGGCTCCTCAGGGATGTATGGCTTCCATTCTGGTTCAGGCTCCTTCTCTTCTTCTTCTTCCTCTTCCTCATCTTCTTCTAGACCTCTCTCAGCTCTTTTTCTGCGCTCCTCTTCTTTCTTCTTTTGTTTCTCTTCCTCTATTTTAGCTTTAATAGCCAATTCTTCTTCATGCTGTAACATAGCATTAAGGTTATTTTATCTAATGAGACAGCAAAAGAAATACAGAAGAAAATACTCCTAGTATATAATAAGAACTTCAAATTACTGTACAAATTACTCGAAAACTTCTAATATTCATTTATATTTGTATCAATAAATATGCTCTTCGAAAATATTTTAAGAAACACCTAATGGCATAACTAAGTCTATATACATGTAGTATTGTTCATATTTTCTTCAAGAAATATAATCTGAAATGCATGCATTTTGTCGAAGTAATTATTAATTGCATTACGAGGTCAGGATTGCTCAGATCCTTGTTTCACACTGAAATCAATCAAAAACTTCTTTTTATTTGTAAACACTTGTAGAGACTTTTTTGAACATCCCTCGTGAACATCTGGGTTGTTCCTCATTCAGGGACTTATATATTCATAGTAATACATTCTACTAGCTACAATACCCCTGGCCAATTAGCTGGCATACTTTACGATTCATGATTAGGGAATCAAATTCAATTGAAATTTCAATAGACCTTTCCAATAAATCCTACCACATTTTGGTATATCAAAGAAGCTTTCATATATTGGCTAGATTGATGATGCTATTGGTTGTACTTTTTCAAAATTAGCAATAAGTCAATCCTTTTTTTGCTTGGACAGATTGCTACCTACAACCAATGACATCATCAATATAGACAATATATGAAAACTTCTTTGATGTATCAAAGGTGGCAAGGTTTATTGAAATGGTCTATTACCATCCCTTGACTCTTTGTCACCCCCTCCTTCCCAACCTTCAGCCTTATTTGAGGAGAGTTTGTGTATTTTTAAGAAGGAGGAGGGAGTTGTACAGGGGTGACTTGAATGCCATCACAAAAAGTGTCCCCAACTCATTATGAAGTGAAGTCAAATAATCATGCATTATTGTATTCCTGTATTAAAGGGGCCCAGTGCCTAACTCTGATCCTGATATACTGTACACTAAATTGAAAATAAGCCATAGTTTGTGCAATCAATAGACTTTGATACAATCTTTGTTTTCTGAACATATTTCAGTTTGGATAAGTAAGTAAAAATCACCTTTTGATATGAAGTTGTAATTTTCACTTGTGTAGCTTACTAGGCAAAGATTTTTTGTCAATTTCAGTATTTAGAGAAAAGAAGGTTTGTATCAAGAACTATTGACAGAGAAAATTTCAGACTGCAATAATTAAGTACTTCAGTATAATGGGTCAGAGTTAGACTTCCAGCCTTCAAAGGGCATCAACTCTATTCAACAACTCTATCATGAAATGTACATCTTATAAGAAGATAGTTTACATTGTGAAAATCATTGAATTTGAAGATTCCTGATCTACAATATGTGACATATCTACGCAGATAATACAAGCTTGTATTTTGAAGCATAATTTTCATTGAAATATCTATTGCTCTGTGCTATACCTGTTCACGCAGTACTTTTAGATCACTACACTGAGACTTTAGTATTTAAAACAAGAAATTGATTATTATTTCATTACATATTTCTGTTGACAATCCTTATGATTTAACAAAAAATAAAGATTTACATACAAAAGTGTCATGCTACATATACGATACATTCAAATGCAAAGAAACTAATTTTGCAAAAATCTTATAAATGTTTTATATCATAGTCATTTTTCAAGGTCCTGTTTTTTTCTTCAATTAAAACTTACCCGAAGTCTTGATTTGATACTTTTAAACTTATGTTCTCTTGTTTTCAGTCCCTCAATCTCGTATGTGTGTGAAGTGTCAAACTTTCCTGGTTCAGGAGCTTCAATTTCAACTACACTACCGTCACTACAGAACACAAGCAAAGCACAGCGTTTCTGAAATAGAACACCATGATTTTAATGATAGTAGTTGTTGGCACTGAATCAATGTTTGTGCTCTAATGTTTATGATATATATTTAATTTGAAACATTAAACATTGATTACATGTATGTACTAAAATAGAAATATAATATTGGAGACAAAATATACAAAAAACCTTAAAATCTATAAGATTTTTATGAAATATTCATGTTCAGATGTTTTTAAATTTCAAATTACATAAATGAAGAAAATCACATAAACACAGAAATGTACTTACGAATGACTGTGGTGTCCATTGCATATGCGTCACTGGTGCGGGAACTTTTACAAAACCAATTGGGTCAAATGTATGACTCACTGCCATGAAGAACACCGTAGCATCATCACCCTAAGAAGTAAATATGGATAGATGTAAATGCACAAATAATTACAAATCAAATTCTATATCCTGAATAATAATATGTAATTATGAAATCAATATCAAAATGTAGATGCAGAACAATCCACCAAGTAAAATAAACTACATGTATAAGTTAAAAAGACTTTCTGGTGGTAGAAATTAAACTCTTCATATAATTCATAAGAGAGGAATCTAAGAATACAAAGAAATAATCTTATTGGTCAATTTAGGCCCACTTTTTTTTTAATTAATGGCAAATGGGTTGTTACGAATATTGAAAATTACTTACACCAGTCGCAAGTAGCTCTCCACTTGGATCTAAGTGCATACAGGTCACTGCTGATTTGTGTGGTTTCAGTGCCTGCTTAAGTGTAAGCTCACTGGCGTACTTGTACTTCTTGTGAGGGTCCTTGGTGGGGTCGAACTTTTGTAAATTAAGGACTCTAACAACTCCATCACCAAACCCTGCTATGAGTGTGGAACCTTTAGGATCAATCTGTAATAATATTTTGGAAAATTTATAATACATGTACAGGAAGCACTATTTGTTTCAAGATTGATGAATTAATCTTCTGATTAAAAGTTTTTTAGATCAACAATATTTTTTAATGAAAGTCTTAAAACTTGAGATTTCCAAAGATGGCATAGAGCATGAAAAGCTGGATAAGTATTTCGAATATGTTTCAAAATGAATTGGCTGACAATCATTTACTAGATTATAATCTGAATGGTAATAAATGTGGTGCTATGAATTAAAATCTTTTTTCAACTTCATTGTACGATGAACCACTTACCACTTTTGGAGCCCAAATGAGTGCTGATCCTCCAGCATTGAAGCGAGTTTCACACATTGTCTCTGACGCTTTGTAATCAAATACCCGGACAGTTTCTGAAAACAACAGTTAAAAACATCAATGAAGTGTGTATCAGATGTATAACATATTGAGTAGATTCAATTATTTGTACATGTATTTATTTATATTTGTACTTGAAGAGGTTCAAGTTATTGTAATTAAGAAATATAAAATTAAACAATACAATATGATAAAATTTTAAATTTTAATATTGAAGTTGATTCCAAATATATCATGGAAAAGTATAATCCATATAATAGGATAGAATTATTCAATATAATCAAAAGAATTAGCTCATCATGAAGTCATTTAATTGTGTGAGTAACATTTGCAAAATTTGGCAGATCAACTTTTTGCAAAACTTACTGTCATCTCCTGTAGTGGCCACTAAATGTGTAACGGGAGATGTCGCCAGGCCCTTCATTGCTCCTGCATGGTATGACATCACCTTCTCAGGAGCCAATGAGGTGTGAGAGAATGATAAGTCCAATTTCCATATTCCGCCATTACCATCCTACAAGAAATGTAAAAATGATGCTTAGGAATTTTAAACTTTTTTCATTTGCAAATATTTCTGCCTGCAGAATTTCAACATGTAAATATTGATACATGTACTTTGTCATGGATACATACAGAACAACAGTACATACCTGAGCATACCAGACTGGCTCCTCCATATTTGTCACCTTTACCATAGACTTAAGCTGGACATCATTGCCAACCTTCAGTTCATTCATAGGTTCCATTTCAAATATACCTGCATCTGAAGCATCAGCTGTGTCTATACTTTCAAAGTCCCACACCTGAAAGTTAATACAGAGGAATGAAATATGATATGGGGAGTAAAGTGGAATTATATGGACACACAAATTCCTGTAATCATAATATGCAAAAATCCAATGATTCAGAGAAAAACCAGAAGATTAAACTTCACAATTGCTTTCTTACATTTATATCCCAATTTACACCCCTCTACTCTTGATATTATTTTTTCATTTTGATCCTTATCTTTAAAATGGGCCCATAATTTCAAAATTTAAGTCTAAATATTTGGCTTCCTTCTCAAGCATACTTACCCGTATACATCCATCAATGCCAACTGTCATCAACTCCCCTTCATCCATTACAATCTGTTGAATTGGGCCTTGATGACATGGCTTCTTATTACGCCTTGATATCTCAGTCTTGATCAAACCTCCATCCCATAATAACATGTTGCCATTTTCAGCTCCAGATAAGACTTTACCATCCGGGAGCTCAACATATCCCTCAATATCAGAGATCTCTGTTTTTCCAAATTTACCAAGTTGTCCTTGAAGTTTAAGACCTGTGAATGTCTTGGCCATCTTCCAGAACCTGCAAAAACAACATTTTCAAGTATAGTAAGTATAAAACAATTTATGAACTTTTGAAGTGTTTACTCATTTTGGAAAAAATAAGTTAGATTGATCAATGTTTTTTGGTGTTTCAAATCTATGACATACAAAATTATGAAATGTGTACACATGTAAAGCAGAGGGATACAATTCAATTACAAAATTGTCCATAAATATATGAAAATCAGAACTGCAGTAAGGAAACAAAATGTGAAAAAGAATGAAAATACATGTTTATTTGAATTCTTTAAAATTGCCAGAAACAGAAACTTTGAATGAAAGTTAGCAATGGAATTATTGGTAAAACTGATGGATTAGTTTCCCTACCTTATATGTCCAGTTCCAGAAGAGGTCAACTGTCCCTCCAGTTCAGTAGAGAAAGTGACTCTGAAGACATCTTGAGAGAAAGCCTTGGATCGGAGGACAGTCGTCTCTTGCTTCCAGTCCCATAGTGTCAGCATATAATCGGGATCACCTCCCACTGAAGCCAATGTCTTCCCATCAGGACTGGAATGGGATGTTGAAATTTAAAACTACAATAAAACCTAAATGTCTGAACACCTCTCTAATCTGAACACTTTTTGGTCAAATTTTTTTGATCAGCCATAGACGTCCATGTTAAAATCTCTCGAAATGTGAACATCTGCAAAACACTTTTGGCTGCTCTCAATGGTGTTCAAATTAGACAGGTTCTACTGTAATTCCCTATTTATGAAATATTATCTATGCAAAGGACTTCAGAAGACACCTTTAAATCTGAGAGGTCAATGTTCAGCATTCTTTTCAAAAACTCATCAAAAACTACTCACCTAAAATCAATGTAGGCGTATGCCTCCTGGGTTCCTCCCCTAAGGATTCGGACCAGCTTCAGGGATGGGAACTCGTAGATGTTTATGTTTGGAGCGACCCCCTTTTCAGCCACGGCAAAGTATTTCTGACTTGGATGAACCTACATGTACAGGACAGGAAAGGTAGAAAATTAAAGTTCATTGAAACGTATTGTCCTCATTAATACCTAATATTCAAATGCGCATTTTTACTGAGGTACTGATTCAAAATTAAAATATGCAATGTATAGTACATTGCAATATACTGCACATCATATAAATATCTACATTTTTGAAAGCCATTTCTTATATACATAACAATATTGAATTTTCTCCCCTTTTCTCCAACAGTATCAACTTACAGCAAGTGCCCCTATTCCACCACCACTTGTACTACGTAAGTAGATCTGCTCCTTAGTCTTCACATTGAGTATCTGGACCAGGTTACCAGCAGCAAACAGCACAGTGTTCTCGTCAAGGAGATGGAGATTAGACCTCTTCTGACAGTCAAAACCAAATGAGTGGCTAGAAAATTAAATCAAATATTTTAAAAAGTCACAATTGACTCGAGAGTAAACAGGTAGAAACACAATTTTTTAGTGATTATTATAAATCATGCATTGCAGTAAAGAATCGGGTACATTTACATAGATATGGATCAAATAATAATGGACCAAAATGCACTCACTTCAAAGAAAGGAGGTCATTGGGCAGGCCAGACTCTTCACTGGTGCTAGCCTTAGATACATGCTCTTCTTTATCATAAAAGAAATCCTCTGGGATCTTTTCCTCATCTTCCCCATGTTGACTGGTGCTGGCAATCTCAGCCTCATCACCACGTGTGTTAGGGTCCTCCCCATCAGCCACTTTGGATGCATCATCAGCTTTCGATCCCTCCTTGTCACCAGCTTTAGATGCTCCATCTTTAGCCTGAGAGTCATCTCCAGCCTTTGATCCTTCATCAGTTTTATCAGTTGTAGTGGCTGTAATAGTAAACTGTTGAATTAAAGACCTGACAATCTTTAGATTATCATGGGCAAAGATTTCTTTTATTGTGCCATTAGAAAATGAAAAATAATCAAAATCAAAATTAAATTCAAGGCATTTTACAGAACATATTGTTTAATGAGCAAAATATATTTAAATGAGATAACTAAGTATATGAAATATATATACAATACAAATAAAATTTACTTTAAAATGTGGCTTTACTATAATAAACATAAAATATGTGTAGATAAAGTAAAGGTTACATAAATCAGACTGAGAAGGGGAACATTTTCCATATCACCTTTTTACATAGAATTATCAATGTTAAAGGATGTGTTACCAGGTAAGAAAACAAAGTAGTAATTGAATTAGAAAGCCATCATAAAGCAAGATACAAAATGAGAAAGTGCATAACCCTATATGTACATTATCAAATGCTTGAACAATAATAATTCAGTATACATGTATATGATTTAGTAAATGGGATTGAATACTACATTTCAAAATACTGGTTTAGTAGCTAGAACAAAATGAAGAAGAAAGGGTAGCAGAGTAAAGGTAGCAAAATATCACATCTAGTGCAGAAACAACAAACTCAAATGATTCAATCCTGCATACAATCTCCTCATGGTCACCTAGTAGTACAGTATATTTTATCATATTTACGCTATTGCATATATCCAGAATGAAAGGTTAATTTTTTAAATGATAACCAGAGTTGGGATTTTTTGTGGATTTGGGACAATCCAATCTGATAAAATAAATTTCATTGAAATAAGAAAAAAAGAGCAATTCTAAGCCATAGTTTACTTATTTTCTTTTGATTTCTCACTTTTAATTAGTTGTTTTGATATTTCATGATATTAAATATTGGAAAGTACAATAACTTGACAATGAGGAGATTGTTGCAAAGAAGGGATTGAGAGTTTTTTCACCTCCATTCTCATTTTCTTTGACTTCTGACCCATCACCTTTGACACTACTTGCATCACCTTTGACACTATGTGTGTCACCTTTGACACTATGTGTGTCAACAGGTGTGATGTCAGAGAGAGCATCAGTGTCTTTGGTGACACCAGTGACGGGTCTTGATTTGGAACCCTGCGTATATGAGTCCACAATGTGTTCACTTAATTCTGATACAATGTCAGAGCTAGCCGCTGTGAGCTCATCATCTAAAAAGCCAGTGAAACAACAAATTCTATACTACTGCATAGCACTATGAATAAATTCTAAACTACTGCATAGCGCTATAAATAAATTCTATGCTACGGAAAATGAATATAAATAAATACAATACACAACAAATGATAACTGAAATAAAACATAAAATAATAAAATATTGTACTTCTGATTAAATTTTCAAAAATGCTCAAAACACCAATTCACTAAAATAAGCAGAAGGACAGTATGCATGTGTATGAAGCACATAAAATAAGAAAAGTTGGGCCAAAGCAGGCTAATAAGCCTACAGCCATGCTATATGTATATGCAGTTCCTAAGATAAAAAATAAGAACACTGGTTACTGGTTGAACTGGTTGTGAATACATGCTGACCTAGCTTAGTCTAATCTAGAAAATAAATGAAGTATAGTAAACCATTCCTTGGAAAGTGAGCCAAAGTGAGAGGGCCACCAAACACAAAAGCACTATGCTCTACTGAATGTAATCTGATAAGCCAAATGATATTTATGGTAATCGGCCCAGCAGCGCAACCATGCTGAATACTATCATGCCACTAATCTATTTAGACACCACTGGCCTATTAGAGAAGCTGTAGTTCTTTGAGTTGCATGCGGACTCACTCTGTATATCATCCTCTGCTTCTTTTTTAGTTTCCTCAATTTCACCATTGTCCTTCACTCCTCCATTTGCCCCTTGACCTGATTGTGGTCTTGAACCAGCACTTGACCCTTGACCTGACTGTGGCCTTGAACCAGCTTTTGACCCTTTACCTGACTGTGGCCTTGAACCAGCCTTTGATCCTTGACCTGCAGATTGTGGCCTTGATCCAGCATTTGACCCCTGACCTGACTGTGGCCTTGAACCAGGTTTTGACCCTTGACCTGATGGTGGCCTTGAACCAGCTTTTGATCCTTGATCTGCAGATTCTGGCATTGCTCTAGCATTTTCCCCTTGACCTGATGATGGCCTTGAACCAACTTTTGAACCTTGACCTGCAGATTGTGGCCTTGACCCAGCATTTGAGCCTTGGCCTGCAGACTGTGGCCTTGAACTAACATTTGAACCCAGACCTGATTCTGGTCTTGACCCAACATTTGACCCTTGACCTGACTGTGGTCTTGACCCAGCATTTGACCCTTGACCTGGAGACTGTGGCCTTGATCCAGCATTTGACCCTTGACCTGGAGACTGTGTCCTCGATCCAGCATTTGAGCCTTGAACTACAGACTGTGGCCTTGACCCAGCATTTGAGCCTTGACCTGCAGACTGGGGCCTTGAACCAGCATTTGAACCCTTAGCTGATTGTGGCCTTGACCCAGCATTTGACCCTTGGCCAGACTGTGGCCTTGAACCAGCTTTTGATCCTTGACCTGCAGATTGAGGCCTTGATCCAGCATTTGAATTTTGTTCTAATACATCATTAACATCTTTGTCTGAAGGCTTCTCTGGTGTTTCATCATTTATTCTATCATCTTCCCCTAAAAATCAATAATACTACATGGAATCTAAACAAAATATTAACATTCATAAAACATTAAAACTCTGAAATGTATGAATATGAATGTATTATTACAATATACAGGGTCAATAAAGAATTAAGACTAGAACTGCCATTTAACCATTTACATGTATAATCCAACAAAAGAAATTCTGGATTTATACTTAAAGTTACCTATTTGACTAGTGTAAATGTGTAATAACTCTAAAGGCATATGTCACACATATGTACAAATTCTGCAAGTGAAATCCATAATAAATGATAATAAAATGGAGCCTTAGTCTGAATACTTAGAGATCGCCCTCTATAATAACGACACACATACATGGACAAAAAGTTTCTTTTCACTAAACAATATTTTACATAATAAATACATATATAATATTTAAGTAATATTTTTACATTCCTCTGAGACCCTACACTCAGTTAGAGATATAAAGACCTAGTATAAAAATCTCTCCCTAGATAATACAAATGACAATATAAATAAAATTTGACCTAGCTATAGATCATTCTTTTAACTAAAGAAAAGATATACTCCTATATAAAACATCTTTTCTTACCATCTTTTGTCCGAGAGGGATTTTCACTTGGTGTAACTGGTGGGCGAACATCATCATCTAAAAGATTTATACAAACATTCAACACTTAATAATATCAAAATATGAAATGAGAGTTAACATTATGTTAATCTTAACGAAATCCTAACCTTGCTGTATTATCTTTCTTAAGAATCTCAAACCTCTTAAATGCATGTTTGTATTAATTTCTGCAAGCTGTAAATAATATCTTATAATAATCTTATCCAAAGACCAACAATACAAAAGAAAAAGGTTTAATAAGACCATTTACCTGGTTTTGGGTCTTCAGTAGCTTCCTCAGATTTAGCCTCTTCAGGTTTGGACTCCTCGGTTTTTGGTTCTTCATTTTTAGCCCCTTCATCTTCTATAACTTCTTCTTGTTTTGGTTCTGCTTCTTGTTCTGTCTCATTGTTTGCGCTATCATCATTTGGTTTATCATCATTTCCTTCATTGCTTTCTGTCTTGGCTTCTTCAGCATCTACTGCAGCAGTATCTGTATATAAAAGAAATAAATATTATATAATTGTGTTGTACATTACAATTTTATGTTTAGAATTGACGCAGTTTTATTAAATACTGTGCTCATACTTTGGTAAAATTTCATTACTACATTACAATTCAGTTTATACAATCAGACTTTTTGGACACTTTGTAATATCCAACCAATCTTCTGCTGAAGTTCAATGTATATGTCAAGTAATTATTATAAAATATAAATATTTAAACTTATCACATGGTTAGGAGTTTCTAAGCATTTTGTCAATTGTGACAATGTATATTCCGTATCAAACGACACGTGACTAATTTTCATGTGATACGGTGGGCTGTATCACTACGGAGTCAATAGTAACGATATGACGTCGATGGTTATATCACATCCTAGCTAAAGAAAACAGTATGATGTCATATTATTTCACTAAAAAGTACGAATACAACAGTATGACGTCATATCATTTCAAAGCCATATTTCAAAACACACAAAAATTATAATAGCTACCAGGAGTACAGAGCACTAAACACATTCATAATTGACCAAATCAAAATGCCCCAAAATTCATTGACATGTGATAAAATCATCATCACACGTTTCAGCTTATGTGATACAGGAAATATTCCACTCGGGTAACAATGTATCACCACTCAAGCTTCGCTTTCGTGGATGATACAGTATTACCTTTCGTGGAATGTTTCCTGTATCACATGCTGAAACGTGTGATAACTGATAATATCTTATCTTGCAGATAATTCATATAACTGAAACCGAAGCAAGTACATTAGGAAGATTTGGATGCAAATTGTGTTATGAAATATAAAGATGCTCTTTGCAAGTATTTAGTTGTGGAACTTATTACCATCAGTTTGGTCCCCAGCCTTCTCCTCTTCTACTGCAGGTTCCTTCTCAGTTGTATCATCTGGGTTAACATCTACAGCATCTTTGTTAGCATCTTCAGAACCTTCTTCCTTATCATTGGTGTTCTCTGTAATAAAGTTAAGATGGAGTGTCAGTAAACAGAAGATGTATACATGTTGACATGAAATATATTAAGTACAAGGAGGAGAGAATGGAACATATAATAGTGATAACTCCCTCATTCCTTATACATCAGAGATATATAAATATTTTATTGTTATTTATATTTATCTGTTTACATGGAATACTAAACATATTAATACATTGCAATGAAAGTTTTTTTGAGTGTTATTCATTTTTAGATTGAAATAACTTTATACAAAAAAACACACTAAAAGTTATACGTAAAAAGATATTCATGAAAGTAAACACCAATAATAGCAATCATGGATTCACAAAAAATTTGGAACAAGTTGAATTAAAACATTATTTAATTTACTGACAAAATACAACACTTACAAATGCCAAATTACCATATCTCTTATATAACCAGCCACCAATATGATATATACAATACAACCCGCAAAGTCAAGATGAGTCAATTGTCAATTTGAAACTGGTGCATTCACTTTGTGGGTTGGACTGAGGTAAGGGTGAAAAATAATTAATCAGAGATGCTGCTGGAATTTGCCTTGATATCAAATAACTCAAATGAGTGTTTAAAGATCAGTTTTAATAGCAAGGTCATTGGATCTCGCTATTTTCAATTATCTAGTTAATTATTATCATGAAGTAATGAGACATTGTGAAATAGTTTGGATAATTTTAGAGAAATATATTCTGGTAATTCATAGATTTTTAATCACAAAAACATGCATTTGGTAAATCAGTTCTATTATATTCTCCAGATCTATAATCACAAAAATAATGAAGATATTCAATTGCAAATCATGCATTCCTAGCTAACAGGCTACATATGCAAATAATTGCACTCATCAAAGGTCTATGTGTCAGGCATGCAAAAGCCACATTATCTGTTCAGTAATACATGGTCCATAATGATACAATCCCCACAAATCATAAGTAAAGGAAAATGAGATGAATTGCATTAAAATTGGTTCTTCTGAAAATCAAACTCATTCATGATTATATGATTTTGTGCATATATGTATGGATAGAAGCGAAAATGCATGCAAATCAATATGTACTGTATGTACATTGTACATATGACAAAGATATCTAATGCTGAAATAAGATGCAAGAAGACATGCAGGGAACATTCATGCAAATGCAAGTGTGTACATGCAGCTGATGTCACAATGGTCAAATGTCAGATTGTAGTTTGGTTCCATGCCAAACTGTTCTAATTAAAGTTAGAATCTGTCAGATAAAAATGTGAGCAATGTTTTCAATATCAATACCCACCAATATCCCAAAAACTACACCGTAAATGGAATATAGTCATATCTCAATGAGATTTGTGATATTAGTTGATATTAATTGAACTAGGGACTAACTGATCAAATTATTTTTCAAAAATTTGCTCCCTATTTGATTCTCAAATAAACTTAACATTTTTTAAATTATGCTCCGACACATGACCATTGCAACACTGAGAGTAAATGCTGTTTTAACATGCAATCAGCCATTTTACCCTCCACCACCCCAAACACCATCTTACATCTATAGATTGAAATAATAACATAGTTCCACAGGTTGATGGGATACCTGTACCTCTTTTGTTGAATCCATTTTGGTTTTCATTATTTGATTTTTCAATCTGATTTTGTTCCATATTCCTGCTAGTTCTTGGGTTATCAGGGATGAATTCTTCCTCTGTGAGTTCATCAGATCCATCGCTATCATTTCTGTCTTTGTTATTATCATATCCATCAATGGCATTTGGACTGACAGATTCTCGGCCATCTGGAGTCCTTTCTGGCTCCCCTTCATGCTTTTCATCTTGCTCCATTTTTAATTTCTTGTCAGGTTGTCCTCTTAAATCTCCAGATGACTCAGACTTTTCATGTGGCTGTCTGATAGCATTTTTGTGTTGCTGCTCCTCAAATTTTCCAGATGGCTGCTCTTCAAACCTTCCATATGGCTGCTCAAACTTTCCAAATTGCTGTTCTTCAGACTTTTCAGATTGCTGTCCTTCCAATCTCCCAGATGGCTGGGATGGCTTCCCATCTAATTTATCATCTTGTTGTCCCTCAAACTTTCCAAAGGGCTCACCATCAAACTTTCCAGTTTGTTCCCCATCAAACTTACCAGATTGCTGGCCCATAATTTCATCAGAGGCCTGGCTCCCAGACCCTTCACATGACAGTTCTTCAAAACTTTCCTCTGGTTGTTTTCCAAACTGTCTATCAGATTCTTCTTCAAACTTATCTGGTTGTGTTTTCACTCCATCTTGATTGGGTTTTAAGAAGTCTGTACCTCTTACTGCTGAGCTACCTTTGAGGGTTTCATTCTCTAGCTTTTGACTTTCAAGGTCATGTTTGGGACTTTTAAAGTCATGCTTGTGACTTTTGGACCCCTGATCTTGACCATTTTGGCCATACTTAGGACTTTCAGGTCCATGCCTGCGTCCATTTAAACCATGTTTAAAACTCTGAGGCTCATGGTTCTGACCATTTAGACCAAACTTGGGACTTTCAGCTCTATGCTTGTGACCATCTAGGTCTTTCTTAGGACTTGAAGCATGCTGCTGCTGATGTTTGGTTCTGGATTCATGCTTTGGGCTTGCTTCATCATGCTTTGAATCACTAGTGTTGTTGGTGTCACGTTGAGTGTTTTCACGAGTATTCGGGACTGAATCATGCTTTCTTTTTCCACTACCAGGGGGTGTTTTCAATGCATGGAGTTTCTTTCTATATCTACGTAATGCTTCTACTTTCAGAGTGTGAGCAGCATCTTTTAGATTTTTAGATTTTCTAGGTGATTCTGGACTTAGATTAGGGTCATGCTGACTACCTAAATAGTAATTCAGGACAAATATGTTAATCAATTGTTAAAATATCAGAATCTATACAGTATTATATAGTGTTACTGCTGTCAATATGCATTGTGTTAAGTACTTAAATAAACTCTAAATAATTAAATTAATAGGCCTAATATATTAAAAAAACATCTATTTAAGTATATTTAAAATTGTGATATTTCATATACAATTATAAATGTATGTAAACGACATGCTGTTTGTATATGTTACTTGATAAATAATTCTATTAAGTCTATTAATATAATTTCAGATACAAATGTTCTCATAAGCTGTATATATTATTAATTTTATGAACATGTACTTTGAAGATTTGGTCAATGATTCTTCCATTGATGTGAGCAGAGACATATGTCTGATGTGAGGTTAGTCATACGAGCCTCAAGATTCAAGCCTATGTTTGAATGATATCAAATTTTTCAAACTTAGAACCTTACAATTTTGGACATTTTTAATTTTGTACATACTTTTTAGTGTTCCAAAGTAAAGTAAAGACTCATTGTAGTATTTCCACAAACACCTCAAACAGACCACATCTGAGCTTACAATAAATTTTTATGTTGAGTTTTTTTCAATTGTCAAACAAAAGTTGTCAATGATCAATGCATTGTTGACCATCATATAGTATACACCATCTATTCATTCAAGAGTAATTAAAAAAATCTAATAATATTGTGTACCTTCACATTTATGACTATGAGTCTATGACTGAGTAACACATGCACTTATCGCCATAGTGTCACAGTGACAACTCATTGTATGATGAGGTCTGTAGGCCTAGGCAGTAGCCTAGATTTAGACTTTATTTCATTGAAATGGCAACTACATGCCTTTGGACAGGTAAGAAACAGGAAATTCAATAACAGTCAATTGCAGATTGATTATCAGTTTGTTTTATTCCAACAAAACTGATTTGCAATTGAGTCTGATAGCCTGCCTGACAGGTGAAAATGAAAAATAAAATAAAATTAAAAATTAAAAAATTTCAAAAAAATCAAAACAATTCACTTTAGCCGTGAAATATCAAAAAAGTGATGCGATTACAAAATTGATAGATACAGTACGCGGTACATGACAAACAGATTACATGTATAAGAAGACAGTTGTTCAGAGTTCACACATTTCGCAGAAACATACCTAAGTTTTTATCCTCTGATGAATCTTCGTTCTCCATTTTGAAACTTTTGGTTGCTAAACAGAGAAGGCTTTAAACCAGAGTTCAAAGTACGCTGTAAAGTCCAATTAGACAGCAGAATCTAGAAAAAGATACATAGAATTGTGGGTAACGTATTCCTTGGTTTCTATAGAAATAATTGCGCATGCGCATATAGTCTTTCGTGTAGTGTAACTTCTTACATCTTTAAATTGCTGTATTCCCGGGAGAATGTATTCACAATGTTGTGCTTGAAAATATTGATTGTACCTGTACCAGTCCAGGGTTGGTCATGTCTTGTCATATCTACATCGCTTGTGCTAAATGTCAAGTTTGGATTGGTTGTGCAATAATATGTAATATCTGCATACTTCTAATCTGCATAGGTTGTTTCAGAATGTGTCATGCAGTCATGCCTTATTTGGTTGTGCCATTTGGTCATGTCTGCATTGAAATGCCTCAGTCCTGTATTGCATTGTGACATGTAATGCACAATGATGTGTCATGTGTCATGAGTAAGGGATTGAAGTATGAATGGGAGCTTTCAACAATAGGCAAAATTTGATTCAATTGTCTTAGCACTTCATCATGTTTGTATAAGTCTAATAATATTTCATACGTTACAAGAGCAATATTCGAACTTCAAATAAGGCATTAACATGACAAAATGTCACCACCTAGTTGCTCACAATATAATGAGTTCAATTTAAGTCAGATTTTGATTTCTGAGAACTTGTAGATGATTTTGAAAAAATGGTCAATTTGAATTTTCTGAGGTGAGATGTCAAATTTTAAGTCAGATTTTTAATTCTGAGAATTTGTTGATGATTTTGAAAAAAAAATTAGTCAATTTGAATCAAGTTGAAAATAATTAGCTTGAAATTCAGGCAAAAGGACCAGATGCATGTTTTAGTACACTTGTTTTTCATCTATTTTAATAATTTGCAATAAAAGAGGCATTAACATGCAATATGTCATCACCTGCCATTTGTTACAGACATCAAATGCCTAACACCAACCGACACCACAAAAAAGTTGAAAAAAGGTGATATGAAAATGACCTATAATTCAATAGTGACCATCTAACATGTCTTATGTACATACGTATAATATGATAAGTTCAATTCATGATGTGCTTAATATTGATGTGGTTATTGTAAAAGTAAATCACTTTAGGCCTGAATCAATGGAATGAGGAAAGGAGAAAATATTAAAATCTATGGTAACAAATCTGCAAAGAGGTATCACCTGTAGTATAATCAAATATACTTTAAATACAACTAGAGAATTAACAAGGCCTAGCATTTACTAGTATAACATCGTAAAATGAATTTTATTTTTTCCAAAAATTCTGAGTTAAAAATTCAGGGTATCCAACGACACTTGTCCTTTGCTCTCATATCGTGTCTATTATAAATCCTATCATTTGAATTGTACTGAATGGAATCAAAAGTAATATTTCAATAACAGAATAAGAGAGGTATACAAATTGTGATATATTCTTATATTCATGAACACAGATCATCAATAGTTCATTAATTTTTTAATAATTTATTAATTGCATTATTTTACTCTTTAACTGTCAAATTATTTTTACCTATGTCTCCTCTGATTTTCTTATTCCATGGCAATATCTCGTATATTGGGTCCCTGAGCAGAAGTACTGCAAATGGTTTTAAAATGATGCATGATTATACAAGTATTTTACTTAGCGAATATGAACGGCAAACTCTAGAGGTGATACTGCTGTTAATTAAAAACAGATAATCAAAGTAGTACATTCTCAAGTATTAAACAGTATGAAGTCACTAGTGCTACATTCTTTAATCATGTAATATGACAACCCTAGCTTTGTTTGAAACTAAAATACTCATTATACGAGATATTTTGTGTATAGAATTTGAAATGCGTGAATACTCAAGTATCGCCATTGATAACCATTCAGCCAGAAATGGTCCAGTTTAGGCACTAAAAACAAGGAAATTATTTATGCCATCCTAAATTAGTCTCAAGTCCCGGCATTGCTATTTCACTCTATTTATCCATAAAAAGAATGAAGTTCCAATTTCTCTTACATTTCTAAATTCCCATTCTCTAATTGGCATACTTTGGACTGTTTTCTACTTGTCCAAGTCCTGCATCATGTCTTTGAACCCACCCCAAATCAAAGGATGTGATCGGTGAGGTGTTTATACTCGTCTGAGTTACAAACTTTTTGGCACCTTCGTAACAGTGAATCTTCCTTACTAATTCCTATCAGTTAACTTTTAATTTTTACACTTCATAGTTATTCGAATCCATAAATCGCTGTATCTTAATGAACTCAGGATGATTTTCTTGCATTTCCATGCAACTGCATGCCTGTTTCCTTCATTCCTCGCCAATTTCACACTTGCCTAATTTATTACGCATTTCGATAAGCATACTCTGACATTTTCCTAAACTAAACACTGACTAATCTTCATCCTCATCAGGTTCAAAGTCATCTTCATAATCATTATTAATACCTTCACCATTTGTCTCTGTAATTTCAATCTGTACAAGTCCACTGAGCAAGGCATAGCCAACCATAGCACTTAAGGCTACAAGCGCTGATATGATCATATTACGCTTCTTGTGCGGAAAGTCTGAAATGTCTTGTTTTTCTTGTTGTCGCTCAGATTCTTTACGTTCTTGTTCTGTGGTTTCTGAAATATGAGCAATTTGAAAAATTGAATTCATAAAAAACTTGCGAATATTGTGGTCTCATCAACATGGAAATTATAAACCAGTCATTATCATACTGTGACCATATTTGGCCTCTTGCTTTTAGCAATGATACTGCCGAGCAAAATCAGTGTCAGGAGGTATGGTTGGTATCAAATACAGTCCCATTTTCAAAGTAAGGCCTCATTTTTGAGAAAATGAGCCATTTTTAAAACTGGGCCTCAATCATAAAAAAATCTGGCTGGAAATCCAGCTCCATTGACATTTGGACAAAGTCCCTAAGTAAGTACAATGTATATGTGCTTAAGATACATTCTTAAAGAAAATACAAATATTTTTTATTCTAAAAGTACAATATGACAATATTACCTTCTGGAGTCAGCTGGAAGAACCTATGAAGAATTCTGTTAATGAAACGAACTAAGTTGTCACATGACTGTATATGGTGTTTCAGGGGGTTGTTGGGTAAAGGTGTCTTGTACAGTACTGCTAGGTAACCAAATATTACAGCATCTAAATACGTTGGACTGAAATGCAGACAAATGAATTTTAAAACTATAAAAAAAATTGATTTCAAAAAGTATTTCTTAGTTTCATGAAATTTGCCTTTTAGCCACATACAAAATCTAGAGAAAGATTTGCCAGGGTAGCAAATCCCAACGAACAAAACATATTTTATCAAATCACTCATCTTTGAATATTGCATAAAATTAAAAACTGATAATCTTTCATGAAATTCTATATCGTTATACGTAATTTATACTGACTTACTTTTTGCCATAGAAGAAGTCAAATGTTCCTAGTTTGTTGGAAAGTTGATTCAGACATTCTCGAGCCTCTCTGTATACCTTAAAAACACAAACAAAATCTGTGAGACAGTAAAACCAAAGGTGTCATGAATTCTGGGTCTTGATAAAAGTTTACACTGTGATTCAAAATAATAAACTGGTTTGTGTCACTTTTCTCACTTTCAATACAGACTGTTAAACATTTATAATGCAAGTGATATTGGAACTTGAAGACCCGATCAACTGATCCAAAAATGTTTTCAAAGGAAATATTGTATGGGTAAAAACATTCTATTTCATCTAATGATGTTATTTTCTGAAATAAATCTTGCAGCTATGCTTCATGTTTAATCTTACCCCATAGATGAAAATAACAGTTTATTTTAAGTTTATCTGATGCCCACTGTATATTTTCTTTGGGATAATCCTATATATTTCATAGGCCATATACTGTATAACTACATAATAATAGAGTACAAAACTTACTTTTTTCTCAATATCTGCATTAGTTAAAGTACCACATCCACACATGCTTCTCACTTTATCGTCCATGCTTTTCTCCAGTGAGGCAGGAAGATAATATCTACAAAAAATAAATCAATTTTTATCTTGGATTTTGTTATGTAAGTGATTCAATGCACTTAAGCACAAAAATATATGTACAAAGAAATTAAGTACATGGGCCTTGAACAAACAAGGCAAAAGTTACATGCAGTATTTATCATTTAATTTATTGCAAGTAAGGACAAAAGAACTAAACTTAATTGACTCAATGGCCAAGAATTGCGCATATGAGTTGATGAAGTACAGTTTATCCCTTTGAATTGGAATCAGTTGGAGGCATTTCTAAATATTATGTATTTTTGAAAAGATCCAATATGGCCACCAAGTATAACTCAGCATAACCTAAATACAAAGAGCTTTGAAGAGTTTCTCTCAGGGATTAGTCTCAAAGCCATAGATAAAAGCATAAAATAAACAAGACAGTAAAATGACAAAATTCCCCAACTAGTCTTATGGCAATTTGTTATACACACTGAAAGGTCACAACAAAAACTGAATATAAAATGCGAGGCTACTTTTTCAATTTCTGCCAGATAACCTTTCAAAAGAATCCTCACAAAAAAATTTTCGAAACAATTTTTTTTGAAACTTAGGCTCTAAATTCATTTCTTTGTTGCCCCTTCCTCAAGTGCTCCAACTTTTGTTACCCCTTTAAGTGTTACAAATGTGTTCATACTTATACACAAACATGACCTTTTGACAAAGGGTGAACCTACCTAAATGGAAATGGCATGGCTTTAAAGTACCAGGGTCTTGTGAAGTCATCTAGATTCTTAGTATCTACCCATTGGCAATATAGCTGAAATGTAATTATACAATAGTACACAAGTGTAAGGTAGTATACAATTGTACAATAAAAAGATTATGCATTATTTCTTCTCATTCAATATGAATGTGCAAGAAAGATTCATTTCCAAAAATCCCACCAGAACATGTACCTTTTATTTTTTCCCAAGCAATATAACTCAGTATTACATACTGTATCATCAATATTATTTGCTTCAGTTATTTCTTACAGTAAAGAATGTAAAACAAATTCTGACATAGTTACCATTTATTTGTCCAACATAAGGATCAAACACTGTAAAAGGGATGACAATGATAAAATTTTGTGAACATGTTACTACCATCATATTAAGTCAATGTATTCTATTAAACGTCATGTCTCAATTTGGATTATCTCGACTCTAATTCCAGATTCCGATGACCAAAATACATATATGATGTAAACATAATACTTATTTGCTTAGCCTATGTTTTATACTTACTAAAGCAGGCAGCAGTTTCTCCTCTATAAGTGATGTATATGCAAGAATATCAGCATTTTGTTTCTTAGAGAGTCCAAACTCTGCATTTCGACCCTTAAAAATGTGAAGGCACAAACATAAGATTAACACTTATCAACTGCCATGCAAACTTCATTTTGAGCTTCTAAGTGATACAGGGTGAGTCAAAGAAAGGTAACCCAAACAAATGTATGTTAATAACTCAGTCATTCAGCATGGGTTTAAATTCATATTTGGCTCAATAACCCAGATGCGAGTAGAAATAATCTTGATTTACGTCATTAAAAATTCAAAATTCAGTCAAAGTAATATCATATTTGAAATCTACATGTAAAATTACATCTAGAAATGTGGTTTTAAAAAGTGTTTATCAACTTTGAAAAAATAATTTTCTTTGAAAATCTGACTTCTAGCTCGGGGAGATTCCCCATAGACCCCATGCTATAAAATCACAAAAAATGAAATATCTTTTCTTTTAGTGGACAGATAATATTTTGCTTTACTGGACATATGTTCATTAGTATAAGTATCAGACACATAAGGGTTATATAAAAATCGAGCCGCTTAAATTGATAATATTCAAGTTTAAGGGAACTTTCTTGTATACCTGCCATGTTAATTGACCCGAATCAGCCACCTGGTGGTGAAACTGGTAACTACCTACTCGCATTTGGGTAATTAAACCTTGTTCAATGTTCTTTCATTCTACTAAGTGTCATTGGTGTATCCCTAATGGTTTTATGGTCATTTACAAAACATGGTATAAGTGCCGAAATGTGCCTCACTGACTGGACATAAATTCCATCAGATTTTTATCTTTGGGCCTTTTTTCTACACTAACAACACTTGAAACATTGAAACAAGAGATAAGAAGGATCGGACACGAGAGCAATAAAACAATATGTTTATGCTCATGTTGTGAACAACTATGCCCAATACATTCAAGTTTGCCTCCAGAGATGATGCCCATATTTTATGGCATGTTTTGTAAATGACCATAAAATCGTGACCACAAGAGATAGACCACTAAAACTTGGTAGAATGACCAGGGGGGAGATCTCCCAAAGTTCAGCCTTCATATTTGATCACGTGGTACCCATGTGCTAGATCCATATAAGGCTTACATGACCATATAGGAATCCAACTGCCCGTTGTCCGCCATTTTGAATATCATGTGATAGATCCATATAAGGCTTGTATGACCATATGGGATGGCTAAGGGGAATCCCCGAATACGATAGAATATGATAGTATTATGGGAGCTACTCACTTCTTCTGTAGAATGACAAAACATTGGACAAGGCCTAATATATCTACTAGACAATACTGCCTATTGATAAAATACCTGTTTTCTGAGAAAGTTGATTATGTCTGTTAGATTATATTCACTTCCACCTTCATGTTTGAGAACTGGTAACCCTCCTGAAAGAATAGTAGTATAGATGTATATACAAAATCATTACTCAACTGCAATACAGCATTCAAGTATGTCAAATGTGTTACAAAATCTAGAATTTCTCGAGGCTAAAAATTCAGCTGCTGGGCTAGCTGATAAAACAAAAACATAATCATGAATTTCAAATGATAAAAAAATATGCATGTTTCTAGTTCTAAGACACTGACCTGCTCAAAATATAGCAACTTTAGAGGCCCTGTGCAATGTTTGAAAATATAGTTTAACCATTCAACTTTTTATGCTTTAAAAAACTTTTTGAAATTAAATTGAAAAGTTTCACACACCACATTTTGATAACATTGGGTAAGACTATTATATAAGTCAGAGTGGTTTAAACTATATATGGGGCCTTTAACCATGCTGGAGTAGATGGCAACAATTGATAAAAAAAACTGCGTTTTAGTAAAAATTCTGTTTATGAATATAATAACTCAAGATATCATAACATCATTGTGTTTTTCTTATTCTTATCTATCTAGCAATGCTATTGTATGCCAATGCAGCTTAGTATGGCATGAGAAAAAGACCCACTTTATACAACTTGGCAGCAGACCTACCAGTTTTGGACCAGAATGGATTGTTTGTTCCCTGGAATGTCACTGGAGTTTCTGTAAATTTGCAATATGCCTGAAAGTATAAAAAAACAATAATTACGTTGAGGCCATTCATTCATATTTTAAATTTAAATGATTCACATGAAAAGAAGAACTAACTAGACAACAGTAACACCAAGGCGTGGCAGATCCCATCAACTGACCAAGACCATTGGTGTCTTTACAAAATTGCTTCACTACGATTTTAGTAATGGCAAACTTCATAAAACAGCAAAACAAGATGTAGTGACTGAAATGATTGAATCGGTCAAAAACACTTGGGGAAAAGCTTGAAACAAGAAACGTTCATGTTCGTTTTTCTTTTCAATTGTTTCGCCCGTTTCTTCCTAATTACCTGAATTGGTTGTGTGATTGAAATACCTGAAACTGCAGAACGGGTGCAAACAATGAAACATAAATTTCATTTTTGAAGGCAAATCAATTGAAATGCTTGAAATAATGCAAGCATTGAAGCGGTAGACCCTCTAGTTTTCAAGTTTTTTCCCACAGGAGGTAATAAGGGACATGATGATCAATACATGTAGACCGAATTTCTTAGATGTAGACTAATTGAAGTGGAAGAAATGATTCATGTTATCGCATCCTCGACCCCTTTAGATTGTGGTCGTACGCGCGAATCATTGGTCAGTCAATGTTTTTACAAAGTTGGAGAAAATACTACGCATTGCACACCTAAATGACCTACCTCGATACATTTCTTAGTATTTTAAAATTATTTTTATGTAGTCGAATCGCCTTGTATGGGTTTATCGGCAGAACGAAGAGGTTTTCGTTTTTGATAGCAATATTTGCGTGTAATATTTAGAGTCAATACGTCTATTTCCAAACACCCCCATCAAAAAATGTAGTTAGCTTGGCTGTACTGCACATCTGTGGAATAATTTTATATATGTTATGTGAATTAGACGCTGCATTTGCAGAAAAAAATTCAGATAAATTGTCAAAAAATCTGGGTTATACCACTTTAACTACAATGTATTTTATGGGGGTAAATCCAAACAGGAGATTTTTTAGGGGGTAATTCCGAACACTAGCATGGGGGTAATTCCAAACACTTAAGTAAAATTCATTGTTTTACTTGTTAGATTGGTGGTATATCATTATATGGTACCCTGAACTAATGATACTGGATCATGACACCCCTGCATATCAATAACCCCAAATATAATTGATTTATAAGTGACATTTATTTATTCAAAGGCATAGGGTTTGTGGGGGTAATTCCAAACACTAGCATGGGGGTAATCCCGAACACCCAAATCATCATAATTGATTATTTTATCGCTAGAGTATTGGTATATATCATTATATGGTATCTTTCAGGATGTAAATATTATATAGAGGTAGTAGAGGTACTATTATTCAATTCAATGATTGGTTTGCCATTGTTTGCCACCCGTTCGGGTTTACCCCCCTGTTTGGATTTAGACGTATTGACTCTAACTTATTTCAACCGTCAAATTCCTCCATTCAGTTCCCGACATGCACCAGTCATAAGGGAAATCCGTGGGGAATTCCCCTTCCGACATTTTGAAAATTGCTGACATATTTCATAGTTGTAGAATTCAGCGCATATATTGCATACAGGTCTTTAAGCTAATCCCTGATGAATGACCCAAGGAGAAAATCATCAATCATCAAGAAAAATAATGATGAAAAGTAGATATTCGGCTTGATTTAGAATATCTCCATGATAACAAGGGTTTAGTACTTGGAATTTACAGAAAAGATTCATTACCATTGCAGCTAAACAGTTATAGTCTACAGACGGCAAGTCCCAGTCACCAGACCAAATACGAAGGCATTTTCCACCAGACATGTTCGGTTTTATTTTTTTGTAAAATTCTGACCTCAAAGTTCAAGGTCATACACAAAACTACTATACGTATTGATATATTAAACAATTAATAACTAAGACTATATACTACATATTTTACAATTTAATTATTGAATGTTTTAATAATTTTGATAAGCATTTGGATAAATTAATATTTCATTCGTTTTAAATGTGGAAGCTATATTCTCAATTTAGCACATCTATTTCTTGACATTTTTTGACCCGGAAGTGTGTCATCTGCAAGAAGAAAAGTTTTAGTTTGAAATGAGCTCCAAAACAGTGGCATTTCTCGCCGTCCAGGTTGTGTTAATATATTGTGCATATAGAGCGTATTATAAAGATGACACTGGACAATCATTGACACCTGAGGAAGAGATAATCAGTATTTGGGAAGAACGGATAAAGTTGCCAACAAGGCAGTTCAAAAAGGTTGCTGTGGGGTAAGGATTTTTCATCATCATTTTACTTTTAGTTCTATTCAACTTTTCAACTAAAGATACCAACAACAATTTTAGTTCAACAATTCACTCACAGGCTTACACACATATTCCAAAGGTTGTCTAAGCCGCTACATGATCATAATGCTTGCAAATGAAATATTGAATTCAGCTGCTTACTGTCTCCATACATGTATTTCATTTGTGAAAGTCTCTATAAGTTATCAGCTGCTTCTGTGTCAATCAGGACTTGTCTTTGTCCCCGAGTGGACATTTTCTAGCGAGAAATCAAAATGGCTGTTTGATGTCAATTCGGTCATACCTGTAGGCAATCAATTGAAAGCCCATGATTCGGTAGTACTGTATAGTGTTGTCGTGATGTGCCATAATCGTACATCGATGCATCGGCAATTTTTAGTAGTAAACATCGATGCACATCGCGATGTACATTGAGAAAAAGTCAGAGAAAAGTGCACTGAAATACCGAACGCTAATGCACTAAAATATCAAACATCCGGTACATCCGGGAACTTCTAGTAAGGGTGAAATGAAAGTAAAGTAATTTTTTAGATTAATGGTTCATTTCGACTAGCTAAAACAGTTTTAAAGCGAAAGAATATCAGAAAACATTGGAAAATGAAATAAGACATGAGAAAGGTAAGCGATTTGCGTCAAAATAAGATATGAAAGGGTGATTTTTAGCAAATTAATTTTTTTTTAAAACATCGATGTTTTGTTTCAGACATCGATGCATCGCCAGAATCAGCTTTGGCGATGTATATCGCGATGTATCGATTAATCGCGACACCACTAGAACTGTAGCATATGAACCTGGGCATATGAAATCTCTGATGATTTCCGCATGAGAGCTAGACAACTGGAAATTCAGTCACTTTTATCATCAACAGACTCTTGAAAGCCCATGCTTTTATTAATGTTCATTTGGAAATCCCTGGATGCTACTTCTTGAATTTACTTCAAACCACCAACTTTGTAATTAGCAATCTTTATGGTAAAGCGTACACTATATGAAACCTTTTTTTTAAATTACTAAATAAAGTGCCATCTTCCCATTTTCTGGTGGCCGTCATCTGCATCTTCAGAACCAACGTCTATAGGTGTAGCCAGGGGGAGGGGGGGGGGGGGGTTTGGATGGTGCGAACACATTCCCCCACATATCTAATACAAATAGAACCATTAGATAAAAGCGGAAAAAAGCTTTAAAATGTTTTTTATTTCAAGCTTCTAGCTCAATTTTGAAGGAATTTTAAAGGAAAATCTTATTTTTGGAGTTCGCATATTTTTAATTTTATTATTTCTACATTTGCGCAATTAATATACTCAGTAATCATGCCTGGTGGCATGGTCTTCATATGGTTCCCCTGGTTTCCCCATCTTGTGATATTTGTCGAAAACCAGAATTTACCACAAGGATGCTCTAAGGTGACTGTGTGAACATGTAATGACAGCCGTAGGTTTTCTGCTTCTGCTACAGAATGTTACCATTGGAATGCTACAATGGCCTTATACTGTATATAATTGTTATTGGCTGGAAAAAATTTAGAGCCCACAGGCATCAAAATAAATGTGACTGAGGCATTAAAATATGTAAATAAGGAGATGCACCTCTGCCTAAATCATGTGAGCATCAAATGGTACTGTATATGCCTTGATTGTCACCCAGGTGCTTGAGGTAAGTCAAAACAGTTGCCGGAGCTTCACTTTCAGTTTAGAAAAAAAAAAATGTGCGAAATTCACCATGTTTGCATGAACTGTGGGGTTCTTACCTATCCAACTCTTTTTGCTCCAATGGAATATAAAGCATGTACTTACATCAGTACTTTAATTGACAAGTCAATAGGAAAACGATCTAAACCTACTCAGTACAATACAGCTAATACAATAATTTTGTTTCTTTATTTATTTTTAGTTTTACTGATAATCAGTTTGAGTAGAATCATATACCCAGTACACAACTTTATAATACAAAGTTATAGCACCTCAGCAGTACATTATGTTGCCTGTGTTATAATGTTCCTTTCTCATTTATCATTTACAATAATGTCTTTTTAGCCCATTGAAAAGTGAAATGTGACTGCATTGGTAGTTAGGCACAGATGCAAGTTTTGAATCCTGCACCATAGTGCCATAATAAGCCATTGGCCTTTTTCTTGAAAGCCCATGAATAAGCCTATACTGTATTTTCATTCTATCATTGTGTCAAGTGAAATACCTTCACTCTGTTCATGTATAGTATTCACCAAACTATGGTCATTTGGTAAGGTTGGAGATGACTTCCATCTAATATGGTGATCTGCTTCACACTTCATGTTGACCAATGCTGCATGACCATGAAGACTATGATCATTCCAGAGTAATGCCATATTACAAAAAACATTATGCGCTGAAACAGTGTCCACCAACTTTTGTATAGATGATTTTGTCGTCAGGAACATTCATCAGTGTCAAGATTTAGGGACAAAAATTTATGTCATTTTTAAGTAAAGCTTTTTTTCTTTACAATGACGAGTTGAGAAATTTAAAAACACCCCACTTACTGAACTTTTAAACTTTTAAGGCATGTATTTTCAAAAAGCTTTACATTGGCGATATTCCATTACATTCTTGGACTTTGATTATTTTACGATTGAAAGTTGTGAACTTTTAAAGCAGGCATTTTCAAAAAGCTTTACATTGGCCATATTCCTTTACAGTCTTGGACTTAGAATATTTCACGAAGCAACGTTGTGAACTTTTAATGCAGGCATTTTCAAAAAGCTTTACATTGGCCATATTCCATTGCATTCTTGGACTTTGATTATTTTACGATTGAAAGTTGTGAACTTTTAATGCAGGCATTTTCAAAAAGCTTTACATAGCTTTACATTGGCCATATTCCTTTACATTCTTGGACTTAAAATATTTCACGAAGCAACGTTGTGAACTTTTAATGCAGGCATTTTCAAAAAGTTTTACATTGGCCATATTCCTTTACATTCTTGGACTTAGAATATTTTATGATATATAGAAGTGTAATTTATGGCATGCATTTTCAAAAAGCTTTACATTGGCCATTTTCCCTTACATTCTTAGACTTAGAATATTTTACGATCTGGAGAGGTGAACTTTTACAGCATGCATTTTCAAAAAGCTTTACATTGGCCATATTCCTTTACATTCTTGGACTTAGAATATTTCACGAAGCAAAGTTGTGAACTTTTTATGCAGGCATTTTCAAAAAGCTTTACAATGGCCATTTTCCTTTACATTCTTGGACTTAAGATTATTTTACGATCTATAGAAATGAAATTTTATGGCAAGCATTTTCAAAAAGCTTTACATTGGTCATTTTCCTTTACATTCTTGGACTTAGATTATTTTATCATATATAGAAGTGAATTTTATGGCATGCATTTTCAAAAAGCTTTACATTGGCCATATTCCTTTACATTCTTGGACTTAGATTATTTTACGATCTTATGAGGTGAAATTTTATGGCATGCATTTTCAAAAAGCTTTACATTGGCCATTTTCCTTTACATTCTTGGACTTAAAATATTTTACGATATATACTTGATAACTTTTAAGGCATGTATTTTCAAAAAGCTTTACATTGGCCATATTCCTTTACATTCTTGGACTTAGAATATTTCACGAAGCAAAATTGTGAACTTTTTATGCAGGCATTTTCAAAAAGCTTTACATTGGCGAAATTCCATTACATTCTTGAACTTAGATTATTTTGCGATTGAAAGTTGTGAATTTTTATAGCATGCATTTTCAAAAAGCTTTACATTGGCGATATTCCTTTACATTCTTGGACTTAGATTATTTTACGATCTATAGAAGTGAAATTTTACAGCATGCATTTTCAAAAAGCTTTACATTGGCCATTTTCCTTTACATTCTTGGACTTAGATTATTTTACGATCTATAGAAGTAAAATTTATGGCATGCATTTTCAAAAAGCTTTACATTGGCCATTTTCCTTTACATTCTTGGACTTACATTATTTTATGATATATAGAAGGGATATATACTATATATATATATACTTGCTAACTTTTAAGGCATGTATTTTCAAAAAGCTTTACATTGGCCATATTCCATTACATTCTTGGACTTTGATTATTTTACGATTGAAAGTTGTGAACTTTTAAAGCAGGCATTTTCAAAAAGCTTTACATTGGCCATATTCCTTTACAGTCTTGGACTTAGAATATTTCACGAAGCAACGTTGTGAACTTTTAATGCAGGCATTTTCAAAAAGCTTTACATTGGCCATATTCCATTACATTCTTGGACTTTGATTATTTTACGATTGAAAGTTGTGAACTTTTAATGCAGGCATTTTCAAAAAGCTTTACATAGCTTTACATTGGCCATATTCCTTTACATTCTTGGACTTAAAATATTTCACGAAGCAACGTTGTGAACTTTTAATGCAGGCATTTTCAAAAAGTTTTACATTGGCCATATTCCTTTACATTCTTGGACTTAGAATATTTTATGATATATAGAAGTGTAATTTATGGCATGCATTTTCAAAAAGCTTTACATTGGCCATTTTCCCTTACATTCTTAGACTTAGAATATTTTACGATCTGGAGAGGTGAACTTTTACAGCATGCATTTTCAAAAAGCTTTACATTGGCCATATTCCTTTACATTCTTGGACTTAGAATATTTCACGAAGCAAAGTTGTGAACTTTTTATGCAGGCATTTTCAAAAAGCTTTACAATGGCCATTTTCCTTTACATTCTTGGACTTAAGATTATTTTACGATCTATAGAAATGAAATTTTATGGCAAGCATTTTCAAAAAGCTTTACATTGGTCATTTTCCTTTACATTCTTGGACTTAGATTATTTTATCATATATAGAAGTGAATTTTATGGCATGCATTTTCAAAAAGCTTTACATTGGCCATATTCCTTTACATTCTTGGACTTAGATTATTTTACGATCTTATGAGGTGAAATTTTATGGCATGCATTTTCAA